TATGTTGGGGTGGATCAAATGGTATACACGGAATCTTGGTTCTCTTATCTCAAATATCTTGCACATATACTATATATTGTCACAGGAATAAAATTTTCATACCATCAGATTTCTGTGCACACTCACTACTAAAAAGCGAACTTGGCATGTAGAACATTTGAAAGACTTCAGCAATAATTCCAAATCAAACCAATGTGCAAACTCAGATTATTTTTTCAAAATATATGTTAAATATATTTAATTAATGTCAAAGTAAGACTTACTTCATCCATGGCTATAATTTTTTCACCGAGTGTAACCATACCAATAGCTGTAGCTTTAAAACTAGGTCGGGTTCGGATATTATGTCCATACGATCCACATTTTACACACTGATAAACACCAGGTCCTGTTAAATACACAATAAAATTATATTATTATACTTATAACAACAGAGTAAGAATACTGTGTCCTATGAAAAAAAGAAGCTGTATTTTAATGACCAATAACAGCATAGTGAATGAAAAAGAGACACCATCATGGAGATTAATTGACCAATCAACATGACTATATTAAATTTACCTCTCGGTGCTCTAGTTCTAGTATCTCGATTAAATTCAGGCATTTTTCTTAAAATGTCTTCTTTGACCATTTCTTCTAAAAATTTAGGTTCATCAAGAGGAACGAGAAGTGTTTTGCCAAGATGTTGATTATATTGTAAACACCATGCTTCAGTATAACCATTTTCACACCAATCTTTAATACTATCAGGACTTAATCTAACCCATACACCATCATCATTGTGCATCTAAAATAATAAAATAATTATTTCACTAGAAAACATACCAAGTAATATTTTACTTAATAAAGAAAAGAAATGAACAATATATATGTACAATTAAAGAGAGAGGGAGAAATGGGGTTTAATGTTCACTCTACACAAACTAGGTCATTTTGGGACTAACATATGGTTTGATTTTATTTCAACAATTCGCTGGCTCATAGGAATCTTTAGCAGTGGGAGAAAACCCACGAGATTTGACAGGCAACAATTTATTTGTCATCCCTGCAAGCGCCTCCCCTGATAAGTGGGTACCAAGCTTGAAAAATCAATTGCCACAGGATGAGCAATCTTTGTTTTCAGTGACTGGTCAACTGATTTTGCTTGAGTCAAGCATTGTAATCGATACTTAGCTATATAAATTAGATATAGGGCCTGGAAATTTTCTTGAAAGAGATCTGCCAGAATCCTAAGAATCTAAAAATGTTCTTGTAACAGGGATTTAACATAATCTTGTCATTAAAATAGTTTTCAGCGATTTAATGAATATTGACAGAATTACGTATCAAACAAATTTTTGAGAATATTTAAGGATTGTGAAATTCTGTGAGAATCTTGGTACAAATGATGAGATTCTAAGATTGTTGTGAGATTCTAGACCTGTGTATGTTAATTGTATGACTTACTTCGTCTATAAATGATATAACACCATCAGGTGGTATTGTACCACATTGTTCACTCTGTAATGTAGGATGTATTCTGATACGTAAACCGGCACTATATTTGGCTACAAATCTTCTCATCTGTAAAATGTAAAATATATATATCATTCACTCTTGTTCAAACATGTACTAAATATATTCAAATCTATACATCTCAGTCATTCAATTTATAGCATCTGACTCACATTGTGACCTTTCAATCTGACTAAAATAGCCAACAACAGATGCAGTCTAATTTTGATTGTGGATAGCCTTGCTCCATCAGTATGAATTCTATATCTATACTAATATTTGTGACTGTCGTTTGTCTGTCTGTTCAGGGTTGGTAGCTACACCAGGGTTGTCTCAAGACTGAAATTTGGTGTATAGGGGTTGCTCGGACCTAGGCCTCATGGCATTAGACTACCGCTTCCGGTTTCGGAGTTATACTACTTTCAACCCAAGCAGCTCTGGGTCATCCGCTAGTGTACTGACATTAGACCCTCTCTGTCATGGCTCAAGTGGTGGATTGAGTGAGACTAGTCCCAGTGATAAGATATGAGTAAATTTTACAAATATTCATGTCGGCCCACTAATTTTTATTGATAAGACTGAGATGTAAATATTCAACTTACTCTACTGGGTTGATGATGTTTTTTGATGCTTTGAGGGGGTGGAGTTACACCCTGGGGTGGTTCTTTTACTTCCACTTTATAAACATCACCTGAAAGTTAATATTACATTAATATATTGATCTAGAAAATTTGACCCTTCAGCATAGTTCATATCTAGAGATGACGGGTAAAAATAACATACAGGAGTTGTAGGGAGATCAGTATGGTCATATATAGACTAGCTCTGGTTATTAATGTATTCTGTTTCTGATTCTTTTATTTTTCTAAAATTTAAGTCAACCTAACTTCAAGAACAGGAGAAATGAACTGATTGTTGTCTCCTCCTGATTTCTCAGACCGCGCTGATTGGATGATAATGTTAATGTTATCAATAGATGACACTATCTGTCCTTGTAGTAGTCTCTCAAATATTAAATATAGTTGGAGCCTGTGATGTAAGGAAAACCATCTTCAAGGCTATCTTTTGGAGCAGGCCTTACTTCATAATTGATTGCCAATATCCAAGCTGTCGTATTGCCCGGCTTGATTCTAAATTTAGTGCCACATATGTTAAACTGATGACGTACTAAAGAAACTTACCTGCTTCAAATCCATCAATAGTAACATGTATATCATAGAAACCAACACATCCAGGTGTCCAATTAGCACTATATGTACCATCTGTATTAGCTCGTACTAACATATTTTCACTAGGTCTAGGTACAGCTGGTGCAGCAAATCGTAACTCTTCAAACGAATAATTCTCATAGGCCTGCAACATAAAATATGTTTTTAGTTTTAAAGGCAAGTTTTAAAAAATTCCCACCTCCCACTACAACTGGTCAGATCTTTATGTAGTGGAGTCCATCGAAAGTATAAAAATACAAAACGAAATATAGATCTGTATTTTAATCAGATTAGGGTCCTTCCTTGCCACCAAATGTGATTCTTAATAAAATACAAATAGAACTATAGTGTTCTACTGACAGTGGTGTATACAATATACATCCCCATTAAATAAGGGCATAGCAAAATCCTCAGTAGTATCATAATTAGAAGTACTATCATGATGGAATAAAAGAAACCCACCTTCATCATAGTGATTGAATGAAATACATCTTTTCTTTCTCTAACAACCACTTCATATGGTACATCTAGACATGGTGCTGGTAAACCACCAAATGTTAGATCACCATCATCTGGTCGACTTAATCGTCTCATCTTCTTCGAATCATCAACACCCTCTTTCTGATCTACTGGTACAGCTTTAACTTCAACCTGAATTACATCAAAATTATATACAGTACAGGATATGATAATGGTGTTTAAATGTCTGCATCGTTACAGCTATCACAATTCTTCAGGTCAATCCCTGTTTTTATTAACGGGGTAGTTGAGACACAACCTTCAGTTTCAGCTTTGTTACCAAAGAGTCCTTTCAGTCCCTATATAAGTTCTCAGATAAAGTCTCTGATTCCACAGGTTAATCAACACCAAGATCTATATTTAAATTATAAAACAAACACAAAATATCCTCCTGGTCTGGATTCAATGGTTGGTCCCTAGATTGTTAAAATAGAGTTGATGATTTGTACTGAAAGACAGATACACACTAGTCGCCTCCCACTTCCAATTTTCAAGCCATTTTAATCCATACCTTGACTCTCATATAATTAAACTATTTGGTACTAACCTGTGTCTAAATATATTAAAACCCCTCAGATGCCATGCTGAATTACACAGTATTTAACGTTTTAAAAACTTTACTAATTATGGAATCAATGACAATCAGTAACTAGAGTTGATGATTTGTACTGACCTTTAGATTAGGAACATTAACTAATTGTCCATACTGATCTTTATTCATGATAGTAATAACAGCTGGCCAACTACATTTTAATTCTTCTTTATTACAAACTATTTCACATTTCTTAGGATCTAGGTAGGAATCAGGCTGTAACCACCTGCAATATACATTTATATCAAACATCTATTATAAAATTTTAATTAAATCGTCTTTACTTGCAAAAAGATACATTTCCAGTAACACAATGCCAAAACACAAATCTGTGCCACATTAAGCAAAGCACATGGAACAAGATACTACTGAATGGGTTGTCATGTGTTATTTAAGAGGCAGAAAGTTCTTACTTTCTAGAACACTCAACAATACTTTTAGTTTTAATTTGAGGAAATTCACAAAACTCAGACACTTTTTTATGTTCTATTGCTGAAAGAATTTGTGAAAACGAAATAAATTTTTCAAAACCAAATTTCCCAAAATTCATGACCTGTAGGTAAAAATCCCACTTTTTTTTCCTCTTCTAATTTGTTCAAACACTAATGTAACCAAATTATTTTTTTGTTTTCGTAATAAAATTGGACATAACAACATACCTTGCCAATCTGCCACCACTGGTTCCTGGTGTACATGATACAAAATCTTTAAGAAAAGCTCTTTCATTCGACTGCCAACAGAAGGGTAGGTTACCTTCTAATGCTTGCATAATAGTAGGGGGTTGAGAAAGAGCAAATCCTTTATCTAATAGACTAGAATGACAATCAAATACCTGAAAATAGAACAATCATATAAAATTATCAGAACATAAATTTTATTAAAGGGTCATATTGCCTACAGATATGAGAATATTGATACCATTACAAAGCCATAACAACTTTAAAATTTCTCTAAAAGGGATATCTCTCCAAAATTAAATGTTTGAAAACAAGAAAGATATTTTAAATGTTTTTAAAAGTAGGACATTGATGGTAAATTAGGTAAGAACATCTTAAACATTTGAAAATATCATATGCTTTTGAAAATGTTATAATTGGGGTTTTGTGATAAGACTAAAAAACTATTACTTACCAGTTGAGCTCCCTCCTCTATGTTTTCTAATTCTTCTTCATTCTCTTCCATATTAACTACAAAACATTATAATAAAACTCATTCTCTTCCATATTAACTACAAAATATTATAATAAAATAAAACTTATTCTCTACAAACTATTATAATATAATAAAACTTATTCTCTTCCATACTAACTATATGTAATCATCAGTACAAATACTTTATCACAGCATATTATAATATGCTTGATATTAACCGATTTTGGTCTGAATCCATGAGTAATTGAAATGTAGATGTAAAAATTACCTGGTGGTAGAGCTATATCTTTCTTCATTAAAGCTGCTGCACACATTCCTCCCAGATATGCTAACTCTTTCTCAAGTTGTAGAATACTCTATAATATAATATATACAGTTATATTCCACCATCACTATATCTTTATATCATAGTAACATACACTAATCAAATTCCACATATATAATTTATAATAAAATAACATAACTGAAGCCATTTAATGAACTCTTATTATGACCATATTTTATTTGACAATGTGGTTCCATCATCAGGTCCTATTTGGTATCAGAATACTCAAAACTATGAATTCAATAAATGATAATCATGATGACCCTATTTCATTTTGCTATGTTTTTCCATAGTAAGTTCCTATCTATTTTATTTAAAATCCAATAGTCTAACCTCTTCTGGTTTAGCTGTCCACTCATATCCTATTACTGTACATTTAAACCCATAAAAACAAGCTTTTTCATCTTTAACATAATCAGAGGCAGTTTCCAATGAAAATAAAACTTCATTTCCTGTAAGAAAATATAAAACAATCAAATATGTCACTAATAATAAATCAAGGCATGCGACGGAATATCTAAAAACTGTAAAAATTGTCCATTTCTTTCTTTGGAGGGGAAACAACTTTCTCATTTCCATTTTCTGGCAAAATTTCTAATCAACTGAATAGGCCTATGTAGCTAATATGAGTTGATATTGTATGTTATATATATGTATTCATATGAAATAGTTTTTATATTTTTGCCCAATCAGATTTTGTCCTCTTGTACTTGTATATGGTTGTCCTTCGAGTTATGACCTAAAATGGGTTGACATTCACTAGTCACTGTATAGTGACCTTTTCAAGATAAACCAGCGGCTGCCAGGCAGGATACGCCCACATTTTCGAGAGATGGATAGAGAACAAGCTAAAAAGGAAGTGATTTTTCCTACAATCAAGGGCCATAATTCAGAAAATTACAATTCGATATGCACAAATATCGAAAGGAACCGAGATCTTTGGGTTATAAACTTACATTTCAAGTTTTAACAAAATCGGATAAAATTTGTGACCTCTATAGGGTCCACAACCTTGATATACCATATTTTTACGCTATTTGAGAAAGAGGGGCGGCCATTTTGTCTGTCAGTTTTGGGCCGATTTTCACAAAATTCGAACTCAGCCGTCCTTAGGGTGTAACGGTGATATAATAAAAGGTTTTTTTAAATCGGATAAAAATAATGACCTCTATAGGGTCCACAAGCTGAAAACGCGATTTTTCATAGAGTCAGGGCCATAATTCAGGAAGTTACGGTCCAATATGCGCGAATATTGAAAGCAACCAAGATCTTTGGGTTATAAACTTACATTTCAAGTTTCAACAAAATCGGATAAAAATTGTGACCTCTATAGGGTCCACAACCTTGATATTCCATATTTTTACGTTATTAGAGAACAAACGGTGACCATTTTGTCTGTCAATTTTTGGCTGATTTTCACAAAATTCGAACTCGGCTGTCCTTAGGGTGTAACGGTGATATAATAATACGTTTTTTTACATCGGATCAAAATTATGACCTCTATAGGGTCTATAAGCTAAAAACGCGATTTTTCGTACAATCAGAGGCCATAATTCAGGAAGTTACGGTCCGATATGCGGAATATCAAAGGGAACCAAGATCTTTGGGTTATAAACTTACATTTCAAGTTTCAACAAAATCGGATAAAAATTGTGACCTCTATAGGGTCCACAACCTTGATATACCATATTTTTAAGCTATTTGAGAACGAAGGGCGGCCATTTTGTCTGTCAGTTTTGGGCCGATTTTCACGAAATTCGAACTCGGTCGTCCTTAGGGTGTAACGGTGATATAATAATACATTTTTTTAAATCGGATAAAAATTATGACCTCTATAGGGTCCACAAGCTAAAAACGCGATTTTTCGTACAATCAGGGGCCATAATTCAGGAAGTTACAGTTCGATATGCGCGAATATCGAAAGGAACCAAGATCTTTGGGTTATAGACTTACATTTCAAGTTTCAAAAAAATCAGATAAAAATTGTGACCTCTATAGGGTCCAAAAGCTAAAAACGTGATTTTTCGTACAAACAGGGGCCATAATCCATGAAGGTTCGATCCGATACATGCCAATATCGAAAGCAGCTGAGATCTTTTGGGGATGAACCTAAATTTCAAGTTTCGTCAAAATCGGATAAGAATTGTGACCTGTAGAGAGTCCACAAACAATTGTGGACGGACGGACGGATGTCCAGACATATGGACGTCCGGACGGACAGGGGCGACGACAATATACATCCATATGAAAATGTGGACGTATAAAAACATATGTCTGAATACATTAAATGGCAGATCTTCTTTTCAATTTAGGTAATCACTACTGGAGTGTGACAACTTTAATCAATGTCCCGAGAAGACACTCTTTAAACAATATTTAATGAAGATCTTGATCCACAATTCTCCCAGTAACATCAAAATATACTTCAGCCCTACCGTGATGAATATTTCAAGAAATTTAATAAAACAGATGAAAATAATATCAAACCTGGTAATATAACAGATAGTTTGGGCCAGTTATTGTTGCCGTAAAATTTCTTGAGTAATGGCCAGTGTGTAATTTTTGGATTAATGTTTTCCATGCTACCATTTGATGATAGAAGTGTTGTATCTTGGTTACATGCTGGTACGTAGAGTTGTAGAGAATCTTCAGTTTGAGCTGTACCACATTGTGGATCAAACTCTATAGCTAACCATTTCACTGATGGTGGAAATTCAACCTATGATACAAAATATAAATAGTTAAAGATGTACTACTATCATTAAGAAATTAAAGCTGGACTCTAGGTAAACAAATTAAATTCATTTTTATTTGTTTAAATTGAAAGACGTAAAGCTGACATTAAGCATGTTCAGATGTGCTTATAAAATGACTTGATGACCCCCATAAAAATTCACATACTCTGGAAGCTATATCTTTTTTAACTGATCTTTGCATTGCAAGTTGAGGTTTGAATGGCTTTAAAATCATATATTATCCTAACACTGTCTTGCTTACAGTAAAGTGTAATACATTAAATTTTGTACCTGATCTAATATCAATCTGTCCGATAAAATCACATTTAACTGAAGGTACAGAACCTCAGCTTTATTTTTATGTGTTCACAGATCCTCAACTGTTTTCATAATGTGTCCTTTTTTTTTTTACAGTACTTTTAGACATTTTTTCGCATGACAAGCCTATAATCAAATCTCTAGACCAATGGATGGCTTTGATTTAAATGGATTTGAACACATGCGAGATTCTAAAATTAACAATAAAATGGATAATCAAGACTTTGTCTTGGTTGTCAAGTAATGTTTCTATGATAATAAACGATCTGCATCACATCTTCAAAGTTCAGTCATAACAATGCCCAGAATAAAGTAATTTGAATTAAATTTTCAATATATTCAATTTTCATTATCTGTTTTTCAACAATTACAACAAGAAAGGCCAGCTCTTCATCTAAATTTTGCATAATGCATCTTTAATCTACATCTACAGTGATTTATACACAAACCTTATAATTAGCCACAGAAGCAGGTTTATACGGGTGATCACTTTCAACAACAGCGTAATGTTGTGATGTAGTACATGAGCCTTGTTCTGTTATACTTGAATCAAATGTTGATGATGAGTTAATCATAGGATTAGCCATCTGTTTAGTTATAGCAGCTACAGCTGGTAAAACATCTTGTATTAAATATAATACTTGTACAGCTCCCTAAAACATAATAGATATTTATAAGTAATAAACAATTTTACACCAATCCATTCACTAGATTTAATAGTTTTCATACAATATCTGTTTGTCATCTCGGTTTATGAAGAGCCACCACCATCGACAGTGGAGTACTTGACTGAACATTCTGCAAATGAATATTATCTGAAAGGCGTCAAATGAATATCGAGGAAATCTTTCTTTGACCCAGTATATAACTGCATCATATCTGATTCAGCAGATATTTTTTAGAAAATATTTAATATAGGTTTTGGATCATCATAAGTACTGATTTGTCCTAGAAATTTGACTGCCAGTTGACAACCTTACTATTCATCTCCCCTATTATTTATAAATATATAAAATAATAAGATTAGTATTATAATTACCCTAGGATCTTGTGAAGCTACTGGACCAACATAAGCCAGAGCTAATGGTAATAATGATGAGAATAGATGTGATTTCCCCAATACTTCACTGACATCATCACCTGTAAATAGACAGTATATTAGAGTTTATTTCATCATTTAGTTATAAGTATAATAAGTATTATGTATACTAAGTTGAAGCTACAGTTGCGTGTTGGGAACCGCCCTGGCTCAACAATAAGGAGTTCGTGAGTTTGATCCTGGTGTCGTCTGGTGTCGTCTGGTCGGAGCAAGTTCCTCAGAATTCTCCAGTCTAGTTTCCTTTTGTCCTTGGTGCAGAAAGGGAGAAATGTCTAGTCATTCAGATGGCACAAAAATTGAGGTCCTGGATTAGCCTTGAAAATAGCATCTTCAACTAGATGTCATCTCATAATTTTGCAAAAGTTGTTCTAAGACTTAAAAGATTTACCTGCAAGACCTTGAGCTCTATGTAATAGATCTGTAGCTATAATACAGATGGCACCAGTAATATCAATGGCATTTTTACGAGCCTGTAACTCGGCTAAATTCTTGCTACTTTGTTGATGGCTTTCACCTTCTTGCGGAGCACTGCAAGTAAAACAAGTTTATTTTCTAGTTTTTTAATAATAACACTAAACATGCTACAATAATATTTGAAACAAGAACATGTTATTCATTCAAAGGAGGAACTTAACACTAAGGAATCCCAATCCACATATGGTGATGATTTCCGGTCAAATGATCACTACTATGGCTTTATTACCATTGATTTTTCCATTATCCACAACTTTACCGAACTACATGTAAAACACAATTGTTTGTTGTTAGTATCTTGATTTTGGTTGTCCAAAGATAAATTTTCTGGCAGTTATTTAGTACTTTATTAACTTATTATGACCAAGGTTCCATGTACCAATTCTTAGGACACACCACAGTTTTGAAGATTATAAAATGCATATTTGAATCATAGATTTTATTTCATTTTAAGTATGAAGTATGAAGTATATAATTCAGAAACAACTCATCAAACCCCAAAAAACATACACATACATGGTCTCTGGTATCGGAAGGCCATAAGGAACAGTCACATTCATCACTTTATTTTAAATACAGTAATAAAGTCATAACCAATCAAATTACCTATAGTATAATATCTGTGGAATTTGACCTCTCATGTGATTGCTACCATTACTACTTAAAGAACAGGCTGTAAAGGTGAAGGTTGTTCCATCAGAACATTTTACTTTAGTCTTTCCACCATCACCATTTAATGTTCGTGATCCACGATTCTTTAATTTTACAGCATATTTTACTCCTTCCTGTAATAAACAGTATCTTATAGACATCTGACATTATAAATATTTTCATTCTTATTCAAGGATCATTTGGAACTAATTAGATTCATTCTAAGTATCAAACTACAATAGCATAATTCTATGGATAACACCTACAATAATAGCATAATTCTATCGATGACAACTACAATAGCATACTTCTATGGATAACAACCAGTAATTAGATTTATTCTCAGCATCAAACTACAATACCAGCGTAATTGTTGAAATATCACAATGTATAGGTGTCAAAGTTATCAACAGAATAATTGTGTTTATAATTCACAGAAATAGATAAGCCTTATAGATGGAATATAGGGTTTAATACCTTGATAGGAACTGGTCTGTCAAATCTGATCTCGGCAATATCATTAACACAATCTTCTGGTGTATACGACCCTCGTACTGTTTCTACTGTATTCCATCTCTGTGTATGAGATAACTCTGCTCCTCGTATCTCTGGCTGCTGCTAGACACATCAAAATATGTTATTATTACTTTTAAATTCTAGACAGAAACTTGAAACCAGATGTAGCAGTGTCTAAATACTACAGATTCACCATATAATGATTATGATGAGACGTCTTGTTTCAGACAAAATTGATTAAGCAAAATTTTAAACAGAACATGTAGACCAAAAAAACAAAACACATAAAACCAGAAATGAATTAAGATTAAGGGAATGAAATGGAGTTTAATGCCAATACTTCAGCGATTTTGACACAAATCTATGGTCATTGTTATTTCCACCTTACCGATTTTGTCCAACTGTCAGCGGACATTTTACATGCATGTCAATATGTACAACGGTGGACCACACTTTCTGTCCCTTCTTAATGACTAGGCACTTTCCCTGTCAGCCCAGCAGCAAAAAATGAAATGAAATGAAATGGGTTTTGACATGCTACTGTTCTGCTCCAACTGGGCAAATGAAGACGGACATATGCCCTACAGTGTGCTATGAAGGAAATTTTGCCTGAAAAAATAGACAGCTGTCCTTGTCAGGCCATCCGTCCGAAACCATGCCGGAAAAAGCAGATGCATTTTCTCTGACAATACTGGGACCGAACCCGCGACTTCTAGACTAGCGAGTCAACGTCTTACTCACTTGGCCACCGTGGCTCCCCGGCAAATAATGAAATAAGGATCCAATATTATTTAGACTGTTGCACTGTTATAAGACTGCATTGTTGATAGGAAATTGGGTATTTTATACTTAAAATTCATCTGATAGAATATTTCTAGTTATATATACCTCATCTAATAATTCTACTTCATATGTATAATTTCCTCCACCACCATATACACATACACCAGCTATTAGAATTCCTGGTCTATCAACAGTAAAAGCTACAGCATCAGGACTACCATTACCAGTATTCCAAAATGGACTCTGGCTAGTTCTTGTAAAACGATTTGGTGTTACCAACAGTGGACGGGATGATGTAGTAAAATCAACCTGTATATAAACAATGCAACATAACTTTTTACAAATAGAAATAACAAGAATATATGTTAAATATAAATAACTTTACGAATATAGATAACTAGAATACGGGTTAAATAGAAATAACTTTAAAATTTGTTGAACAAAAATATCTAACACAAAATATACAAAAGTTTCTTAACAATGAAGGTAATTTCTTTAGCACCTGTACTGACCAATCCGGAAATGGCTTACACATACAATAAACATTATTTAATTCAGATCGAGTAAGACAATCTTGTGATTGAGGGAATTCAATTGACACTTCCAAAGTGTCCAATCGAATTTTCCGATGGAATCACAGCGTAATGCTGTTTCACGTTATTTCCACTATATGGGAATTAACAACAAAGTAAATATCTCACCATTTCTAGTCCTGTTGCGGTTGCAGCCAGTTCACTGATAATAGTTGATAGAAGAGCACATGTATTAGCCACAAGGGATTGTGGAAAATCAAAGACATCTTTGTTGAGTGTAAGACGAACAGGTAGTGTAACAATCAATAACAAACGATCTAAGACTTCTTTAAAAGAAATATGGCTGCCACCAGCAACACTATCAACCTACAAGAGAAGTTACATCATTAATACAAAAACAATATAGCTGGTGCTGAAAAAGGTAATGTTCAACATTGAGTGAGTGGAAACCCATGAATGCCTTTTTATCATGGAATTCTATACATTTAGGATCTTGATTATCTTGAAAACATATCTTTAATATCAGCATAAAATAAATGTAAATGTACTGCCATTCTAGGACTCATACCACTAGTTAATGTAGGATGTTTATGTATTTGTACCTCCATTCTATAACTCATGACTAACTAATATTGCTTCAGGAATATGGCTAATATAGGATGTTTATGTAAATGTACCCCATTCTATAACTCATACCACTAGCTAATATAGGATATTTATGTAAATGTACCTCCATTCTAAAACTCATATGACTAGCTAATATAGGATATTTATGCATCTCTCCCATTCTAGCAGCACTGTTAGTATTGTCATCCATACATAGCGAGTGACGTCTCAGTATTTCCTCGGCTTCTGGTTCACAGTTTATTGGCATGATATTTGTTAGTTTGATGGCTGGATGACACATTGCCTCCATAACTGCAGCAAGCAGACGTCCAACTCCTCCAGCATTAGGTAATGACTAGAATAAGATAAATATACAGTTGTAATGTAACATACAATCTTTTAATGTCTGTACATGCAACAATCATTTCGTTTTGGGGGGAAAATGTAGGTGTTCGTAAGTTATTGTTAGATTAATTGACTGACCCATTTAAGGAGTTTCAATTTCCAGTTGTATGAATGACTATCAAATACTACTTACTAGTATAACATGGGGAAACTGAATGTTTGTAATTCTGCGATAAAATACCACAGAGCTTTAGATCATTTTAATAAGAGAATTCCGAACAACTGGTAGTGGGGCGACGTCTTTAAACAATCATCATTCTACATGACATTACATTACTGATGTAGCTTTGTATTCACCTCCATTTGAAAATTCTACCAGACTTATATATTTTCCCATTTATACTCCCAGCACCCTTGTTTGTCAGCCTCAAAGTGGGTAGACTATATAGTTAATTACATGTTCTAAATATTCTGCTAACAAAGATTTTTACATCCAGTGGAAGAGTCAATGACAAGATTATCAAGTTCAGAAACTAGTAGAAACACTGATCACATTTGCTCGTTTAATGAATTTCTTCTTACCATGTCAGTTAATCGAGATAATTAGATTTCAATGTTAGGTTTATCACAACTATTTCTAGTTCTAGTATTACATACTCAATTTACTCAAGAGAGTGAAATATATATTATATGTAGGTACTGAGAAAATGAGTAAAAATAATATTAGATGTATTGATATATACTCGCAAAAACAAAAAGGTTAAGAAGTTTAATAAAGAAAAAAAAGCAAGAAGTAAAGATTATAAAACTTCTTTAGATCTAGCATTTACTCACAGTTACACTCTAAAATAGGCCATACAAATTATACATTTTTTAAAATCTTATTACCAGTAGACAAACCAGCTCTTTAATTTCCACATGTTCGCCTTCCAATATATTGAATTCATGACTAAAATTTAAGTAAATTCTTACTACCATCTGAGAAAGATGGACTTCAGTTCTCATATATTGGTCTTTCTTAGATTGTTTTGAAAATCAGTAGCCAGTTCAGTTTAAAAAAAATACTCTTTAGTTTCCGGTAATCCTTGGAAGTTTAAAAAGCTTTTTCTAAAATTATTTTGACAGATATGCGTAGAATTCAATTGGATCAACACTTCATAGTGTTCCCTTTATAGGGAATAATTCTAACATCAAGCAAAATTTAAATTTTTAACCACCGAAAGTACATTCATACAAACCTTATTAGAACCTTTTTTCTTTTTAAGCATCTATAAATTAAGGAAATATAATAAGATATGAAAGCTAAGTGATATTATTACAACAATTCTAAAAACAAGAAGCACATAAATCTAGAATAAATTAAAGTGACAATGGTCTAAATTCATTATCAATTCGTATACCGATCAAATTGATTAAATACAGATCTATATTTAGTTTTGTTTTTTTATACTTTCGATGGCCTACACTACATAAAGATCTGACCAGTTGTAGGGAAAGGTCGTGTCAGAGGTCGTACAAGCGGCTTTTGACCCTATGACGTCAGACATTGAATAATCAATCAACGTTGATGTTTCTAGTGGTTTACCCAGAGTTCCGTGCATCACACACCAAGAAGTCACTGTAACAGATGGTTTCATTGGCTAATCCCTCATGCTATCCAGAACACAGGTTATATAACAACTCTTCCAGATCCTAGTGTAGTAAAGACAAGTAAAATGAAATTTTGAAGTATAAAAAACGAAACGAAATAGGATCCGAGTTTTAATCAGATGGTATATCGATAGCAGCAAGAAGGCAGAGAAAACAACCAAAAGTCCAAAGAGTCTCAGATTCTGAGAAATATTGAAACCAGCGGCTGCCAGGCAGGATACGCCCACATTTTCGATATGCGCAAATATCGAAAGGAACCGAGATCTTTGTGTTATAAACTTACATTTCAAGTTTCAACAAAATCGGATTAAAATTGTGACCTCTATAGGGTCCACAGCCTTGATATACCATATTTTTACGCTATTTGAGAATGAAGGGCGGCCATTTTGTCTGTCAGTTTTGGGCCGATTTTCACCAAATTCGAACTGGGCCGTCCTTAGGGTGTAACGGTGATATAATAATACGTTTTTTTAAATCGAATAAAAATTATGACCTCTGTAGGGTCCACAAGCTAAAAACGCGATTTTTCGTACAACCAGGGACCATAATTCAGAAAGTTACGGTCCGATATGCGCAAATATCGAAAGGAACCGAGATCTTTGGGTTATAAACTTACATTTCAAGTTTCAACAAAATCAGATAAAAATTGTGACCTCTATAGGGTCCACAACCTTGATATACCATATTTTTACGCTATTTGAGAACGAACGGCGGCCATTTTGTCTGTCAATTTTGGGCCGATTTTCACGAAATTCGAATTCAGCCTTCCTTAGGGTGTAACGGTGATATAATAATATGGCTTTTTAAATCGGATAAAAATTATGACCTCTATATAGGGTCCACAAGCTAAAAACGCGATTTTGCCTACAATCAGGGGCCATAATTCAGGAAGTTACGGTCCAAAATGCACGAATATCGAAAGGAACCGAGATCTTTGGGTTATAAACTTACATTTCAATTTTCAACAAAATCAGATAAAAATTGTGACCTCTATAGGGTCCACAACCTTGATATACCAAATTTTTACGCTATTTGAGAACGAACGGCGGCCATTTTGTCTGTCAATTTTAGGCCGATTTTCACGAAATTCGAACTCAGCTGTCCGTAGGGTGTAACGGTGATATAATAATATGTTTTTTTAAATCGGATAAAAATTATGACCTCTATAGGGTCCACAAGCTAAAAACGTGATTTTTCGTACAATCAGGGGCCATAATTCAGGAAGTTACGGTCCGATATGCGCGAATATGGAAAGGAACCGAGATCTTTTCGTTATAAACTTACATTTCAAGTTTCAACAAAATCGGATAAAAATTGTGACCTCTATAGGGTCCACAAGCTAAAAACGTTTTTGTACTATTATTGCAAGAATGGTCAGCTCTATATCTAAATCTTACATAATGCATCTTTGAAAAAAAAAAAATATTAATATTGGTTAGAATTACATATATTAAAAATTACAAGAACCATTATCAATATAAGAATCATTAATATAAGAACATAATCGTGCTTTAAAATCGTGCATTAAAAATATATCTTATAAAATGAATGAAAATAAGAAGAAAACGGTATATGCTAATATATACACCAAAATTAAATCCAGTGGTTTTGTTACATAAAAGGTAATTTTTAATTATCATAAATAATAATTTTACACTAGCTCAATCATGTATCTAATCTGTCATACCAAAAAATAAAACCATTAAATACCGCGAACTTCAAAATTTCACCAAGATAATAATATAACTTATTTTGACAAAAGTCTTAAGAAAAACTCATTTACATATCAAAAATGAGTATTTGTTAAAACTCATATTGGAAATCACTAACAAAATTTTACGACTCGTGCAAGGTAGAATTGATAGGTATATGATGTATTGACCAATTCAAATCTGTTTTCAATACACACAATGTAACTGTAAAGTTAAATTATGGAAAATCGAAAAAATTATGTAGTTACCAACCACCAAAGATCTCGAGTGAAGGTTTTTGTGAATTAGTATTACCACGGTGCCAATGGATATCAAAACCAAATGTTGATTACAAAAAAAAACACTGACTTACATCTATAGCATTGCTATATACTCCAGCAAGCAATAACTATCTATTTCTAATTCTAGAAAAACTGACACAAGACTTACCGGTTCCGTGCGACATAATAAATCACATAAGCACCACCATTTTAAGGTTCCTGTTGGGTAAAATGCATGAAAACAGGAACTAAATGTTTTATGACATTCATTCAAGATGTCTTCTCTTTGCTCCTTAAATTCGGTCATTCCTTCAGGTTCGGTTAAAAAGACTTCAAATTTGGTGGGATTTATTTCTTCTGCCAGGATTCTCTTTAAAACATCTCTAGCATTTCCAATCTTCTCAGCTAGTTCTGTTGTTTCCATGGAATTCTTTTTTTTACTTACTATAGGTTGAAATAAATACAATAATTAATGATAAACATAATATAACACATGAACAACCTAATTAACTTTATAAAGATTGAATGATAACACGCAACTGGTTCTTGCACACCCGAAAACATCGCGCCTGTATAACCAGTACATGATTGGTTGAAAAATGTATTTTTTAGCCAATCAAACAGCTTTCACCCAATTTATAGCAGTGGAATTATCAAACATTATATCAATTGGCTCCTGCCGTTTTAACAAGGTTTTCTAACTGAAGGGGAAGTACTCCACGGAATTTTATTGAAAATTGTGGAAATCAAGAAAAGTCTTTCTTTTACTTTGGTGAGCAGACTAACTGAATTTCTAATTAAACTAAACAGCCGATGATAATTTTGGTTTCTAGAATGTCACCAAAATATTAACAATCAAGGAACGTAACTTTGGCAATTATTGTCAAAACTATTTAATCTTAATTGTTGTGTTCAAAAGAAATTGTGAAAAAACAGACAAACCGACTCAAATATGAGGCCATATATCTGCAAGAATTATTCTTCTTTGAAATTTTAGGCAATAATATTTATATTAATAAAGAATAATTACCTCCATCTGAATATATTTCATTGACATATATCTTGAGTAATCGTAGAGAAGCTCGACAGATATAAACCAATCTTTGTAGATCATGTACAGCAGCTGTATGACTGGCACCCTTTAAATTTTCTATATCACTTACAGCTGTATGGAACACATTCCAAGCCCAATCTAATAATCTCAATAATGAATCAAAACACGTCTACAAAACACAATAAAATAAATAAACATATGTAGATATATTGTGACTACTTTATTCCAAAAGAAATTAGGTCTTATTTAGCAGTAAGTATCTTTTATTAAAATATTTTATTTTTTTGTCAATTCCAGACACTGGTTTCTACACTGCTGATAGTTTTTTTAATTCTGGTCTTAAGCATTAGTCTTGGGAGCCAAGGTGGTTCTGTGAGTTAGGTAGTGCCTCACTAACCAGGAGGTCCAAGGTTCGATCATAGTGTTGGTGGGTTTCCCCTTGTCCGTGGTACAAGATGGAGGGTCTAACAATAGTCATTCGGAAGGGACAAAAAACTGTAGACAGTAAAATAACGAAACATAGGCGGAAATCTACTGTCAGAGCAAAATTTTACTCATAGCACACAGTGGGATGTTTAACCCCAATTCATTGTATATGATTTTTATTGCTATTTTCTATGACTATCAGTTTAGTTCTTAATACAAAATGTTTAAAATTGAAAGTAGAAAGAATGATACTTACTGGTGACACAGAATGAGAGAAATCTTCACTAAGTATATGAGCTGGTTCAATATGTTCTGTTCTTCTTATAACACTTGGACCATCACGAGAAGGTAATCTGTAATATTTATATTTACTAATCTCCAATTAACCAGGTTTTTTTAATACCAAAACTAACATTTAGAACTTCTCAGTTAATATTTAATAATATATTGTATAATTAATAGATTTGACAATTAGTATTAAAATAACAGGAATTTATAAGTTTATCAAAGTGGGAATGGGACTTTAATTGTTGGTTATGGAGGGGGGGGGGTCCATCAATAGCTTGAAAAAGTGGAGATGTATCATGGTCAAGCAACGCATTTCTATTTTATATCACTGAAAAACAGTGGCATCAACGAAAAAATAGCTCAAGAAAAACAACATTACTTATTTGCTATAAGTTTATATAAATAATTGGTACGACAAATGTACCCATAAAACAAACCTGTATAAAATTTGTGGAATCTGGCCAGCGTTTACATCTGTACCATTATTAGATTTATTAGAACCTTTAAATTTAAATACAACTCTGAAATAAAAACAATATTGTATTTTTAAAAGAATATTTATAGGAATAAAGTTGATATCTCAAGTTTTATAGAAATATTTATAATAGACAGACATAGGATTTTAATGTCCACTAAATCCAACCTGGTTACATTTTAACCATCATTATGGTAAATCCATCCTTATTTCATTCTTTTGATTTCATGCAGTGAGAGGTAATTAAAAAACGTAGAGATAACACACAAGGCCATGTGGAGGCCACAGTGGCTAAGGATCGATCCCAGTATTGGTCAAGTGGTGCAGGATGGAGATCCTGGCATGAAATAGTGTGTAGTTATTCGGATGTGACAAAAACAAATCAGGTTCCATGTACACCATTGACAGCACATTAATGATCAAATGATAGTTTGAAATCAAAATAAGAGAACGTCGTAGGGCTGCTGATGGTGTAAAAGTACTTACTGATCTTCTGTAGTGACCGTTGACTGACCACTAGAACCACAATCACTACTAGGACCTGATATTCTAGCCCATGCTACATACCATACATTAGCTTGTATTAATATAGGTTCATCAAATAACACAGCATACTTCTCTCTGTAATATAGTCACATTTCAAAAATTCAAAAATGATAATATCATTTATATCTAAGACATTAATCCTTTTAAAAACTTGTTCAAACTATTGCACCATTTAAATATTCATAACTGTAAAACTTACCTTGGACCACATTCATATGGCAATTCTTCTGTTTCTGCTAATTGTTCTCCATCTATTTCATTTTCACCTCCATCAACACCAAGTTCAAATAACTATAATAATATACAAACTTTAGTCAATGATGTTATCCTAAACTATGTTAAATAAAGTAATGTTTGATCATAGAGAAAGTAAGTATCTGGATCCTATACTGATTTACACTCCATCTAGCCTCACGATCCACATGATAGTGATTCACAATGTCTTTCACAAAAATAAATTGAGACTGAAAAAAAACTTGTTTGGGCCTTAGATGTGCTTTAATATAACTTGCTTATAATTAACCTTACCTTAATTCTGCCAAAATATTCTCCTCTACCCCCAAATAATCCGAGTCCACCTATTAATACATCTGTATCACACATAAACCTTATAGCTTCTATAGAATGACCTGAATAACCCCAACCTCCACCATGACCTGATCAAACAAAACAAAACACAATTCATTCGTTGTATAATATCTTCAGGAAGATGGGAAACGCAACTAGAGTGTTGGGTATTATCCTATATGACTTGCAGTTTTATTTTTCCTTCTTCATTAGCATGGTTAGTGAAGAACAGTAGGATATTCAACACATTTCATTTCATATATTATTACGAAATAATGTATGTGTCAAAAATAATATGAAATTAAAAGAGAAATCATTAAAGATACAAATATGGATGATGTTGCTGAAATTCAAACTTACTTTCAAAACGATTAAGGACAGAGAAATCTTCTTTAGAATAAACTTTGGTGGTTGTCAGTTTTTCTTTTGTTTCTTCAGCAACTTGAATATTGAGCTGTCGTGCAATAGTTAGAGTATCCAAACAACCTACAAAAAATAGTTACATAGATACAATATGTATATAAGGCAATGCATGGGCATCATACAACTTGTACTATAATATGGTAACCTGTCCCTTGGATGGTAACTTATAGCCCGTTCAGTTTATACTTAAACTAGTCCAAAATCACTGGCGATTTAAGACACGATAGTGCTGCATTCACACATACTATAATCCAAACCAGTTTAACTATTTTGAACTTGTCGGTTAAAGGTCAGAGTTAATTACACATGGCCAGGAAGATAGCTTACCCAAAACAAGCTGTTCAGGTGGCCAAAACAAGAAAGCTTTGACAAAAAACCTTTTTGCAGACAGGTAGATCTGTGGTTTTTAACCTGGTCTATTTGCCCCAAATTTACATTCGGATGTGCAACTTAATGTGGTTTTAGTAGTTTTACAATCTGCATGGGATTTTAAACCAGTTTAACTTGCACGTCTGAACGGGCTATTATCTATATATATACCTATATACCTAACATAGGGTAGTTTTCATTTCATTGAATTTCAGTGCTAAGGATTCATGTGCATGCATGCCAATGTTGGGGGATCTTTATCAGGCTACCAATGGTATACATGGGATCTCAAATTTACCTTCCATCCGAAAAACTAGACATACTTTCCTTGTCAACCCCACAGAGTGCCACCCCTGGTAAAAATCCTAAAGAATCTATATGGCCCATGCTAGGAACCGATTTCATGACATTCTAGTCGAGAAACGAGGCCCTGTATGACAGGATAAGCTTGGTATAATGTGACATAAGTTAGTATTAGTATACCTAGTATATGTAAAGCACAATGTGAGCGGGAGGCTTTACATCCCATTCTGGTTGGTACAGCTAATTCTGGTGAAAATATATGACAATATCCTGGATCTATCAATCGTAGATCTCGAGCATCAGTTGATAAAACATTATAACATTGTAATTCTTGGGTTGCTGATGAATATCTTAAATTAGAAAGAAACTTTGTAATCTGTCATGACATGTGAATTTAGGCCATACAACAATAAAATATTCAGTTTCTCGGACAATCCTTCTAAAAAAACAGACACAGGAAGGGGGTTTTCATTTTGTTAAATTTATCAGCACTAAATATGACCGAATTCAGTGATTTTTTTACACATCACACTCACAATATATTTGTGCTAAAACAAACCCTGTTAATTTTATGTTATTTTAAAAGCAGTTTGGATCAATATCATAAGAATTGTCCAAGAGTCAAGACTTGATGTTAGTTATAACTACAGGTGTTTAGCAATCAAAATAACATTATCTCTACAGTACAATACTAGTTTTATTAATATACTACTTACCCCCACAATACATCATAGACTGGATCTAAACAAACAGCTTGTTGACTTAAATCAACTTGTTCATTTCCACTAAAACTATAAAATATCAAATAACGTATTATTCACTTGACAGAAAGTTTCCTTACAACATGCAATAATATCCTCCTTAAGATGTGAGCACATCCAACGTTTCTGAATCAACCGGGCTAAAGAGGGCCAGCATACACAATGCAGTGTGCTATGTAGAAATTTTTGCCTTGACACTTGTGCTAAGGCCTACTCTTAGTTTGACTTCCAACTATCAGGGGATCTTGACATAATGCCAATTGTATATCTGGGACCACAGTTTTCCATCCATCTGAACAACTAGGACCCAGATTCCTTCGTCCTGCATCAAAGACGAGGAGGAAACCAGGCTGGAAAATTCTGAGAAACTTTTTCTGATGACACCAGGATCGAACTTGGGACCTATTAATCAGTAAGCCAGCACCATACTCACAGCAACTGTAGATGGTTGAAATAACCTTATGAACCCTCCAACAAATGAGTAATATTGCATACCTTTTACACCCACCATCAACTTTACTTATCATTAAACATTTCATCAAACCAGCATGGTCTTCTCCTTTTGGGATCAATCCTTTAAAATATATAAAACAATATTAATACAATAATATCAGGAGTTATATAGCACATGATTACTACACTTAATTCCTAATGTGTTTTCAAGTATTTCCCCTGTTAGTCACATTAAACTATTTTGAAAAGATGAGTTTTCAATGTTGGTTGGCAGATCATTGAAATTACACAAAATGTCAATCGTATGTTTCTTTGGTGTGTACTATACATGTACACGTTTCCACACAAGAGTGAATTTTCTTAACAATATTTTTACTTTATGTAATGGATAGGGTACGTTGATGACAAGACTAGAGAATTGGTTTCAAATCAAAAGGTTTCTTCCTTAAATTCAAATTGTGCCGTCTCTATATATACTGTATTTTATAGTTTACAGCATTGATGCACTATAATTTACAACATGAATACATCTGAGGAAAAAAAAGTGACAAAAATTAAGTCAAAAATAATGGACAGTTTTAGGGTAATAATCATTTCTCAATAATTTTTAGGCTTTTTTATCGACTTGCCAAATCGATTTGAATTTAGTGGAGATGTCATGTGACAGTATAGTCGATTTCAAAGTACTTTGGCGAGTTCGTTAAATGCTCCGATTAGCTGTAAACAATTATTGTGGCTGGACACAGTTGAAAAAAAACACGTGATCACCCGATCAAATCGTCAAATCGCACCCTGAAGTGATTTGGCGATTTGATGTAATCGCTTCGGAAATCGGTGTCGATAAATTCGTTGATTAGGGTAACCAATTTGAATTAGATGGACATTAAAGATAAAAATTTGATTGAATGCAAATCACCTTGGCTAATCAGTGGTCGATAAAAACGCCTTTTGTTAAATCATTAACTGAAATGTTTGCATTAAAACATCCCAACCCCTTTCCTTCTTACATACCTATACATGTAGAACTAGCAAATACATTAGATTTAGATAATGTATGGGCGTTAATTAACGATTCATCAATCCTCATAAATGTCTGATCACCACTGGCACCAACCCATGTAGCACGTCGACCACATCTAGCACCTGGGAAAAATAAGTTGAGATAATAGAAATTTTTGTCACATTCTATACATTCAAAAATTGACAGACATCATAAAATGGCAGATACAGCAATCCAAACTGCAGAAGAATAGCTTTTCTAACAGCATTTTTATTTTGGTAGATTTCAAAACATTTTGAAATTCATTTGTTTCCATGGAGAGAAAAGGTTAAATTTTCCAAACACAACTTTGCATTGATTTTCATTTAAACTTTTCAATCTGTATCTCACATGCATTTATCTTTCAAAAATGGATGACATTTGTAGCTGATTTACACCAAAATCTTATTTCCAAAAAAAAATTTTGACCGGACAGCATACACCGGTGTGAACCCCCATTTTCTTTCCCAACCGGATATCATGGTTTGATTAGTTGAAAATAAAAGGTGTTCTTACCAACAGCAGATATTGGTGCAGGTAGGGTATTAAAAGGTGAAGTGGCATAAGCTTTATTTTTTACATATTCACTCCTCACTCGACCTATGGCTCCCTTCTAGACAAAATAAAGTCTCAAGGCAATGAAAACATGATTAAGAAATTCAGTGAATAACGGAAGGGAAATATAATCAAACTGTCACTAAGGCCATATCAAAAAAACACTCTGGTTCTCAGATGATCCTGCGTCTAAAAATAGTCTCATTAATTACATCTTGTAAAATATTTTATTCTGGTTAAAGGAAGTACCTGTACCCTGAATGAATCGACAAATGTGCCATAGGTTCAAAATTATGAAGTATGCAATCGAATAAATGTCGTTGGCTGTCAAACATGATACTGGTTAATAATACATTAATCAAACATACATTATGCAAGAGCTAAATCTGCCTATTACAGGTCTTTCTTTAGGCCTCAAATGTTATCTAAATTATTAATTAGACATTAATTAATTTATCCAGACTTATCGAGACTTTGTTTTTTATCGCACCAACTTTACTAATGATGATCGAGGATGAAGATACTAGTTAATAATATAATTGTACGAGTACTTACGGGATAATTACCACATGTATAGACTTCTCCACTAGATAATAATATAACTGTATGTGTACTACCAGCAGCTATCTGTGTAGCAGGTAGAGGTAATTGTAGTTTATTTGGTGTTCCTCTGTAATACCAACACATAACTCATCATAGAGGCACATCATATAATTAAAGTACTTTTGATGTTAACAAAATAATTTTAAGGATAAATGATAAAGACAAACACATCATATATTTAGTAAATGAATCTCAATTGAAAGATTGTAAAAATAAACTGGTTTTCAACTTTTAGGGAGCAGGAGCTGGTCCTCAAGTGCTACTCATTTTGTTGTTTTTCTTGGTGACAAAGCTCTTCAAAAAAAGCCTGAGACTCTGCCAATTTAAGTATGATCAACATAAAATTGGCATGCTTATTCTTTGGATAAATGCACATCGATTGACAAGTTTTGATTTTTGGTACGACATTACAATTACAAGATGGCAGTATTGATGTCATGCAGTTCCTGGTCCATATAGTAGTATTGTACTTGTTTCTTAAAAATAGCCAGATTGGCTATGGTGTAAATTAAAACTAACTAATTATGAAATCACAGTTTAAGTGCCAAAATCACATTTTTCCTCCACTCTTCCCAAATAGAAATATCCTCATCATTTGGATTATTTATCTTGCTCTTCCCCGGCCTTTTCACTGAGATCAGGCCTTATTTGTACTGTTACAGGGATTCTTCCTACCTTCTACCCAGGGTTATTCGACTCTACCTTGGAATTTTATATCTATACTAATATTTGTAACTGTCAGTTGTCTGTCTGTTCAGGGTTGGAAGCTACACTAGGGCTGTCCCGAGCATGAAATTTGGTCTGTAGGTGTAGCTTGGGCCGGGTGTAATATAGGCCTGGGGGCGATGGACTACCACTTTCGGTTTTAAAGTTATGCTACTTCTAGTTTATGGCTATACCCGTGCTATGCCGGGCCAACCGCTAGTATTATATAATTTGTAAGTAAAAATAATCATCAATTATACCTGACTGTCATATCTCCTAACCCTAGTTGTCCAGATGAATTATTACCAAATGTATAAACATCTCCATTCTGTAGTAATAGCACTGTAGATATACATAACACAAATATAAATACAAATACTGGTCTGAATACTCTAGAAATAGACTTTAAAATACTTTAATTTATTTGTGGAGGGTAGAATATAAGTCTGAAGTGATTTATGAAAGAAGTTTAACTCAAAGCTATATACTTTAAACATATAGAAGAGTAATAAAGTTAGAATAAACAATGAAAGAAAATGGCTAAAATAACCAATAAATAAAGGTTGCCAGACAATTAAACAGAATGTATATACGACATAAGAGTTTAAAGTCCTACTTTTCTGCATCTACAAGGCAACTACAGGGATAATGAGGAAAAGTTTGCCCGGACAGAATTCCACTAGTCAAGAGTTCTTTTATGTGCTCGCCAAGGTGTACACAGGACTTTGTTTTTTCGTGCCATCTGAACGACTAGGCTCTGTCCTTGTAAGGTCCTCCATCCTACATAATTGACAAGGGAGGACCACACTGGAGAATCCTGAGAAAATTTCACGGCCAACGTCGGGATCAAACCCTGGGCCTCCAAATTAGTGGGCCAGCACCTTACTCACTGAGTCACTGCGGATACTGGCAATTAAGCAATTAAACAAATCGCTGCACTGTCCTACCAACCTATATAGTTTTCGTGTGTTAACAATGAATTGTAGATGTACATACAGACAGCCAAGATTACAACAATATACAACCACAGTATAATATAAGTTTATATGATGTAGACCACAATATACTACCACAGTATAATATAAGATTATAAAACTATAATAATACCTGTATGATGTAGACCACAAGCTATCTGTGTTACAGGTATTTCACCATTATCAACTGTTATTTCAGCAGGTGGTAAACTTACTAATTTAGTATATTCTGTATCCTGATCCGCTCCTCCATCTATACAGAGAAAAATGGCATTAATTACAGTCTGTTTGCGATTAAAATATAATCAATTCTAAAGTCTTCTAATGGGCCTCTTTTTAATCATATTCATCTACAGTTGATATTTTGGTTTCATGTTAAATAATCAATTTGAACACATTGTAGCATGTATTAAGTCATACAGAATTAGATATTGTCCTATAAGTGCAGGATCTGTGATTTTAATTACATCATACATATTTTTCTACTTTTCAATTTGACAATGTTTCTATTACACAGATACTGTAAAATACCTTTTTGACGTTTTTCTCTAGCTAGTTTTTGTTGAGCTCTTCTTAATTCTACTTTTTGTTCCCATCGTCTACCCATTTGTTCTATTGGTCTAGCAGCATGACGTCCTAAAAAATATTTCATAATGTTTGTGCTTAAATATCAATTTTTAGATCCCTCTTTGCCCATACAATTAATTAATAATATTTCACTTACACAAACCCGGCAGAGATTACACAGAGGCAACTCTTTTCCTTATAACATACAATCGACAGATCAAACTCAGTCATGACAAATAAAAGATCCAGAGCACAACATTTTTTTAACAAATGGTCTCCGAACCTGTGGCTTGACAGAACCTGTGGCTTGACAAAGTAGAAGTCATGCAAGATCTTCTTAAATAGGTAGACAACAAAATGTAAACCCAAAGTTCTTCTGCCACATTTCTTTTTATCAACAAAATAAAAACAGAATAAAAATGTTTTCTTTCAAGTTTTTTTTTGTTTTTAAATTTCTAATTATCTCAATGTTTCAGATTAAATATATATTTCTGGAAATGTACACTTATGATAAGCCAGGAATACAAATTATTTTGTCCTCACCAATGATTATATCAAGCGGTAACAGCTCTTTATCTTTAGAAAAAACTTCCAGTAAGCCTCTTTCATCCAGTTCTTCTAATTCTAGTTTTTCTCCAGCACAGACCCGACAAGCTCCACAATCTGAACAACCAGAGTCTCCTGAACCACAGCCACATGGCCTTAAAGTATACAAAACAAATATCTATATATATATATACAAAACAATATATATATATATCCATATACATAGAACAATATAGGATAATAATTATCATTTCAAATTTGGGCTACAAAACAGATTGTAGGGGAGATAACTCTTCCATTACCTATTGTCTCCCCTTAGACCACAAAATGCTCATCAAGATGTGATAATTTGTTTCTAACCTTTCCAACCCAGTATACCCGAGCATATACTAATAAAAATTAAGGTATACAAAGTTAACATAAATTAAACAGACATAGCACAAAACCAAATAACAAGGTTTTCACAGATATATAAATAATAGCATCATCATAAAGTCCCAGTTTCTAATTAACAGTAAAATGAGTTGTTTTGAGTTGAAAGCTATGAATACTTACATTCCTGGGTTTTTATCAGCTCGTCCACTATTAACACAACTAACACCATAACCAGTACATTCACCACAAACACTACATACCATACATTGATCATGTTTCCAATGATGTTTACCTAGAAAACAACATAACTATACTAATATAATCTATTTACATACTAACACTACAGCTTGCACATTGTATAATGGTGCTTTTGTTAATGTTCATAAAATCTTATCAATCAATTTTTCTATGTTCAATGCTCAATCAGTAATCTACATAATAAATATAATATAGCCATCTCTGTGAGCCTGTTCTTGTTCAGTTAATAAACTGTTAATTTTAATAATCATAACCACTCATAACATACCCAGAAGATGAAATGCTTCACACAAAAAATGGGGGAGTTATTCTTTACTGACCATTGAAAAGAACACTGATTACCATCCGATATATTTGGCATTAACAGGTTTTATTGTTTTCATTGCTTGCAAATCTCAGTCAGTGTATATTTTATTATAAGTTAATTTACAGGTCAAGTTAATTTACAGGTCAATCTCTATATGGAATATGTTGTTTAATATGTAGTCAATAAAACAACTATCATTTACTAGCAGATGACCTGGTGCTGCACGGGTTGAAACTAGTATAACTCCAAACCCCCGATCCAAGCTACCCCTACTTTCAGCCTCGGGACACCCCTGCTGCAACCGCCAACCCTGAACAAACAGACAAACAACAGTCACAAATATTAACCTACCTGCTGGACAAAGATTATCTTCAGCATCATTATCTTCTTCCTCTTCAGCCATTGTTACATTCTGACTCGCTGAAAAAAATTCTTACATTGAGTTACGATTTATGACCAGCAAGAATACGTAAGTTGGTAAAAACTTAATTGGTGTGAATCGACTATACAGTTTCATAAGGGATGCCCATCCAACAGTGTTTAGTGTCTTTAAACATGTAAACTGAACGCTTGTGAAAAATATCAAGTCGTTGAAATTTTGATAATTGGGTAAGTCTATGGTTTATTTTCAGTATAGTATTTTCTCAGTGCAGATTATAAAATATTCAAACAAAACTGTCTAAAGAGGTCTTAATATATTTTCAAACATTCTTAATGGATTAATGCAGTACAGCATCCTATAATATTATGGATCACATATGTCAACACATTTTTAACAATAAATGAACTGTCAATTCCTAATCTGCCAAGTGCAGAAAATTTTTCTCTATAAAATGGTGGGAAAATATTCGTCTAAACGAGTCCCATGACGTGTTTCACATTACAAGAATATAGTAATACTTACGTATAGCTTCTCTTGAAGCACCAGGTGTATAATCTCTTCCGCACTGACCTTTATTATTAATACCAAATGTATAAATTTGTCCTTTATTCGTTAGTGCCACTGCATGGGCCTTACCTAACGCTATCTGGGTGATGAAGACATCTTTAAGCTCTGAAACATGTCCTGAAACAAAACCACACCAAAATATATATTTCATACTTTAATTATGATAGACTGGCCAACCTTGTGACTTTTCTCTGGGTTCTCTCGACTGCACGGGCGAATTATTAAAATAAATTATACCATAGTCCCAAAATGACCGGTTTTGTGTCAAGGAGATGTTAAACCCCATTTATCTCTCTCTTCAACTATATCATTCGTAACAGGAAAGCAAATGGAATTCTTTGGATGGCTGAACAATATAATCAAGGGAGGTAATTCATCAATAATTCAATTTCAAATGGAAATAAATGCTAACAATTTCTTCAATAAACTTTCAATTTTTGATTGCATCCAATCAATATCTAAAACACATCAGAGAGTATTTGTAAATATAGATAAATTCTACTACTGAATAATCTGTTGATTTTTAATGTTCATTACTCGATACAGAAAAATCAGTAAAAATTAAGCTGAATTTAATAGGGGTATATAAGCTATCGATGTCTGTACAATCAATTGTGTTATTAAAAAGGAGAGCCGGTTAGCACTCCCCTTGACAAGGACGGAATGGACCTTCATGGTCTTTATAACACATATGGCATGTCCTCCTACTTCGAGGGCACCTTATTTTTTTTTAGACTTATTTTTTTTATTTGTAAATAATTTTACGACAATGTGGTGATTTCAATTTTCATGTAAATACATAATACATGATATAAAATCATGGCAAACATACATAGTCCAAATTCAGAAAATGTTCAAAGCTTGGAGAGAGAAAAAAAAAAAATGTCTGCCACATGGAATCCAGTAGTGACAGTTTGTAAAATATTCGGATTTTGTTACATGTAATTTCTTTTCAACACTGTCCATGTAATGTCCAGACTAAAAATATAGTTACTCTTCATGTGAACAGTCTGTAAATTGATTGAACACAATCATGAGAGAAGATTTATAAATGAATATACCTGTACTATGATCACAATGTGTTGTATCTTTACCAAACATATAAACTTCTCCTTCTTTACTAATAACGGCACTACTACCTGTATTACAAGCTGAATATACAATAGTCTTAGATTCTAACTTTATCATCTTTTTAGGTTTTACTGCTTTAGGTGCTTTTCTTCCTTTTGCTGTAATTTCAAAAATAAATTTATATTGCTACTGAAAAAAAAATATTCAATTAACAGAAATATATCTGAAAAATATTTCAACTAGTTTTTAGTTCTTACATGTAGCTGTCTTCATAAAAAAAAAGTCTCATGAACAATTTTTAATATGAAATTTAAAAACCTAAAAATGTGGAACTAAGAGCAGTTTTGAAATTATTTTCCCCCCAAGAAATTTTAATAGGAGTTCCCGAAGGACAAAAGTTCAAATAGATGTTGCCTTATTTAAAGATAAATTTCCTCTCAGTAGAGCCTAAATACTGTAAAATATATTCGAAGTACCAAGAACAATATATTTGTTGCTAAAAACAATATATCCTGCAAGTTATACAAGGAAACCCTATCTAATATCAAATAAAACTAGACTTGCAGTGGCGCTATGATGGTTTTCAACAGCACCTTTTAACCCCTTCCAAAGCTAATCTGTGACCCCACACAAAAAATAAACACAAAAGTTTAAAAAAAGTGACCCTTAAAATACAGCTAAAATGAACAGATAATTAAACTGACATACACAGGATACAATTCTATGGAAATGAAATGAAATGGGGTTCAACGTCCTACTGTTCTACTCTGACTGGCCTAATGAAAATAGGCATACCCCAAGCAGTATGCTATGCGGGAAATTTTGTCCGGACAGCGGAGCTACTCTTATATCAAATTCCAACTGTCAAGGAATCTTTTACGTGCACGCCAATGTGTACACGGGACCTCAGTTTTTTGTCCCATCGAACGAATAGACAGGCCCCCTGTCCTGCACCACTAACAAGGGGGAAAACACACCAGAAAACCCTGATAAACTTTCTTGACCAAAAACTGTGAGCACACCTGTAACCTCCAGGCTAGCAAGCCAGCATCTTACTCACTTAGCCACTGTGGCTACCACAATTCTATGGAATACAATTACTGTAAATATAGATTAAAGTTTTGATTAGATTTCTCTTGTCTTTATCCATGGAATTGAGGCCTGTGTATTTCTAATTCTAATGAAATTGAAAAAAATTAGAACTGACACAAACTCGATTCTCCATCCTCTCCACGTTTGGCTGTTCCTACAAAAAACAGACTTCCATCTTCTGCTACCATTAAAGCATGTTGTCCTTCATGCCCCATAGATATCTGGACAATTTTAGGTGATTTAGTTATAGGTAATTCTGTCCATTTATTAGGAGATGGTGCTGATTGTTTTATACCAAGTGAAGAAGCTCTACCATTGTATAAAACCTGAAAAGGAAATATATAAATAATTAAATATGTATACAATAAAGCAGGATATGGTACAGAATAAGGTTCCTTTTCACATTCACAAGAAAATTATTGCAAAAATATTTTCAAAATAAAAGAAGAACCATCTAATTATCAAGTTTTATGCATTTGTCTGAATTCTAAATAAGCAATCAGTGGAAACCTAGATTCTTAAATAAAACTCCTATATTATCTTTTTCTTATTAATAAATAGACTGAATTGTCTTTAACTTTACAATCTAATTTCATAATGACTGAATAAGGTTTAAAACACATCAAATTAAATTGCAAGATATGGTTAAAACTATAGCAAAACAAGATTTATCAGCTTGACAATCTTTATTAGATAATATGATATAAATACCTTTCCACCCATAGTTCTGATAAGAGAGAATTCTTTTCCTGTAACAATACTAGCTGTATCTTCATCAAATCCAGTAACTGAAAAACAGAAGTTTTACATGTTCATGTATCAAAAGATATTTATAATAGTGATCATCTTCATGTATCACAAGATATTTACAACAGTGATCATCTTCATGTATCACAAAATATTTATAATAGTGATCATCTTTATGTATCACAAAATATGTCATAAGATATTTATAATAGTAAAAATATCAACTTTCTATTGACAATAATTAGGGTCAGTTTTAAAATGTCGTAACTTTTGGTATTTTAAGAATATAGTACTACCCAAACTTAATGAACGACCTAAGGCAAAGGCCTTACTCTATGTAGGTAGGACAATACTTGGATATTTGATAATAGGTAAGTCTAACATTAGTTTAACCCCAAACCGACCTAACTAGGGCTCTGTAGAGTGCCCAAGAACTAGTAAATGGTCCTATAATATGGAAAGCTATTCACATATTTCGAGCGGTTTTTAGGTGGTCTAGGAACAGTAGTTTCAGTATATCCGAGAATGTACCAGTATTAATATATCACTTTCCTCTAATTTTCTTTAAAGCAGCATTATGGAAGATTAGTTCTTGCTATGTTAAAAAATAGATAATGTAACAGGAATTACTTCACTCGGAGCCAAGAAATACCCATTTTAATAACTCTGTAGCCTCGATTGTCATTGTTACAGTTACTGTGATGAAATACAAAGTCTTGATTATCCATTTTACGGGTAATCATCAACGGCAGATCGGATTCAAATCTACTGAAAACTGGACTCATCAGATGGCATCGAGAGTTGATTATGGTCTTTTTAAGTTAATTGCTGTTTGATTGATAATTTACATAACATTTCAGGCTTAAAGAAAGACCTACAATAGACAGATTTAGCTCTTGCATAATATTTGTTTAAGGAACTGAGGTAATCAATATTTACATGAAGCAAGTGCTAGAGGGTTAATTATGATATCAAACATGATTAATAACCTTTATTTTCTACTTACTTAAAGATCTTCTACCAATTTCCATATCATTACTATTAGAACCAAACATATCCATACATTTTCTCGTTAGTTTCAATGGTATCTCATGTGTAACAGTTAATGGTGTCTTGTCCATACTATAAGTTCTAACCACAAAACAATCCTGATAAAAAATAAAACAAAATATACATGTTAAGATTTATTTTTAAATTAAATTTCGGGATAGAATTCTGTTTGTAAAATCAACAAAGGAAAAGTGGATATCATAAAAGGCCTCATATTATTTCCAAATTCAAATAACCTAGCATAATTGTGGGTCACCTTTGTGTATAATTTAAAATGCATTCAAAAACCCAAATTTAGTAAAAATAGATAAACAAATCGACATTTTTATGTTCTTTTGCAGAAGTAGTTATTGTTATCATCAAATATTAAAAGTCTTCATGTCAATTATCTTACATCTTTATCTGGAGCAACTTGACCAACAGTTTCTCCATCACTGAATAACACCATTGGACCTGTATTGGAACCTTAAAAAGAAGATATAGTCACTAAAATATAATCCATTAAATTAACTGCCTTATTGATTTCAGAGATTGGAAATTATGTCCGCATAGCAGTGAAAGGGGTTATATTTTTTCAACAACTAGCCTGAAATATTTTAAGAATTGTCAGGTTTTTGGAATAAGGCTCTTTTACTTTCAAAAAACAAATTATAGAAGGGGAATAGGTTCAATATATCTGTTACTGTACCTTCTAAAACATAACTGTTTTCTGTATTTAAAGTCTCTCGGTTTACAACAAATAATGACGTTGTTGCCCATTTATCCATACGACATAACAGTTTACCCTGTTGAGAACAATTAACAAATCATATAATAAGTTTATAACATATGAAATATTTAACAAGTGATATCACCAAATAATATAATAATCTACAGTAGTTATTATGTTATAGACAGGATCTTACTTATATGTTAAAATTACAAGACTTGACACATGTTAGAAAGAGTAAAACTAAGACACGGGAGAGTGTATGAATTTCAATACACTTAGTTGATACTCTAACTGGTGGTACTAATTTTATAACCCTTTAATTTCGTATCTTACAGTATATAAAAATCCCTCCATCTTTCTGAAACCTTACAGCTGTATAAAAATGAAACCATTTGGATTTAATAATATAATATTGTACGTACCCCTGCGAAGGCTAACCATGTATTGTCATCAACCGGAAAATCTTCTTTACTGTTATAGATATGTCCCTGTTAAACAAATTACGTTAAATAAATTTTATAATTGAGGGGAAGCAACACTGCAGTTAACATTCTGGACTTGAGGCCATACCCTTGGTGTTCAAAAAAGAAAATTTCATCGACATAAATTCTGGTTGCCTCAGCTAAAACAGTAGACATTAAAGGACAATATTGGTGTCAGTCATTATTACATATGTGATAGAACTGGTTAAATACATTCCAAATATAATTTTAACACAGAGATCATTGCTACGGGAGACGTGTAACAAGCATGTGAAGAAACGGGAAGTGACGCCAAACATGACAAACACGAGTTGTCCTTCTATATAACAGACTGAAGTAACGAGCAGTAACAGACAAACGATCGAATTTAAATTTCACTGATAATTCCGTTGAAGTTGAAAAGTTATTATATGGGACGGTGAGAGGGTATCTCACAATTCAAAAATAGAATTGGCTATCATGTAATTCCAATCATAATCATAACAGATATTTAACCGTGTCATCTATTCAGAGAAAGCAAAAATTTGTTACAATCAACCCTACTCACCATGACAGTTCCACCATAACCAGATCCAACTTTAAACAGACCTTGTTTATTTAATATATACAAATAACATCCATCACTAGCAACAGCATTTTTCTCTACATAGTTTTTATCTACAAAAAAATCAGAAACATGACTTAAGCTGAGTATATTTATTTTCATAATAATTGAAATTTTGAAGGTCCATCATGGGAGCCTATAAATGAAATGAAATGGGTTTAACGTCCTACTGATCTGCTCCGACTGGGCTCATGAAGACGGACATACGTCATGCAGTGCACTACTGTCTACTTTTATATCGAATTCCAACTGCCAAGGGATCTTCTACTTGCACGCCAATGTGTACATAGGACCTCATTTTTTTCGTACCATCAAATCAACTAGACAGTCCTCAATCCTGCACCACTGAAAAGGGGAAAGCACACAGGATAATCCCAATGAACTTTCTAGGCCAATACCAGGAGCGAACCCCTAGCGAGTCAGCATCTTACTCACTTACCCACTGTGGCTCCCGGGAGCATATAGAAGAATACGAGCTGAAATGAAATGAGTTTTAACGCACCAACCATATGCCATGCTGTGTTCTATAGCTAGCGGCTATACACTTTTTTCAACTGTTAGGGGATCTTTGCACATTGTATACACAGGACCTTGTATACACGAAAGACTAGACAATTTCCATACCAATCTCTCTGTTATGCAGGGGAAAATAGGTTAGAAAATCTGAAGAACATTCTCGGGCAAAGAGGTCCTATTGGTTATTGAAGCTAATAAAATCAATAACTGTTAACACAGAGCTGAAATAACTTCCATAATCATGCCCACAATAGATAACCAAAACAAGCAAATCACTATTGATTAATAAATTCTACAAATAATCTACCTTTTTTTAGTGTATCAAGGGTAAAACTTTGAGTTAATGCCTTTTTCTTTACACCTTGATTAAACCAGTCTGGTAGTTGACATTTACCAAGTAACACAGAATGAACACTTTTTTGGAGGGAGGATAATATTCCTGGAACCTATATCAAATAAAATAATGTCATCTGTCACATACAATAAATCTGTTTCCCTATAATTTACTATAAAATACACTGTACCAAGTTCATATCTGGCAGTGATAAAATTGAAGTAATTTTCAGTATCTTTACCCCAAAAGTTTATGGCACTAGTGAGAATTTAGTGTTACAGTACCAGGTATGAACTGTACATATTTTACTGATCATTTACTAAGTATTAGAGCATGAAATTTTGAAATGTATTCAGTAAAATATAATACCTAATGTTATATTAATTAGCACTTCAGGTCATATGCTTACTCTTTCTGCAACACTCCATACTACTTGGCAAATTGGTCTATTAATCTAAGTTGTCATTTAATTTGTCTTTAAGACTGATGGTACTATTCTGTATATATTTACCTTTTAAAAATTTAATGGTTGCTTACCTTTATTTCTTGAGATGAAATTGAAGCTGGGTTCATGAGCAAAGCTGAGACAGCTGTGAGTAGTTTACCAGTATCACCTAAAGCTATTGTTAAACTTATTAAAGCAGAACACGCTAAGGACGTCTCTTCCTGAACTTTACCAGATTGAGAAGAGGAAGAACTTGTGGCAATCTCCATTAATAAATTATATAAATTTTCTAGAGGAAAAAAAAAACACCAATAGATAGCATTTAATCAAAAGTATTTAATTCATTAATAAAATCATATTAGTTACTTTCTGGTGGCATAATGCTCACCAAAAATTAAATATACTTGATAATTCAAGCTACAGAGAAAAATATATTTGTTACTTAAAAAACATATCTTGGGAGCTATAAATGGGAACTCTATTCGATTTCAAATCTAAATATTCTGCCATTACGAGTCTATAACTTATAACTAGACTCCTTCATGTGCGAACAACAAACTTGCGATTGACATTCAAGGATATTTTTCTTATTTTAATGATTGTCAGCTTACTTATCACTTCAGTCTATAGGTCTTATCATGCTATGTTACAAGAAATTTAAGCTGCAATTGAAGACTTACATAAAGATGCTTTATGTATGACCTAAATCTACCTACTGCAGGTCCTTTACTTGCTTCAAATCTTCTATGAGTTTTTATTTGGACATTTATTGACATGAAAAGCTCATAATCAACTCTCTAGAGCATCGGATGGCTGAGATTTAAATAGATTTGAACACCCGTGAGATGGCTGAGATTTAAATAGATTTGAACATCTGTGAGATTAAAAAATTTAACGTTAAAATAGATAATTTTTGGACTTAGTTTTGATTGTCAAGTACCGTTGCTACAATAATAAACAATCTGCGCTACATCTTCAAACAGTTATAACTTCACCCAGAATTTGTTGATGGAAATTTTCAATATATTTATTTTTGACTATCTAGTTTTAAACTGTTACAGCAAGAAAGGCCAGCTCTTCATCTAAATCTTACATAGGCATCTTTAAATTTCTTTATTACACGAATAGTTTAATATAATCATATGATAATGTTTCAATAAAATCATACTACAATATATTTAATTTATCTTTCATAACTTATCAAGTCTTCTCACCTACAACCTCTGGTGGTTCTGTTTTCATTCCCTCTGGTTGTTGGCCCTGTGAAAGATCTAATAAAGCCCTCAAGGCTTTTACACAGAGTTCTGGATATTTTAATCTTGTCTCTCTGATTAACTCAAATACACCACTTAATCCTAATCCCACTATCTGAAATTATATCAAGGGACATAATATAAAATTTAATAAAAACATCCTGTCAAGTTTTGAATGACCATCACATGTTGAGAGACTAACTGTGGGACTTGACTGATGTGAAAAATATTCAGATAACTTGGGCCCGGTTCATAATAACTTGTGTGGCCAGAAATCTTTGACTCATGAACAAATAAAGCAAACTCTCTATGACCACAATTCAAAAGTGAAAAGTGTTATTACGGTTTGCCCGATTAATCTGTCTTAATCTGTCTTCTGCTGAAAAATCATCAGGCTATATTTCCAGATTGAAGTTCCACATCAAAATCTCTCTTTAAAATCCTTACCTTGGGTATCTTAATGATAGCATCTTTAGTTTTCTCATCCATGTCTTCCTCTGAATCTGACCCTGATTGATTGTCTTGATTAGCAAGACGGTAAAGTTTTGCTGTGTCTCGTAAGCACTGTTGTAATACATGTTGTCGAACACTAGCATACACATTAAACGCTGATGCATTGCCGTGTAGCTCAATAGATGTAGTGGTAATGTCATGATCTTCTGGACTTTTTTCTCTCTGAAAAATTGCATTATATATATAGTTACTAATGCACAGACTCAAATTAACACATGAATGGGCATGTAAGTAACATAGACAGGTATACTGTTCGGTACATTTTATGACGCCTATTAACATATTTCCAACTCATAATCAATGACACTATTTAAGGTTCCCATCTTCTACCCCAATTCATTTGGATTTGTGCAAATCATGACTCAGACAAATATAAACTGCCCATCAATGTTGTTGATTTCGTATAAAAAAATTTACACAGACTGAGACTATAAATATCAAAATAAATTGAATATTGAACCATGATAGAGGTATTCCTGTTATAAACAGCCTAGAATGTTTGCTGGGGACACACCATACCACATGGAATTCAGTTCTCGATTCCCGTCTATATTTACTGAACCAACGACGTATGTAGTTTCATTTTATTCAATCTTCTACATGTAATATATATTATTGATAATAATATCACAAAAACGTATTTATGACAATGATTCGTAATTTCAATGGCTATTCAATTTACTATTTCATAACATAGACAAATAACTTCACTGGAACTGCCTGCATACACATTTCCCTATATAATTTCTATCATTTTTTGTTACTACACATAATAGAACAAAGTGAAATCTGTACCGCATTCTTTTCTTGTTCTTTAGTCTTCTTCAATTTTCTGATCTTTTTCTTTTTTAATGATCTATTTCTGAAAGCAAATTTAAAAGGAAAACATGTACACTGTATAAGCTCCGCTAAACAAAACAAGCTTCTACTTACACAATGTAGCTTTGACATAATTTGCCTCTATTCACAACCTTTTTTTTTTATTAAAATTGTGATGGGAGTACTACATGAATCTTGATTACATTCAAAGTTAGAACTGGCATGTTCCTAACAGGTCATTATAAGTAAATATACCACATATGGAAATGCATATTCATAGAATATATATACTAAGCAGCAAAAGAAACGTCAGGTTGGTATGTTACTCTGAATAGATGCATTGCATAAAAGTTGCCAAATGTTTTTATTGTATATTTGTAGCCACATCTCCACCTTTACCTGAGCAATAGGTCCCTTCCAAAACAAAGAATTGAACCCAGGAGCAACCTGACTTCTGTGATGGTAATGTGTTCTCCATGATTTTCATGTAACTCATGCTGCACATGCTGTTCGCCGGGACCAGCCCTATAAAATGCACCCCATTATCTGGTTGAATCATTCACACTACAACGTCAGCAGCATGCCATGACTCACGACAGCTCAGAGAAACCAGGCACTTGGAAGACTCGACGTGGCCATACTGCCCAAGCCGTTGCCAATCACTTCTAGGTCAATATTCGGACCATATACAGGCTTCAGCAACGCTTTCGGGCCGCCAATACCACAGATGATCGCCCCCGAACTGTTAGACCAAGGGTTACCAAAAGACAATAAGACCGCCATGTGTTGCGACAGCACGTGCAGAATCCCTTCACACAGGCATCTGAGACAGCACGTCAGACAGTGGGAACACACGGAAGACCCATCAGTACCAATACAGTGCGCCGACGTCTAACCGATCCTCACCCCTTGCCATCTACGTGAACATCTACAGTGTCAATGTTATGCACTGGTCAGCCCTCAGTCCGGACTTAAACCCGAGACCAAACACAACCGATGGATTGCGCCAGGCTTTTCTCAGAGTGTGGTTCCAGGTGCCAATGGCGTTCATCAATCGGCTTTGATCCATTTAGTAAGTCGTTTTCTAGAATGATTTGATTAAACTGCCTCTGATTTTGAAGTCGTACTGACGGGTTTTTTTTGCTATTTAGTATGTATGCTCATATATTGAAAGTAGGTCAGTGTGTGAATTTTGATATTAAGGAATCAGTCTAATGACTTATGTTCCAACTTTAACTTCCTAAAGCATGGATCTTCCATTTCAGAGACATTCTGGCTATTATTTTATGACAAACATCACAAATTTTATAAACCTGTAATTACTTCTATTCTACAATTTGGAATGAATTGCTTTCAAAAGGGAAATAACCCTCGTCATTTTAGGGCATGGCTATGGCCCTATGGGATTGGAATGCCCAACAACATGTACAATAAAATGAACCCCAATATCTCATTCAATTCCTTGACTTGGGGGGATTTATTGAGTGAATGTGCCAATAGATGTGAGAAAGTGGATTATCAATATCCCAATAAATCCCAAATGAACATGCATGAATTAAACGCGGGGAAGCAGGAAGGAAGATGAAAGTGAAAGTGGCTGCTATTAGTGCTAAATTCAAATTGAATTGATCTCTCTAAAATTCAATTAGAATAAGCCTATAAATCGAGCTACATATTTATTCCAGAAGATTCGGCTTCTTTTAATACGACTATAAATGAAGGTGTTAATATTCGTACACATTATTGTAGTCAAAATGATTGATAAACGTGTTACTATCTTACTTGCTGTTAGTTTCCTCTATTGCTCCAAACAGTTCATGAAATTTTTCGCCTAAAATCTCTCCACGGAGAAAGGTGTCTACCTCACTCCTGGAGCATTGTAGCACTTGCACTGCAGCCATCTTACTGCTGATTGTGTAACATTTGTCCTTTACTCAACATTACATAGCTAAATCATTTCTATAAATGGATACGACGTGGTAATTCCGTAATTTCAATTACAACCCGGAAAATCCCATTTGCAAAAGAAGGCTGACATATTGAATTTGTTGCATTGTGGGATATCGCACTTGCAGACGACGCAAGGGCAGATAATTACTCTTCATTTATCCACGATTTCATTTAAAACTCACTCATTCATCCTTCTTCCATTCATTTTGGGGTTTTTTTTTATATCGGTTACCATTAAAGATGGGGTTTTTTTTATGTCTCGTCAAATTACTAACATATTATTAGAGAAGGTTGCAAGTGTAGGCTACAGGATCATTTATTGAACTCCTTGAAAACTAACTATTTAAAAAAGATTGTGGGCTCTACGACGACCCGACGTCGTAAGCTTAATAAATCTTAAAAACGTGTGAGCAATATCAGCAATGGAGTGGCCGATTTTTCTCAAATTTCGTATACACTCGTAAATTAAAAATTTAAAACGCGGCAGATAGCCTATAAGGGGTGCAGGCTGTTTCATAACCTGGCTGTTTCGTAGGCTACTTAATTAGTTCATTCGTACCTCACTTCGAACCTCAAATTGATTCGTACCTTTTCCTATGTTGTTGAAATCAGTCTCCAAAGCAAGTCTCCAAAAGGTGTCTACGTGTGAAGATGGGCGTACCCGTTTCTTTGATCTGTTATATCATGGACCGTATCCGGTTATATTGGGTAATTCTGTTATTGAAACCCAACTGCATGAAAATGGCTTTCGATCGTAACCGATGTAAATTTATTGAAATGCTGAAGCAATTTTAGTTTAAATGTATCCTTTGTGTGTGAATTAGGCCTCTCGATCAGCATCCTACAATCTATTTTGAGCATGCCCGATTTCTAAACTAGCCTACTTGGTCATATTAAGTCAAATTGAAATTAAAAGCACTGCACCTGTTAAAGCAAAGGCTAGTTCGATGCTGTAGCATCTTCAATAATAATACGCTAAAAAGAAACAACAGCGCCGTCTTCACTAGCCCGGTTGGTAGGTAAGGCCAGCTCAATTTTTCTACATAGGTCACGCAATCAGGGGCGGATTGGGCCATCGGGCGATCGCCTGAAGGGCCGGTCGGACAAAAAATGAAAAAAATAATTTTGTCCAATTCGTCTAAAAAAAAAAATTCTGCTGAACATTATATGGGTGGGGGGGGGGGGGGTATTGGACCGACCATGGAGCGATGATGAATCATGTTGTATGTGGCCGATGGCTTTAACGGGCCGCCACGCCATCACTGGAGTCTGGAATGGGCTGGTATAATAGACTTTCTGGGCCGGGTGGGCTGGAATTCAATTTGATGATAGCTGGTCTGCTGGCTGACTGGTGTTAAACATTCCTTGACATATTTATTAACTCTTTATTTTCAGAGATGAAATTACAGAATTGGGATGTCGGGAATGGTCTCAAATTGCGGGAGTATTATGAGATATATTATTTGACAGAGATTATAATCAGATATGCCATTAAACTGCATATTTGGGGTTCATTTTTCAAAATTGTCTTAAACCTAACCCTAACCCTGGACCTAGCCCCAATGCTTATCCTAATCCTAACCTACAGTCTCGCCAACACATCTCAGCGACCTTGACAATTGAGCTGGCTTTAACAAATAAATTTAGTCCGACCTACGGTACAGAAAAGTTAGAACTTTTAAAACCGCCTTTGTTCATCATTTCCGGGGATTTTTTATTAAATTACATTACGTTTAGAAACTAGGTTGATTACCGGTACCAACCAATTTAAGCTATCAACAATAAAAGCAAGCTAGGGCGATTCATAAATGAAAAGAAAATTAGCCATTTTAATCAATATGACTCAATTGTAAACTATAATATTGTGAAAGATGACATTTGAAATTTCATCGATCTATGCTGCTCACTATGCATTAAGCCTGCCGCCAATTTATTGTCCACGGAAATTAAATGATAGGCCTGTTTTAAATCTGATTGAAGCCAAGCTGGGACATTTTCAATCGTTGTTATTTTGATTTTGTTTTCTTCAAGGGAAATTATGTAAGATTTAGATAAAGAGCTGGCCGTTCTCGCTAAAATAATTCAAAATTAGATAATACAAATGAAATAAATTGAAAATTTCTTTCAAATTACTTTATTTTGAGCGAAGTTATCAATGGTTGTAGTTTTGACCAGATGTGTGCATTGATCGTAACCACCGTTAACATGTTAACATGTCTAATATTTATATAACATTTACGGCCGAAAAAAAACCCTACAATAGGCAGATTTAGCTCTTACATAAGGCCTGTTTAATTAAATGTTATATAGTTAATCTGAGTACATAATAGCGTGGATAAAGCCGTGGGAAATTTGATATTTTAGCGACAAATGCCAATGGCGCATCTTTACTGTATTTTGTGAGAGAGTTATGAAAACCCAACTTCACAAGCGAACATTAGGGGAGAGTTGCTTCCCTTGCTTTGAGAACCTCGAAATAATGGCGTTTAACGTTTTACTAAATAATGAATCAAACGGGTTGATGAAGATGGACATGCATAGGCGTACGGGGAAATTTTTGACTGGGGGGGGGGGGGTTGGTGCCCAAAAAATGTAGTTAGGTTCTTAGTATGTTACATAATAATAATAAATTTGCTGTTAAATTGGACACATTCAAGAACGCAATATTTTTTTATACAACTTTTACAAAGTACAATTGTGTGCCCAAATTTTCCCAGCTCGTACGCCTATGTGGACATGCGACATGAAGTGTGCTAAGGGGGGAATTTTGCGCTGTGGTCTATTCTTAATTCGAATTCCAACTGTCAAGGATTCGTTTACCTGCACGCCAACAGGGCTCCTATACGGTTTTTCGCCCCATCCCAACGATTAGACAGAATTTCTGTTTGAAGTCACAATCATGGATCGCTGTCATGGGCAATAACCGACCGATTTATAAACAGTAGCATTGTCTTGGCGGAACAGGACGCCGTTAGTGAGCATTCTCCATCGCCTAACGTTGATAGCTTCACGTAAGTAACCGCCTTGGCCTTTTTTTTTTTTGGGGGGGGGGGTAGCGACTCTGGATGCTTCCATTGTTTAGACTGTATTTTGGATTCTGATCGAAAGTGATGAATAATGGTCTCATCCATTGTTACAAATCTGACCAAATAATTATCAGGGTCTGCTCCAAACGGCGCAGAATGGCACGCGACGTCAGGGATCTGACACGTTTCTGATCCGCAGTCAAGAACTTTAGAACCCATCTTGCTCACTACCTTACTTTGGAAAAAGAGGGACATCATCCCCTGAAGTGGAGACCATGTCGGCATGTATCTGTGTTGGGGTTAGTCCTTTCAGTTGCAGGTACTTGATGACTGTCCTATAGCCAGTTTTGTCCATTCCTTGTGATTTCAATCGGTAGGTTCACAAGATGGCCTGGTACGAAGACAATAATAAGACTACAGTTGCACTTCGTATGATTCATTTCCAATGGCTGTACTTTGTGGCAAAGTTTGTTTCAAGTTTCAACCCAATTGATCTATTCGTTTCAGCCAGCCCTCGTACCAAAACATTTTCAAATTTCTATTTTATTTAACTTACAGTGTTGCTCACCCGGAATATACCTCAGAATACACCAAATAAAATTTATTTTTTTTAAATTTTCTTAATTCGGCATGTAGTCGTGTACTGTCAGAGGGATATATAACCTCTAGGCTTGGGTTATAAAAAATGCCAATAAAACAGTCAGTTAGTCTTCATTGAATAATATACGCCTGTATAGTGCCGACGGGAGTGGCGGAAGGGCTCGGGGTAAAATGCGCCCCGCACTATTTGATTTTGTATGTGAAAATTTTCACGGGCATCAACAATTGGTTACTTTTAAGACAAGAAAAAAGCCTATAAACACCTTTTTATCGGAATCTTTAAAAATTATCCAATTTATATTTTATACATTCCCAAAAAGACTACAGAAAGGAATAGGCAGGCTTCCCCTCTTTATATACGTTTAGAATAGAATGGCCAAGACACGGATAGAATTAGAAATTAAATATTAAATCCATTAGTGTCATTGGAGGAAAATTTATGAAGTTAAATCAAAATTATATTAGAAGGAACAGGAATGGGCGAAATATTTACTGCCATTTGAGATTAGATTTTTTATAGAAAATTCTGTTGAAACGTATTAGTAGAGAGAGAGAGAGAGAGCGAGAGAGAGAGAGAGGGGGGGGGTTAACGTCCACTCGACACAAACTAGGTCATTTCGTGACTAACATGGTTTTAATTTTATTTCAATAATTCGCTTGCGCGTAGGGGTCTTTAGCAGTGGGAGGAAACCGGAGGACCCTGGGAAAACCCACGAGGTTGGACAGGCGACCTCACTCCTTGTCACGTACAACCGGGGATTCGAAACCACGCCAATTGACTCAATGACAGGCCTTATGATACAGCACGTACGTGCTAACCTTTCGGCCATCCAACTCCCCCGTATTAGTATAGAAGATAATATTATATTGTTATACTGCCCAATATCCCTCTGCATTTATCAAACCCCACCCTGATTAAATTCATCTTATTATAATAATGAATGTCGGACATATCGACGAGTGGCTCAAAAATGTTGGATACTCGGTACTTTATTGTACTGAATACAAATTCTTGTTAGTCCACCATTTAGTCATATTTATTTCCGGCATTAAAGGGGCATTATGGAATATTATATAAAAAGCTGACGGTTCTCGCTGTAATAGTTAACAAATAGATAATATAAAGAGAATATGCTGAAAATTTCATTCAAATTGATCCACTATGAACCGAGAAATAAGCGATCGAAAGTTCCGCATAGCCTCGTTCATCATTAATAGTTTATATAACATTTCAGGCCTAAAGAAAGACCTACAATAGGCAGATTTAGCTCTTGCATTAAATTTTAGGTTAGCCTCGATCATCATACTAAAGTCGGTACGATAAACAACAAATTAAGTCTCCATTATCCATTTTGACGTTAAATCATCCATCACAAAATGTATTCAAATCCAGTAAATATCGCAAGCTAGAAATATGGCATCGAAAGTTGATTATGGTTTGGATATGTTAATTAATGTCAAATTAATAATTTAGATTTAACATTTCAGACCTAAAGAAAGACCTGCAATAGGCAGATTTAGCGCTTACATAATGTATGTTTAATTTTCATAATTACAATTCAAAGACTCGAGGCGTCATTTTAAACTCAAATATTTTGGGAGTTTTTAAAATCCCAAATAGGAATATCAGTCCAAAAGAATGGTTATTCCTTTCAGCATTGACACAGTTATGATCAAGTCCTAGACCCCCCACCCCCTCGCCCATTGATTTCAGTGCAACCTGGGCCCCTGTGCTTGTGTCCAGTAGTTAAAAATGAGTCATGCGTTGCCCAGAATTCATTAGTGTCATTTCGAACAAATTTCTCCTAAAAATACAGTATATTTACAGGAGAAATAACATTTCACCTGATCTCTATATAGAGGTCCCCAGAACAGCTGGCTAAATTAAGCAGTCCACAGACACTATGGGCCAGGCCCAGGGGCGTTTGCCTGACTGGGCATATTTTTTTTTTTAAATTATCTGAGTGCACCTCTTTCCCCGCCCCCCTCGCCAGTGGGACCCTTCGGTCGCCCCTTAAACCGCCAATTATTGTCACAGTATCAGCATGCTTCATTGCAAATAGATGCAAGCATAAGGGTCATGTATTGCTTCAACAATTCTCTTATTAAACATGTTTCTTGAAACTTCCGCACGCATGCTTGCACATGTAGTTGCGAGTAAATTATTATTATTATTGACTATTAATACACCGACACTTTGACCTGTATGCATGATGCCCTCCTAACATTAACATTGACACTGAATATTTCACATAGCTTACACATTGCACAATGGACGATCCCTTGTCATGTGACTGATAGCTAAAAATAGCGAGCTTATGTTTACTTCATTATCAATTGTGTCTGTGCAGTGCGATGTCCATCAACGCTGATCGTGTCACTGACAACCTTCGCATGGAATGTTCAATATGTCACCGGTCTTTCACAAAGCCGAAAGCACTACCCTGCTTACACACGTTTTGTGAAGAGTGTCTGAGATCATATATTGCCAGCAATCCGGATTCAGAACATGCCCGCGGTGGAGTACCCTGTCCAGCATGTAGACAGCCTATTTACATTCCAGCTGGCGGTGTTTCGGAATTACCAGACAATCCACTGGCTTTGATGATAACTCATAACTTTATTGGTCAAGACACAGGGGAACTTCCGCCCAGCTACCAGACACTTTTCGGGGAAAAGGCTTTCGACCCAGAGGCCAGTGATGTTAGCTTTGTTGACAACCCGAGCGTTGCGAAATTAGTTCATTCCTTTGGATCACATGGATCAAATGAAGAGCAGTGTACGTTTTTGTCTGGATTGGCAATCAATGAAATTACCAACGAAATCGTAGTCACTGACTGTTCCCTAAATAAGGTCACTATCTTCTCGCTCAAAGGTCAATTCAAACGTAGTTTTGTGTGTAATTGCTCAATAAGGGATGTATGTGTCACAGCACAGGGGACGTTGTTGTTGTCAGTTAGCAGATCAGGATCAGCACTTCTTCGAGAATATCATTCGGATGGAAGATTGGTGGGTGTATATGGATCACACTATCATTATGAAAATCCATATGGAGTAGCTATGGATTCCATGCAAAGAGTCGTCGTCACCAGCCTCGAGAAAAACATGATACATTTGCTCACCGAACAGAAGCGACCATCTATAAATTTTGGTTCAAAAGGTTCGGGTCCTAATCATTTCTTTCAGCCTTATTACGTCACTGTGAACGGGAGGGATGATGTCGTTGTTTCTGACTCGGGAAATCATAGGATTAAGGTTCATGGTTTAAATGGCCAATTGAAATTGATTGTTGGTGGTCAAGGCCACAGAGAAGGCCAGTTCTTCTATCCTTTGGGTTTGTGTGTGGATAAATGGGACAACATATATGTAGCCGACTCGAATAATTACAGAGTGCAGGTATTTAGTCCGGAAGGACAATTTCTATCAAGTCCTGTCAAAAGGACATTTCAATATGGAGCAGACGTGAAACCGACGAACATTGCTCTTTTCGGCGACAATAAAATGGTTGTAGCTTTGCGAGGATCTAAATTTTGTCAAATTAATATTTATCAATTCCAACTGTCGGCACACATCCGCAGTTATGGTGGCAAGGATGGGGGTAATTGTTGCAGCCTGTTGTGTTGTTTTTCTCCGTCCGTGGCCTATGATGAAATGTAGGCGAACCTTTGATTTCCACTAATTAGGTGCTGGAATATTATCCAGATTTCGTAATCGTCTTAAACAATTAACTTTAATTTAAAATTACAATTACCTCTTAAAGGAGCTAAATCGCCAATATTTGGGACCTAGAAATTGACACAAATGGGTCGCAACTCATATAATAATGTAATATGAATGTATATAAACTGATTTACATTCAATCGTTTCCGTTTTTACTCTAATTTCAAATCAGTTATGTTCCGTGAAATAAGCTAGCAGTCTCAATCGAATGCAAATTCCTAGCGTCTGGTTATTCCAGTCTACATACGCCGTTTGGTTTGGTGCAATATGTCTAACCTCGTTCCTCTAGTCTCTTGCTAGAACTGGGGCTGAAACGCATTATGGTACACGATTCGTGTACCAATGGTAAAATATTTATTTTGTCTTAAATATTGGATATCAGAAGCCCATCTTTTTCCGGTAAGATCACAGCATCAATGTTGTTTTAAATTGACAAATAATTCGTGTTTTAAATGTTGAAGATTTTGGATGATATTGAGTTAGAGATTTAGCTCCTTTAATACACTGAATCTGTGAGTAATGTATGTGAATCTGTAAACTCAAAAAAAAAAATCTCCTGTTGAAGAATTCTGTCTTCCATTTGTGTGACCACAGACTCAGGAGTCTGACATTCTATCCGTATTTATGCATACACGATACGCCTTCTATCCGTATATATGCATGCACAATACAGATAGGTCAGACTCCTGTGGTGTGACTAAAAGAAATCTCATACGATATTATCTTAATTATTATTTTTTGAAATTTTAAATCAATTTCATGTGATCATTGTGAAATATGAATATCTAAAAGTAGCCTATTAATTCTGTACTAAATTCTTAGTGGCTTTCAATAACAACAAACGGAGAAAACGTTTTTATCCTATCGCACATCTTGTATTCTTAAAACTTAATCAGCTTATATTAATTAGAATTTGTCACAGTTTAATTGTTGTTATAATTGATTGTAGTTTTGATGTCATTTTGTAATATGATACATTGTTTGTACTTTGGTTCGCTATCCTATACTTTGGCGATAAAGCGGTAACAAGAGGTTTCCTCCCACTGCTAAAGATCCCTACGCGCAAGCGAATTATTGAAATAAAATTGAATCATGTGTTGGTCCGGAAATGACCTAGTTTGTGTCGAGTGGACGTTAACACCCCCCCCCCTCTCTCTCTCTTTCTCTCTCTCTCTCTGCCCCCGGTAACAAAATTATTCCTTGTCATTTGAATATGTTTAATATAATGTCGGCTATGTTAAGGTGTCAGTAATATTTTAGAGTCGGTCGAGGCACAAACATGCCTGTATACGTCTTGTATAGTAGACCCATACATTAATCTGTAAATGACGATGGTTGTACTTGTGATAATTAGTAAAGTCATTTTGCTACCATGAATAACATAATTACAAATATATCGACATTTTCGTGAACGAAAAGTATAACTATCGCCCCCTGAATGGCTAGAAATAATAAAGCCTCCTTAACTGTCAAGGTCTCGCCGATATTATCATCAACAACAGCTAGCATGAATAAGTAACGCCATATAAACACTTTATATACAAAATGGCTAAATTATGGCCACTTGTAACATTTGGCTTTAGTTTAAATTTACATTGGTGAATAAAAGATCTTTATTCAAGATGAACGTCGTGTATAGTGGCGTATTTAAATAGTTTGTCAATTGTTATAGCCGAAATGTTTTTTCCGGAAATCTATTGATTACCATACCTATTGTCTGACATCCTTGCAAAACTGTCTCTGTTTCAATACAATTATAGTGCAATAAAAGTATTGTATTGTCCTGTTTTTCTAAGATGAATGGGACTTACTTTAAGATTCTATAATGTAATGAATACGTTTTGTAGTCGATAAAATGAGACCGGGTGAATTTAAACGATATGTAATTAAATCTGCGGTTTTTTGTGTGAAATAAAACCCCGTGCCTTTGGTATACAGGAATATGAATATTTATAATATACATATACATGTAAATTGATTATTTTATTTCAGCTGTTGCATGTTGATCCATAATTTGTTTTTACCTTTACTCAATATTATATACTCTTCAAAACAAGTTGAGGATATTGAAATGCAAATACCTATGTAGGTTGTGATATGATAAATAGTCATGGACACTTGACATGCTTTGAGAGTATGTTCACAGATGAAGAACCTATCGCACTGAGTTGCAAATGCTACACGCAATAGCGCCAAACTCGTGGGAGGGGTTCATTGTCAAATTTGACACTTCAAGGAAGGGTTGATGAAAACTGCCGCGAGCTGGTTTATCTATCCATGTTAGCATTCCTATCGGTTCTTGCATAAGATTTACTTTGCTTTAGTGTGTTACGTTTGATTTGACCGGGAGACGTGTTCGTCGATGTCAACGTCAACCGACAACACTGCAAGAATTGGCCGTGGCACTGCAAGAGGAGTGGGTCAGATTGCCCCAAATCGTGATTGGACGGTTGATTAGGAGCATGTCACGACGAATTGCTGATTGTCTGAAGATGGTGGAGCAATTACTCGTTATTAAGACAAAAATCAAAAACGTCCATTTTCACTTTTGACGGTGTATCTCTTTGCGAGTGAAATGGGGACGTCAAATTAATAAGACGCCCATATGAACTGTTTATGTTCATGTGTAGGCAATTGGCCTGTTATAAACATACACTGGTTATCTCTAATAAAAACAGCAGTGCATTTCCGCAGTTTTGTATTGTTTCTGAATATCCCCTACTTTTTTTGAAGAGTATAATAGTTTTTTTCTGTATGTTACATAATATTTATTCCAAATACACAAAGACGCTGACAATGATGAATCACAGCTATTCCTACTCTAAGTATCCCGCTCAATTTCTCTGTGGACTCGAATGAAAAAGCGCCAGCAAAATCCATTTGGTTCCCCGTTTTCGTGTGGAACCTATATCCGGTTATTCGAAGAAATCGAAAGCCGCATTGTTAGGGAACCATATTCCACCCAATATATATTCAAAATGATCGGTCGTTAAGCATTGTCGACATAATATTAGAAATCATATTAACACTAGTACCAATTAAATTATTTTGACTTCCCTAACCCGGAATTTTAAATGCCAGGATGAAAATTTGAGCTCTAATTATGTTGTATTCGAGATGTTATTGTATGATGTTTCAATTCTAAATACAACAGTAGTGTTCGCTCTTCCTGTTCAATATTTTAAAACAATGGTAATACATGTTTTTCCATATTTAAAGCCCCAACACACTGGAATAAAGGTCAAATATACAGTTCAAGACTATATCAAAAGTACTGTTTTAAATCTTTCAATGCTAAGTTATGGCCATTTAAAATTTAAATTGGTCTCTATATTGATTTCACACCATGTTTTCTTTCAAGTCTGTCCTCTTTGCGTTTTGTTTTATACATGTATTCTTCCGACGTGGTTTCCCCTTGTCCGTGGTGCAGGGAGGGCCTGACAAGGACAGCTGTCTAGTCGTTCGAATGGGACGAAAAAGCGAGGTCCCGTGTATACTTTAGCGTGTAAGTAAAAGATTCTTGGCAGTTGGAATTCGATATAAGGGTAGGCCATAGTGCCGCTGCCTGGGCAAAATTTCCCTCATAGCACACTGTATGGCGTATGCCTATCTTCATTAGCCCAGTCGGCGCAGAACAGTAGGACGTTAAACCCCATTCCATTTCATTTCATTTTTATACATGTATTATAGTGTGCTTTAGAATAATAACAGTATCGACATTAATTTTATTTTTTAAATGAATGATCTATATATAGCTGGTTGTGTCCTTTTTATTTGTTAGTACATTCAGCTATATCTTTGAATTAAGAACCCTCTCATGGTGGCTTGTTATCTTACTTTAAGGAGATATTTCTTTATTTAACTTAAAAAAAAAACTTATAGTCGAAGTGTGTTCTTTAAATGAATTAAACAAAATTAAGTTAGGTTGGATGTCATCTTGGTCTCGATGTTCACGGTGTGAAAATTGAAAAAAAACCTTCCCATCTCTCGAATGGTAATAACGGCTTCAATCAATGGCGGTTAGTGTGAATGTAGAAGATTTCAAAGTTCTGTTGATAGATTTTAATCATTTTTGGACTATTATGCTTTTTTAATTAGACTTCTGTTTATTTTGAGTGATCTGAAAGTGTATAATTGTTTTTTAGTCCAGAATGTTGGAGGTGGTATATCATTTTGAACGTGAGCCAAGAACAAATAATGTGAAGGTCGCTCGTTCTTATCTATTTTGAAACAAAGTACGACTGCTTAAAACAAGGACATTCAACTTATTTACGTCTGTGAGGGATCGGCTGATTAAAGTACGAAACGATTAGACCAGATATTTCTTGTAGTAATGGGATATTCAAATGTAATCACCAAGAATCATGTTCCTGAATCTCTGCTATAGTTTGCATATTTCGAGAGTGTTAGTATGCTAATTCTTAGTAAGGATGTAATTATAGTGAGCGCGTATGAACATATTCAGTAACATTAGAATCTTGAAACTTTAGCATCTGCGTTTTCGAAGAGGGGTTGTATTGTTTTTGTTGTTGTATGTTAATTTGTTTTTACTTTACCTTTTGAAAGAGAGTGTCACTTTAAATAACACAACACATCATTACCATAATTTTATATAATTGTAACCATTAAATGAAATGGCTTTCTGAATAATTATGAATAATACATTGAAATTTTTTATTAGATCTAATAGCAGATTGTTAGACTAGCTTATCCAGTGTGTACATGATGCGTTAATGCATTTATTATGTAAATGTCTAACGAAAGTCGTGGGTTGTGCGGTGTCTATCTAGATTTCCATTAAAAATCAAATATTGATCGCTGTTAAAAGCACAATCCAGATCTTTCACATGTATCTCAAATGAAGTAAGAAAAGGGACTTAACGTCCAACTGTTCTGCACCGACTGGGCTAATGAAGACGGGGATACGCCATACAGTGTGCTATGAGGAGAAGTTTGTCGGGACATCGGCACTCTCTTTTCTTGCAACACTGACAAGCGGGAACAACACTGAAAAATCCCGATCGACTTTCTCTGCTCACACATGGATCGAATACGGGGCCTCCGGGTTAGCGAGCTAACGTCTTATTTACTGAGCCACCACTGCTCCTACGCATGTATCTCAATACATACTAAATAGGTATATACTGTTATAAGGTAATCAAGCACATTAAGAATCTGAATTATTATTACTTTATTTATCTAAAACACAAAGATGGATGTGCAAAATCAATAGAAAATCAGTTCAATTTTAAATGGCCAGGACTCTATGACTACTCTCAGTTTTGGAAACCTGTGCCTGATGCTTTTGATATGTGTCAATAAAATATGATTTAACCGAAACTGAAGTTAACAATTGATAGATTTTAATAATGTTTTAAACAATAATGTTTTTCAATAAAAGTACTTTTGATGGTTTTGGTCTTACAATCTTTATTTATCATTTATTTCATTTATTTCTTCATGTAATATTTACACATACAATAACCAAGTTGAACTGTGCAATATCACCTGAAATGATATTATTATTATTGATAAATATTAAGCCCGTGATGTTGGCAGGTTTTCTGAAAGGTAGAAGTTTAATAAACCTTTCCCTCCGAGACGTTTTTGGAATGTTATGAAATACAAGAGTCTCTGTGTTAATGTTATTAAAGACATTTCATATACATTAGATCAATAAAATAAAACTGTTTATGTTACAATTTATCGTTAATATATTCATTTTATTTTGATAATATATTTTTCACAATTATTAATGTTATTATATATATAAAAAAAGGCGCCATAATTTAATTATATGTATTTTTTGTACATTATTGTATGTGCGTTGTACCATGTTATTTTGTTATTGCTCAAAATTATTTTGTAATCTTGTTTCTGTGGGTAAAACCTGCATATATTCTCTTTTTTCTTTATGAAATAAAACACCTTGACCTATATTTATTTACATATTCGTGTTTTTATTAATAAGTAAAGGCTTATTATAGTTTTTTACGGGAAATTATACAATGGTCATGGTAAGATTTGTTTTTATGTTGGAGTGCATACAACAGGTAATATTCCTAAGAGGATTGGTGTATTTGTCTCCATTTAGTGCATTCTCAGGATGTCTGGTATCAAAGTTTGATGGACTAGTTCGATAAATACTTTTCTAATACAAAGTGGCTATTGTTACAACGAGTTTGAGCCAAGTTTAGAACGAATTCCAAAATGGCTGCCAATCTCCCCTACACCAGTATTTTCAACGTTTTCAGAACTGAAGGCAGCAATTAAGAGATGGGAAGGGTTAGGGTTAGGATTATTTTTACGACTATTCAGTTTTTAACTTTGCCGATGGAGGGCTGTGAAAGCATTGTCGTAACAATAGCCTGAGGACTATTTTTACGACTTGTCGTAACAATAGCCACTGCCTTTCTAATACACAATCGATCGCCCTGTATAAGGCAGGCAAAACATGACTCCTATGAAATTTAGGTATGTTTGGAAAATACAACTTAATGTATGAGTAGTTACAGTCAGGGTTGTGGGGGTCAAATGATATAACCCGTGGACTTTTAGATCATAAGGTCTGTCATTCAGTCAAGCGGCGCGATTTTGATACCTAGCTTGTACGTGACAAGGAGAATAGTCGTCTGACAAATACCGTGGGTTTTTCTCTGGATCCTTCGGTTTCCTCAAGTATTGAAATAGAATTGAACCCTATATTAGTCCAGAAATGACCTAGTTTGTGTCGAGAGGAGGTCATTTCTGGACTAACATATGGTTCAATTTTAATTCAATAATTATCTTGCGCGTAGGGATCTTTAGCAGTAGGAGGAAACCGAAAGACCCGGAGAAAACCCACGAGGTTGGACAGGCGACCTAACTCCTTGTCACGTACAACCGGGGAATCGAAACCACGCCAGTTGACTTAATACTGCCAGCGCGCACACGGTAACCATTGCCCCCCCCCCCACCAGCATCTCTGGCCCAAGCTAAAAGTCAATACCAGCCTGTCCTGCTTCCTAATACTAACGGAGTTAGCCTTCTTATGTGGTAAAATAATATTTGCTAGACATGATTTTAAAAAAAAGAAATTATACCACCGGTAATTATTCTAGCAATATTATAAAATATAAAAGTTATAACAAAACATTATTAGTGTGACAGATGGCAATTCTACAAAAAGAAATGTATTTATTAAGAGAGAGAGAGAGAGATAAATGGGGTTTAACGTCCACTCGACACAAACCAGGTCATTTCGGGACAATTTTATTTCAATAATTCGGTTGCGCAATATTTATTAAACATAATAAATAACCAATACAACACTAAACATATACGTATATATCTTCATATTAAACAATTATTAACCATATAAAATCTCCTCATCGTTTTTTTAGCCATTTTTTTCTAATTTGGGAAAATACTTATACTCGATAGACGTTTTATGTGGCAACCCAAAGATCAACCTCTGGACCTATATCGAGTCAAACATGCCGTTAGAGAACCTGTCGTTAAAACTTAGGAATCCAACCACTACGTAAAATCTTCGATCCCTGCATTGGCCGAGAAAGTTCATCGGGATTTTCCGACGTGGTTTCCCCTTTTCAGTGGTGCAGAACGGGGGGCCTGACAAGGACAGCTGTCTAGTCCTTCGGATGAGACAAAAATCCGAGGTACCGTGTATATATTGGATTGCACGTAAAAGATCCCCTGGCAGTTGGAATTCGATATAAGAGTAGGCGATAGTGCCGCTGTCCGGGCAAAATTTCCCTCATAGCACACTGTATGGCGTATGCCCGTCTTCATTAGCCCAGTATAGGAGCAGAACAGTAGGACGTTAAACCCCATTTCATTTCATTTTCATTTCACTGCGTTGGCCGAGAAAGTTCATCCTGATTTTCCGACGTGGTTTCCCCTTGTCAGTGGTGCAGAACGGAGGGCCTGACAAGGACAGCTGTCTAGTCCTTCGGATGGGACGAAAGATAGGTTGCCAGGCAACGAAACATACGCCCACAGCAGCTAAATCGTCCGGGCAGTCAACAAGAATTGTCACATATTTTTACTTTTTCGGTAATGAAACATTTATCTGATTAAGAGTAACAACTCATTAAGTAATTATCAGAAAACCATTAGAATTGGTTTGGTTTTTATAAAGTTTTGCCCCATGCTAACGTTTAGTATAGGAAACTTTTAACATCATGGATTTAGCTGTTCAAGTCATAAAAATTCATTGCAATTCAATATACTTGTTTGTCTCAAGACCTTAAACTCTGTGTATGAATCTGAAGTCAATCGGATGATAACTTTAGCTTCTAGAGGGTCACAATGTTTTTAAAAGTGATCAAGGGCCATAACTTTGGCAGTAATTATCGGAAATCGTTGAAAATCAATATGATTCTTTGTCTCATGACCTCAAACACTCTGTATCAATTTAAAGTCAATCGGATATTAACTTTAGCCTCTAGAGCCTTTACAAGATTTTTTCAAAGTGATCAAGGGCCATAACTCTGGCAGTAATGATCGAAAATCTTCGTCTCATGACCTTTAACACTGTGTATAAATTTAAACTCAATCGGATATCAACTTTAGCCTCTAGAGCGTCCTCAAGATTTTTCAAAGTGATCAAGGACCATAACTCTGGCAGTAATTATCGGGAATCGCTGAAAATCAATAGGATTCTTCGTCTAATGTGTATAAATCTAAAGTCAATCGGATATTAACTTTAGCCTCTAGAGCATTTACAAGATTTTTCAAAGTGATCAAGGGCCATAACTCTGGCAGTAATGATCGAAAATCGCTGAAAATGAATAATCTTCTTCGTCTCATGACCTTAAACACTGTGTATAAATTTAAACTCAATCGGATATTAACTTTAGCCTCTAGAGCGTCCACAAGATTTTTCAAAGTGATCAAGGGCCATAACTCTGGCAGTAATTATCGGAAATCGCTGAAAATCAATAGGCTTCTTCGTCTCATGACCTTAAACACTGTGTATAAATTTAAAGTCAATCGGATATTAACTTTGACCTCTAGAGCATCCATAAGATTTTTTGAATTGATCAAGGGCCATAACTCTGGAAGTAATTATCGGAAGTCGCTGAAAATCAATAGGCTTCTTCGTCTCATGACCTTAAACACTGTGTATAAATTTAAAGTCAATCGGATATTAACTTTGACCTCTAGAGCATCCATAAGATTTTTTGAATTGATCAAGGGCCATAACTCTGGAAGTAATTATCGGAAATTGCTGAAAATCAATAGGCTTCTTCGTCTCATGACCTTAAACACTGTGTATAAATTTAAAGTCAATCGGATATTAACTCTGACCTCTAGAGCGTCCAAAAGATTTTTTGAAGCGATCAAGGGCTATAACTCTGGCAGTAGTTATCGGAAATCGCTGAAAATCAATAGGCTTCTTCGTCTCATGACCTTAAACACTGTGTATAAATTTGAAGTCAATCGGATATTAACTTTAGCCTCTAGAGCGTCCACAGAGCGTCCACAAGCAATTGTGGACGCCGGACCGACGGACGGACGGGGGCGACGACAATATACGACCACATTTCAATGTGGGCGTATAAAAACCGAGGTCCCGTGTATACATTAGAATGCACGTAAAAAATCCCTTGGCAGTTGGAATTCGATATAAGAGTAGGCGATAGTGCCGCTGCCCGGGCAAAATTTCCCTCATAGCACACTGTATGGCGCATGCCCGTCTTCATTAGCCCAGTATAGGAGCAGAACAGTAGGACGTTAAACCCCATTTCATTTCATTTCATTTCACTGCGTAAAATCAAATCCGTCCCCTCGACCCTCACAAGAATCCGGACTATGTCACTGAATATGACAGTATGAAATGGGGTTTAGCGTTCTACTTTTCTGCACCCACTAATGTGCATCAGCATACATCATACAGTGTGCAATAAGACAGCGACGCTACTACAACTTACTCTTATGTGGAATTCCAACTGTCAAGCGTTCTTTTACGTACAGAATATGACATGATGTAAATGCTATCATGCAATATTTATTCTTAAAGCCACTAACTTATCTTAAACTTAATATCCAGGCCCGGGTTTCTCAGACTCTCAGTTACTCAACTTTCAATCACTGTTTATCTTTGATCTAGAAACACAAAACTTTGCTCATAGTTTCTTATTGATGTATTTGATACATTAAAACAAAGGTTTTATAAAGGACTATATTTTAGTTAAAATAAGGCCAAAAATTTTGAGTAAATTCTTAACGTAAGCCTGAGAATGTTTAGTTACATTGGGGCCTCATGTGTCAGTCTCCACTTTGAGGCCATACTGACCAACGCAGATGAAAAACAGCGTTATTATAACTACCAAGAATATGTTACAAACTAAAAGTTGCAATTATAATGACGTTAAAGGCTCAATACCACTCTTGTAACTGAATAATATGCCCCAATCTTTATTCTGGTCAACAAATTGTACTATTTTACAATATTCCAATTAATTGATGATACAAATTTTATCTTAACACACCTAATTTAAAAAATTGGAAAAATTCAACTAAATGATTTGAAAAGCCTAACGTAAACCTTTTCAACTGTGACTTGGATTTTAAAATATTTTCGAACCCTCTGGACAAGTAAAATAGGATTTAATGGATAATTTACACAACAGGTAGGACAATTAACCATCTAATACTTAGAATAAGGCCATTATTTATTTTCTGGAGCTGTCAAGCCAGCAAGAGTGTTATTGTCCCTTTAACGTAATGACAGCGTGACACGATCTATACCTTCCCGGGTAACATCGGGACCGAACCCAGGACATCCTTGTTGTGAACTAACCCTATTTACACCGATCCATGTACAAGAACATAGGACCGAACATTATGAGTTTCACACTGTATGAGGATCATAGAGAAATTAATATTTTATTTTGGTTTTAATTATTTTGAAAATAGTAACTAAATACCCCCCTCCCCTTCCCCCCTCCACCAAAAAAGAAATGACCCATCATTCTCAAGTTATAGGCCCTGCCTGGAAATAGGACCTATTGATCTTATAAAACAAGCATGCCTTAGCGTGGAATTTAATGGGTCTATAGACTGTATGTTGTTCTCGGCGGTTGAATCTAAATGAAACATGTGGAATTGCAAAATAGTTTACAAAAATAGCAATTTAACAGAATTTGTTTCATATAATTGTCCATTAATTCGACCTTTCAAACAAAGTCGATTTTTATGATTATGTTATTTGATTCCAGAATATTAATATCCGCAGTTCTGCTCTTCTTTTTAAATTGTGTTTTAGGTTATGTCAGATCGAAAAACTAAAAGTTCATTCACTTCGGAAATCAGATACAATCGAAAACGAGCGACGTATTTAGAAACGTGTTTTATTTAAGATTTCCCCATATTGATTTTTAAAAATAAATCTAATTCTTATGACATATTGTATCTTAATTACTTTGATAAAAACGAGAAAATGAAAAGGAAATACAATTTATCACTATCAAAGGACGTTATTCGTTAGTGTGGTCTTAATTCAGTTTGCACAGCTAGTCGTCTTCCGTATGATCGTCTTATGACGCAAGTATCGGGTCGTTATGTCATTTAACTTGAGCAGATCGAGAAATAAAAACTGGTTAGACTTTATAAAAACTTATTAAGAAACAGGGATACGTTGATATACTTTTTTTTTGTTGTGTGGTTTTAAAACTTTTTAACATCCTGGTCAGCACAATTCAATGTCTTAACCTTTTTGCCTCAACTGGGATTATCTGGAAAGGATTGGGTAAATGCTTGGAGGGTGGCATAGTTAGATCAAATGTGATTTATTTCCATTAAAATACGTGGGTTTGGTTGAAATATGTAAGATATCAACGAGGAATGTATTTAATGGTTAACAGCTTTATCCACAGTCGGGTAAATACATCCAATCTGTCCAATCATCAAATCAGTATGTACATATAGAGTAGACTGAACTCAAGTCCGTGGAAATACCAGTTATCTAACGAGACTAGCTTAATTTGATCGATTTTTGACATTTTCTCATAGAGCGTGTCGAGGGAGCAGAACTGAAATATTTGGTGTGATATTCTACAATGATTGACGTCAAAAGAAAGTTCCTTATGCCTGTGATATGCCGAATCAAACCAGTCAAAAATATACTATTTTCCTTGGCAAAAACTTATTGGGACGGTAGCTTTCGGCTTTTGTCAGTAATACAAGATAGGTTGCCAGGCAACGAAACCTACGCCCACAGCAGCGAAATCGCCCGGGCAGTCAACAAGAGTTGTCGCATATTTTTACTTTTTTCGGTAATGAAACATTTATAATTCATTAAAATCTGATTAAGAGTAACAACTCATTAAGTAATTATCAGAAAACCATTAGAATTTGTTTGGTTTTTATAAAGTTCTGCCCCATGCTAACGTTTAGTATACGAAACTTTTAACATCATGGATTTAGCTGTTCAAGTCATAAAAATTCACTGAAAATCAATATACTTGTTCGTCTCAAGTACTTAAACTTTGACTTCTAGAGCGTCCACAAGATTTTTGAAGTGATCAAGGGCCATAACTCTAGCAGTAATTATCGGAAATCGCTGAAAATCAATAGGCTTTTTAGTCTCATGACCTTAAACAATGTGTATAAATTTAAAGTCAATCGGATATTAACTTAAGCCGGACCGACGGACTGTAGGACTAGGGCAAAGACAATATACGACCACATTTCAATGTGGGCGTATAAAAATCAACTAACGGAATAATTTCGGCCAGTTCATGAGTTCTCAACCGTAAAACTCACTACTGGCAATTGGTACAGTCCTCACTGTAGGGCATTAAAATGATAACTATGGAGTATGGACTGTACACCGTATATAGTAAAAAGATTATTTATTTAGCTACATAGCAACAGATACAGTGTATATGTATAAAGTTTCATGTTTAAAAGCTTTCATGTGTGTTTTATTAATCAATATGCTTTTCATAGTATAGACATATTTATATAATGCTGTATATAAACTAGTAAATATCAATCTCTATAAAATTCTAATTTAAATCTATACTTAATTTTAATAGAATAAAATGTGATCTGCAAACATGTAGTGTATACTACATCAGTATTCATGATCATGGTAATATATTGTCAATAGCAAAAACTTAAACATTAAATTAAATGCATGCATCTATGAACCAAAAATTGTCTGAACTTGTATTTCCTGAGTAAATGAAAAATAAGCAAACTATTTTCTATGAAGGTTATAATAATGTTAGATCTAGTAAAAATAGCAAATCAAAACACTATAAACGCAATTCATTTTCTTAATAAAAAAAAAACTACTGTAAAAAGTATACTAATATACCTATTCAATGGAGATTTTAGATATTTTTTAAATTCCATAAAAGCAAAATTTTAGTTTTAAATTCTATTATTTCCGAAGTCAGAGAAAAAATAAAAACAAAATTCTATTAATTAATACATCAAAAATAAATAAACAAGCACAAATAATTATCTAAAATACATATAAGTATCTAATAAATATGAATCTATATTTTTATCAGCACAATTTTTGTGAAGTAGGCGACTATAAATTATGAGAATACACCTTTAATATAATACACAACTTGAAAGTATTTTTATAATAAATATCTGAATATGGTAAAAAGGCAAAAAGGCAATGAGTGAATTAACCTCACAAATTAACTTCTCATTCCTAAACTCATGAAAATCTATAATTATGTATCCCCTACCTCTAAGACATCATGGTGATAGATAATAGTGAGAAGATTATTGCAATATAAAGGCACGTTAAATATAGCTATTTTCAATAAAGTGAAAAATATTGTCTCTAATCCAAATACTACAATTTAAGGAGATATAGAGTGAAATTGCATTTAACAAGATGCAATTGTCACATAAATTGAATATACAGAGAATAAAGGTTTAGACAAAGTCACTCCATTCCAAATTTTGCCAGTTGGTAATTATTCACATAACCTAGTTTATCTCAGATTGGCAAAGATTATTTTCAAAGAATATCAAAATTTTCTGTGATTTAATTAAATCAATTTTCAGGTGTTTCTACCGATAAAACTATAAATTTATCTGTATTTACAATGTTTTAAGATTAAATTCCTCAAAATACACAATTTTATGAAATGTAAATTAACTAGTGTACAAATTCTCCAGTCTGTCAATTTCACTGCTAGTCAGTCAAGACTGGCTAATTATCAGCAATATGAGAGCCCTGGTTTGGATCTCTTACATAATAAATCTAACCTGTATACTAGTTAATAAAACACTAGGACATCATACTCTACATATATCTAACCTTTATAAAGGTAATTAGTTAACACAATATGTATATTAATATATAGAACATGATTATAATACAATCAAGCCACTATATCTATATATAATATACAATAAACATATTCATTATATTGAACATTATAAAAGTTACAGTACCCCCTAATCAATAATTACACTTTGTGTTTTTTTCCATACTTATTTCTCCAGATATACATCCTGCATATGGATACTACACATATCTACAAATTGTGATTACTAGTTAATTATTCAGAATCACCCACAATCAAATATTAAACACATTATTTCTAAAACATAAAAACTTGATGAAATTTTAGATTTGTGAGAAACCTGTATTATATTATTACACTCCTGGGGATACTGGCACTTTAATTCTAACAAATAATATACTTTTTAACATAAACAAAACAATTTTAACATATTGTTATTATGCATACTTCTCGTAATCCTTCTAAAGCATACTTAATCTCAATACAGGTTCAAAATCCTATAATCTTTTTCATGTAAACAGTTTAAGGACACTACTATTTAACTGGTTGAAAGCTAAAATCTGTCCATTGATTTTAACTCACAGCCAAGAAATAGGCAATATTCTCAACTGTAAGTTTTATGCATAAGGCCTGTTTTTCGAAAACTCAATTCCTTCAATTCATATAGGTCTAATTATAAACCTGACCTAACAGATTGAGTACAATAAATTTACATGGATATATAATGAAAGCTGCAATACCTTATAAATACACAGTAGATCTGTTTAACATATTACAAAGCTTGACAATAGTTACACATGCGTTAATTAAGTTAACTGTACTGATTCAGTGTAAAATTCGCCCTGCTCCAATAAGGCCACACATATTAATATTTTGGTTCCAAAATTTTAAAATTTTAAACAAACCATGGCTCATGTGGCTAGAAAGGTTATTTCTTTTATCACGACCCTGAAGAATCAAAAATTAAAATTAAATTTTCTTTGTTTAAAGATACATTATGTAAGACCTAAATCTGCCTATTGTAGATCTTTCTGCGCTTCAGCGCTTGGAGCTTACAGAAGACGATAATCTTAAAATTTTAACAATGTATTGTGCCATAATGCTTGGAAAAATGGAAAATGTCATTTGTGATTGATTCACACAAGTTTGGTTAGAGTCTGATGTACTCTTTATTGGATTTGATACTCATTATATTATAAGGGCCTGAGCAGTTGTTCATTGAATACAGTTTTTAATGTGTTTCGCTTGGTGAGTATCTATTTATCTGAAGTTTTCATTTTATCAAGAATAGGTATGACCATATCAAATCGTGGGCGTTTACCCGGTTCTTCATTCATACAGATCTTAATAAGTCGAGACATGTGACTAGAAATACCAGGTGGAATCTTTATACGTAAACCTTCTAAAGCAATCTGAAATAGAAAAAATATCAACAGTTTCATATCACCAGGCACCTAAATAAAACATACGAAACTTATGCTGTCTGTCTATAATCAGCTCCGCTTTAAAACAGACATGAAGCTAGTTGACCGGCATTTTAATGCCCATTTCGAAAACACAAAGTATAGTTTGCGAATTTTGAGAACTATTTATTCCACTTACATCTTTATATGTAAAGAAATTGAAAATGTTTATTTGGTTTGTGTGTGTATGGAACGGATTATAATCACATAACTAAATAGTACATGTATTTTTCAATATGGCTACCATTCAGGACAGAGATGTATTCTCAAAGTAGATAGTTCTTTGTGTGTAGAATGCTAAATAATATTCTCATTATTACTCTAAATTTAATATTAAAATCACTATTTGACTTGTAAAAGGAATGAATAACCCTGAAACATCACCAATAATAACATCTTTAACAATTTCAACTATATTTTGGTTCTTGTGCAATATTGGAATTTGGGGACAAAATATAGCTTCCTTTTTTTGAATATTAACAGGTATACTATAAATACTTGACAAGGTTAAAGTGGGTGTTGTATTGTGTTTATTTACCTTCATGCCAATTTCCATGGGTGACAAGTCAGCAAATGGTACCTCTCTAGTTTCTAATTCCCACAATAGTATAGCAAAACTCCACATATCGGCAGCTCTCTGATTTAAATCTTCACCAGTCTTCTGTAGAGCTAAAATAATTATCTCAATTTAATAACCTCAATCAAATTAGGTAGCCAGTAACGAAAATGATTCTATAAAAATGTTAAATATTTTTCCGATTTTGTCCATATCTTCGCCAGGAATTTGTATCTTATTGTACTGTCACTAATGTATTACAATGTCAGTACTAAAAGTGTGACATGAAATGAAATGGGGTTTAAAGTCTTAAAAGCCGGGCTAATCAAGATGGGCATATATGCCATACAGTGTGTTATGAGTGCAAATTTGCTTAGACATCAGCTAACTTTTCATGTTTTTTTTTTATGTGGATGTCAACGTGTACACAGGACCTTGGTTGTTTGTCCCTAGTGTTCAACTAGACACAGATTCTTGCCAGGCCCTCTGTCTGCTAATTATTTTTGTTAAAATTTGATGTTTTATCCCATCTGTTCATGTGAATATAACGCACATGGTGACATTCCAAGAGGAAGTATATTAAGGTCTGGATATATAATAAGACCATTGTCATGTGAATATAAAGCACATAGTTGCTTTTCAAGAGGAAGTATATTACGCTCTGGATAATAACACCATCCTTATGAGGCTCTTATTTCAGATACTTGAGAAAGCTAGTAAACAATTTGTTTAGAAACAATTTGGGGTTTCAAGAATAATTCACTTCATTTTTATTTTCCAAACAATTAATGGTGGAAATCTTATCAGAAATAGTTCAAAGGTCATTGAATACAGAATTATAATTTATGCATAGTTGTGTTTTATTTATTGAGAACAAGTCCCATATACAAGAAATATAAAACTAAAAATACTAAATATAGTTAAATAAAGAAATTCAAATACTAAATAATCACTGATAATGTGTTGAAGTAATCGGACATTGGATATGAACATTAGTTTTGTAGTGTTTTACCTTCAGGAGCCATCCAAGCTGGAGAATAACATTTGCCTTTTTCATGAAAGGAGAAGACATAATCAGCCATATTTATTCTAGCTGTAAGATCTTCATCAATCTGAAAATACAAACATATATTATAACTTCACATTAACGACCCAGAAATTCTTACACAAAAATCCTCCTGTATTTTTTTCATAATTTTCATTCTCTCATCTTATACATATCGTAACATAAATTTTTGTGACATATATTTTTGTGAAAATTCCCATTACCAAAATAGACCATTTATTATCCTGATTCTTTATGTGAAATTCAACCATATATGTATTTGCAGACAGCTTTCTTACATACATGTATTATAGTTCTTTTATCACATAATACTCATAAATAAAAACATAATCAGAAATATTGAAAATAAACCCATTATAATTAGTTTTTTCAAACTACACACCAAATTACAAAATTTGAAACTCTTTCAACTAACGAGAGGTTCCTGTATTAAAAGCATGCTATTATATACTATATATGTACATCTGATTCAAAGAACACAGATCCCAAATATTTAATTATAATACACAAACTTCTACTGTCATAGACCTACAACAAGTTTTAAAGAAAGTGAAGAAAGACATTCCGTAACTACACTTAGAAAATTTGAAATATATGTGTACAAGGTTCATTTCATATTAAAATGATGTGAAAGCATTGTCTATAATAAACCTTCACCACAGCTGTGTGTCTTAAGAATATAACAAATTCTAATTATGTCATTATACAAGGCTGAAGACTCTCCCTGTTCCATTGTCTAGAACATGCATAATATACAAAGAAATTGTGAAATGAACAGTGTCTAGTTGTTTGGATGGCATAAAAAACTGAGGTCTTGATGTACAAATTGGCATGCACATAAAACAACTCTTGACAGTTGAAATTTGAAACAAGAGTAGGCCGTAACGCCACTGTTCGGGCATAATTCCCTCATAGCACACATCATGACGTATGCCCGTCCTCATTAGACCGAATCGTAAATGGGAAGTGGTATCAAGTGTCCAACTTCGCCTCGTACATGCATGACACCCATCACTACTGACTGTAAAACGGGCCAATCATTTGGACCTGTATTCATTTGTAGCAGAAATTTATTTGATGTAGTAACTGATTTTGAGACTTTAATCCATTGTTTTTTCTCTACTGTTCAACTTACCTCTCTAGAATTCAAATTTATATAAAACATGCAGAATTCAATTAACATTTCCAAAAATCAGTTATCACAAATCAACTCAAAACCCCAAATCATGCTTTAAAATTACAGGTCAATTAATTTCACATTATTAATTGGTTGACACAAAAACTAATACAAACTTCATCCCAGTCATTCTATACTCAAACTCATTCATTTCAATAAAATACCATTCAAAACTTCCACAAATTGTTACTATGGAGATAATTAAAGATGCATTATGTAAGATTCAGATAAATAGCTGACAGTTCTCACTGTTAAAAAATAGATAATAAAAAGGGAATATGTCAGTCAAATTACTTCAATATGAGCACAGTTATTGGCATTTGAAGAACAGTGTAGTCTTGATTGTCATTGCTACCATTGTTACGATAATAAACAAAGTCTCGATTATCCATTCTGTTATTTAAATTATTAACTTGCAATTGTGTTTAAATCCATTAAAAAACAAAAGCCTTTGATTATGGGCTTGGCATGTGAATAATTTTTGACGCTAAACAAAAGATCTACATTAGGCAGATTTAGCTCTTACATAATGCATCTTTAAACAGAAAATCTGTTATTTAAAATGTTAACCTCAATTTATGAATAGGGATATATGATTGTGAACATTTTTTTTTACCACCAATCAAACTTTTTTTTTGTTATATATATAAAAACTTAAAAAACAGTAAAAATCTTCTTTCAAAAGAATCATGACAAATCAATTAAAATGACAGGTCTACACAACAACCCTATCCAAAGAATACACAATTAAAATTATGGGTTAATAACTTCACTGGGTCTGTCGTTAATCTTTGGAGCAGAAGTGACATAACTGGTATTTTTTTTTTTTTTTTAGAAATATCCTAATCTGAGGGATTATTGGCAGACTGATTTCAATTTTAAACAGAAACTAGTAAGGATATGTCGATTAGCAGTGTCTGAAAAGAGTGTATCACTATAAACAGGCTATGATCTACTATTATATAATAAAATTACGTAATAGCATGAGTGCCAAAGACAAAGCTGCTACTTAGTACTCTAGTAATACTGTTATTTATTATTGGTCAGTTCTAGTGTTGTTTTACAGAGTTCGGACAGTGATCTGAGGTTGCATGGAACTATTTTTGTCAAGACTGTGTAAGAAAGAGAAAAGGGAAGTAGTGATATTTCTCTATTGTGTATTCATTCACAATCATAACTGGGCTAGAAAAGGGGCCATATTTTTATTCACAAAAGCTTAACCCGGAAAAATTCCAAGACACTGTTTTATCATTTGCTGTGACTTAAAATCTGTAAATGACCTCAATGTTCATTAATTATACTTCAGTCATTGACAGAAGGATAAGACAATAAAGATGGCAGTTTGAAATCAACAAACACTTACATAATCATGACAGAAAATAAGAACTAATCAATATTAATAAAACTGACCAATGTGCTTTTTGGTAAGCCTATATTTGGATTTTCAGATTTAAGATTTTGTGAATTTAAGGTCACAGGTTTATACTAATAAAGTATATAAATGAATAAGGTAACATGTAATTTTCATATCTGAAATTGTACATACTTAAAGAAATTGAAATGTTTTGTAACATTCTTTGCAAAATTGAACATGTTTTGTAACATTCTTTGCAAAATTTAACATGTTTTGTACCATTCTTAAAGAAATTGAACATGTTTTATAACATTCTAAATAAATTAAATTGCACTAGTCCTACACCTTGACCTTCTCCTCTAGATCTGTCCACTGCTATGTTACCTACCCTTTTAAGGATAAAGTCATTCACTATCATATTACTGGATGATAAGACAGTTTCAAGCAAGTTAAAGTCACAGATCCCATTGGGCAACTTTTGGACAATATCTATTTCACTTCTTAATCCACACTAAAATGTGCTCAAATTGATTATTTAATATTTAATTAAGTAAATAAACCAAAATATCAACGGTAGCTAATATCACGGGGTGGATTCAATGGAGTAATAAAAAAGCTTGCCATATAAGATTATAGCATTCACACATATACGTGCCACTGGCTTGTTTACATTCTCTAGAGAGGATGTTTAATGTTTTAAAATTCTTTAATTCATCACAACTGAACCATATTTGGACTTTTATAAATTTTAGATATTCAACTTTCACAATGTTGTAGTTAGATTCAAAATCACTCCAATTATGATCAGTGACTGAAAATGTTGAGTTTGACCACAAAACTTAAAGTTGCAATTTCATATTTCTAGGTTATATTTTTAAAATTTATTAAAATAAAGCCTTAAAATAGATGGTATCTATAAACAGTCCTACCTTGTCAAAGAATATTCCTATTAATCCTATAATTCACTATTGCCAGTTGAGAAATTAGCAACAATATCATTTTAAACTTCAAATTCAAACGTTTGAAGATAGCAATTCCATGGGGGGGGGGGGGGGGGGGGAGATAGAAAAACAAGGGAGGTAACTGTCTTATTATTTCCGGGGTCAAAGCATTTTAAGTGGGAGAATAATACCTATGATCGTATAATAGTGAGTTGACAACCCATTGAGCAAAAGACATAGAAATAATTATGTTTTGACTTTCTTAGAAAATATGAAATTAATGCTTTAATACAATAATAACACAGGTCTCTAGCATAGTAGGTGACTGATGTGAAGGTCAAGATAATTCTATAACTAATCACATTTCATTGTAGAATTAGAAAATATAGAAATTGAAAATATAGACCATGCACAAATCATATGAATGATGAATAAAATTGATGAAATATGATAATGTAATTTAATATTAATGTTGTTAAACTGTATTTGAATGTTAATGGTTCTACTATGTAATTTTCTATGTTAAAATGTTTTTCATGTAGAATTATTATAATTAGAAAATAAAGTGGCAGTCTCTCTAATCCTTCAATATTTATGGTGATTGGACAGCCACTAACGACAAATACAAGCCGGAAATGCATTCTCCCCCAGTCAAGTCATGTGACATACAAGATTGCTTAGAATAGATTGCGGTACTTTTCTTCCGATTTAAATGGTTCGAGAGGGACTTGACACAAACTTCTAAATTAGTTTGAATATGTTTTTAATCCAAATATAGCATCAAATCACACAGTTTATATGTGGGAAGGTATCTTTAAATATATAAAATTAAATAGTTTAAGAGAGACTGCTGCTTTAATGTTTATCTTATATTTTTTTAATTTGAATAGATTTTGTTTTGTAATATATTGTGCTTTTAATAAAGTGCGTTTTATATAACAATAATATATATTGTGTTCAATTAATTATATCAGATTAATCTAATGTCTAGTTTTATTATTTAATACTCTGCCCACTGATTTATTAACCGAAATATAGAAGTGAAAATATATAGAAATGTTCTTTTGGTTTAGAGTAGAATGAACAAGTTATATTAATTTATATACTCATTAATCTTATACTTAATTAATAATCTTTTTAATCTCCAATACAGTTTTAATAATGAGTGATTTTTTTTTTTTTTAAATTGTGTAATTGATTTTATATGTGAATCAAATGAATGACATGAAAAATAATGAAATGAAATTATGTTAGGGCTTCAATAACTCTTATAGAGAAGCCATTGTATATTCAACACAGAGGCTAAACTATAGCGCTATTAGGAGCCATGCTTCTGAAAACTCTTTAAACTAACATCTCTATTGTAAGCAAACTTTTTCTAAAATTGCTCTAATAATGTTGGCAGTAGAGATAAATGTCTTTAGAATTTGTTTTGTTTTTTTTTGAATCAATCAAGTTTTAACCAATAAAATTAAGATTAACATCTGTCTTTCTTGTATTGGTAATATAAACAGTTGTGGTACTCCAATGCCAACTGATTGGTACCGCCGAAAATAAAAGGGTCACTCACTGATAAAAAAGCTGGAATTGAAATATTTCTACTATAAAATTCCTAATGATGAGATCTGGAAATATGTGACTAAAACCTGAAATTCCCTTTTATCAGCCATGGAACGGACCAATAATATCAATGCATATTAATTTTTCAGAGCAGTCCACTTTTAAAAGGGATGTGTTTAGTGATATAGACACATTTTTCCAGGCCTCCTACTTTTGTTGAGTAATAGTTAGTAAATAAAGTGTGCTAAAATGAACTGAATATGCGGCAGGCTCGAAACGTATTCACGCTAGTGTTTTGTTTTTGTTACCCCATTGAGTGTATCATTAGCATGATACTTTGGATCATCGATATTAATTTTGGCGAGGTCTTCATCAATCTAAAATAAAGATATCATAAAACAAAGAAATAAAATACAGGGCTTGCATCAAAGAGAAATCACGTAACTGCAATCTTTCTTTCCTAGAGATTTGGGCAGAAAAATGTTAATTTGTAACTTCAATATTTCTATTCAGAATTTCTAATTTTGAGACTGGATATTACAAAATCTATCTACTTTCAATTTATTAAAGATTGAAAAATATTTAATTTTAACTATTTCAATCTTTCTATTCACAATTTCTAATTTTGAGACTGGATATTTCAAAATCTATCTACTTTCAATTTATCAAAGATTGAAAAATATTTAATTTTAACTAAAATAAATTAATATAATTTCTAAAGCAAAATAAATTTATCAAAAGAATAAATTGCTCATCAGTATTTATTAGCAAAAGTTACCTATACTTCATATGGACTTGTACAGGTATAAGAAAATGCCCATAACATTGTGAAATATTTTGTGTGATAAATTAAAAAAAACAAATCCTATGGGGATAAATAACTTTATCTAAATATTTAGACAAGTGGCCAGGGGACTGGACTCTAGGCATGTGGTCAGAGACAGGACTCTAGGGATGTGGTCAGAGACAGGACTCTAGGCATGTGGTCAGAGACGGGACTCTAGGCATGTAGTCAGGGGACTGGACTCTAGGCATGTAGTCAGAGACAGGACTCTAGGCATGTGGTCAGAGACAGGACTCTAGGCATGTAGTCAGGGGACTGGACTCTAGGCATGTAGTCAGGGGACTGGACTCTAGGCATGTAGTTAGGGGACAGGACTCTAGGCATGTGGTTAGAGACAGGACTCTAGGCATGTGGTCCGACGTGCACACATGTACAGATTGGTATGAACATAAAAGAATCCTTGACAGAAAACGATGAAGAGTATAAGGGTTGAATGTTACCATAGGAATAAAGACTACCACGTTTGTCTCAAATTATCTAAGTAGTGTGTTGATGAAACATTAAACTCCACTCCATTGTTTAAACAAATCTCAACTGGGATTTACCAAGAACTTGAGGAAAATGAATTAATTTGCCAAGAACTTGAGGAAAATGAATTACTTTGCCAATTCCAGGTGTCTCTGCCCTGGCCCTATTTATTTTTAATAAGTATGACTAAGACCCACGCAGACTAAATGAATACCAAATTTGGATAAAATCTATTCTGGTATCAGGTGACAATGGGTTGGGAGATTGCCATAAGCCCCTTGGGTGATAAGCTAAAAATAAATTCTTGATTTTTTTCTATATCTAATGCAAGCCCTGATAGATACAGGTGCCACATAAAAAGCAATAAAAAAGGTGCACTGAAAAGAAATAATTTAAAAACATAACATAAATAAAAGAAAAAAAGAAAAAGAACAAAAAAAGATCTCTGACTAAATTTTGACATAAAAAAAAAATAAAATCATAAAATAAAATAACCACAGATAAGTTTAGAAGATAAAATCATCAAAACAATTTTGATTTTTGAAGTTGAATAGTGCGTATGTATGTAAAAAATAAACAAGCAAATACCTCTTTGATTTAGGTCGCAAACAAAATTGTTAAAAGAGACTGGTCTTATAAGTTATTTTGATTAATGATGGAGCAAAGCTCTATATGAAAGATTGAACAGAAGTCAGCTTCTTTACTTTATTTATTTTCGGAGCAATTACCTGAAATCAGGAAGCGTTTGTTCTGCCATCAGCCATTATACCGGAGTGCAAAATACTTTGAAATTTTGCCGATTTGGTTTCTATATAGATTACCATCATCATTTAGACCGAAAAAATTTCTGATCTGAAGCCGTATAATAATATGTACGCTCAATTCCGAGTGAAAACTATTTTTACCTCACCAAAACGAAAGTCGTTTATATAATGGATTATAATCCCACTATTGTTCAATTTAGTACGTCCATTCAAGAGAAATGGCATCGATTATCCAATTCGTAAATATGCAGTACAATCTTCGAAAAAAACAAAAACAAAGCCAATCACATAATATATCTGCAGCAAATTAGACTAATAATATTACTTTATTGGTACAATCGGACAAGAAATCACCCTGTCATAATATTTTACATAACCAGGCTAGAAATATAGTCTACCTTTCAAATCAATACGTGGGAAAGAGAAAACATGTCATTTTTTTTCAAAGCGAATCAAAGAACAATTTGTAGATATTAAATTAACGGACCGAAACCGGATCAAATACCTTTTCATTTCGCAGGACAAGCGAGTACAAATGTTACGTTACAAATAATTCGGCTTTTCAATTTTCAGTGAAAGCAGATGCCATCGCGAAAAATAATTCAACACATCAAATCCAAGGAAAATGGCAATTTATTTTTGACCCAAATCAAAGCGGTCTATTCATTTTAAACAAATAAACTTTTGTAATTGAGGTTCAAATTAAATAGCTATATTTTCTATTGTCATTTAATTATCAAGGTTTATTAAGACATACCATGACATGTTTTGAAGTTAACAGGAAGTTTGGTATCATTGGTTCCATTGAGTGAAGAAATTCCATGCCTCTTGCGATGTCAATAGCAAATCTTAAAGCTTGATTTTGATCCACAACAATACCTGTAGGATAGAAGAAAATATAGTATATTAGGAGTTATTCCCCTTATTAATAGATTCGACAATACTCAAACCACAACACCAGACTACACTGTAATTGAATCGCAGATAACTTGGCGTAGAGTGAAGTAATTTTGACTGAAATTTTCAACATATTTCCTTTTCATTATCTATTTTTTAACTATTATAGCGAGAACTGTCAGCTCTTTATCTAATCTTATATAATGCCCCTTGAAGTTAGGGAAAAACCTAGACTGGTCTCCAGACTATGACAATATTTGATATGTATGGTTACTCTATTAATTTGATCAATTTATGGTTTTTCATACTAGACAGGTTGGAGCAGAAATTAGATCTCAGTCATCTCAAACACGTCATATACTAACGTTCAAAAGAAACTGTTTTCCTTAGCAACAACTTGCAATAGCACCAAAGGCATGCCAAATCAACTAATTGCGTAATTTTTTTTTTATCAAATTGGGGCAATAAATCCACCCACTTCTCAAAAGGCACAGTCCTTACCATGATATGATAAAATGAGAACTAATTAAAATACAGTACACTTTTGGGGATTTCAATTGTGGGAGAATTTAGAAATATATAAAATTAACACGGAACACAAAACTTTACTGCACCGAAAGAGTGAAACCTCTACGAGAAATGTGACAATGTTTATTGTATATGTATTACCTGATTCACCATGTAATGTATTAAAGAGAGAACCAAATGGCATAAACTGTGTTATAACAACTAAATTAGGTGGTTGATTACAACAAGCTATAACTGGTAATATATTAGGATTGTTGAAGATTCTACAAAATAAAACAATATAAAACTAATACAACATCAAGATATACCAAAACATATGTAAGGTTTTCTATTGAACACTTTAAAGGTGATGGCAATATTATCATACAGCATTCTTAGTAAGTGCAGGAGGACTGCACTACTCACAAAACAAAACCTAAAAGACTTTAAGTAACAATGAGGCTTTGGTATAATGACCATTGTTCACCTCTCTATAACATGTACAAACGTTTTCTAATTATTGCCAACCAATTTAAAAATTAGAGTTTTCAAACGTTGTAATTGTGAAGTTTGTAAGATTCAATAAGCCTATAGATGGCCATAAAATAGTATGTTTTAACTTCATGCCAAGTCTGGCCAATGTTGGCTACTAGAAATTATAACAATATTACTTCTTTAAAAAGTGTTACTCCACTTTATCAAAATAACTGAAGCTCCTGTCAAAATAATGTAAGTCATGGCCTCATAAAGATAGCTTATCAATCATGTAATGGGGAAGCATCACCAATATCTGATATATAGCACCGTTTATTTTGGATTAAATTAATTGCTTCCTTTTTCACAAGAATATCATCAATAGTCTTTAAGATTTCAGCTATGAACAAAATTGAGATTATACTTAGTACCATAATTAAGATTATACTTAGTACCTTAATCTTGGGAATTCTTCTTGGAAATCCCTAGAATTTCTGACAGTACATTCTCGAAGACTGAGTATTTTGGCAACAATATCATTTCCTTGCCATAATCCACGCCAGGTCTACAATAAAATGTGGGCAATATGAACATTTGTGCATAAAATCAAATTACAAACAACTGTTCAATTCAAACTTCAAAATATGACATTTGACTAAAGCACTCAAAAATATGAAAAAGTTTTCTTTCTTAATTTCATGTATTCTTCTTTAGATATCTATAGAGATTATGTTATCTTCTGAGGAAATCTATAGACTTCTGGGACTATGTAATCTTCTATGGCCATGTGCAATACTAAGGAGAAACATTTTATGCAGATAGCAGCATTTCGTCCTTCTCTTTATTGAATTCTAACTGTTATTACCTGACCAGAATGAGTATCTGCAATATGGCCGACTAACTGTAACTGTGCAATATCAATACCTGCATGTCTGGATAATAAAGCATCACCTAAAATATACAACAAAATAAAAGATATAAAAATACTTCTCTGTCACATCCTACACAGAATCTATAGTCAAATATATAAAATACAGCAGAGGAAGACAATTTTTACCACTGCAGTAATATTTCCACTAATTCCAACTGTTTAAAGCTCTATTTATGCTAATGATATTATCACTTTGAACAAGAAATTAAAAATAATTAATTCTATATAATAGCATCTGGTACCAAAATAACCTTGGACTAGTCTAATGACTGACATATCAAGCGCATTGGCCTACTTTAGGAATATCATTTTGTTTAAATCCTTGAAAACCACTGTGGGCTCAAATTTGCACAACTCATAATGATCTAAAAAGATTTGTATCTTAGTGATGTATTAGCATATCTCTCAGATTCCTAACATAGACACTTCTTGTCAAATCAAAAATTAGGTTTTTAAACACCATCAAAGCATTAATGATTCTCTAGTAAGTGCATGAAAAACACACCACACTAAAACGAAGAGAAACCCAGAAGTCATTATATACACCGGTCCTCTGTTTCTTGATTCATCACAGTCCCGTGTCCTAAACAAACATTTTACACATGTATATATGAGTATTATATTCTACTTACGACTTCTTGTTTTATAACCCAACCAACTTCTATCTTTAAATGGTATTTTACTTATATCTTGACCTAATTGTACAGCTCGATCTGAAATATATAATTCATAGATTATATTGTATAAAAATTAACTGCAAGTGACCTATTATTGAGAATTTTTGTCACTGTTTTTATTATTTCATTCCCTGTTATGCATCATTTACGACCAAAATCAAATGGGGTTTAACGCCATACTTTTCTGCACCAACCAGGCTAATAAAGACAGGAACGGTTTATGTCATATACAGATATGTGAACTTGATAGAGAAGTGGTATCAGGTGTTCTAGAAGGAGTAAACACACACTAAGCCATGTAGAACATCCAACACTTCTGATAACCAACAGGAGAAATGATTTTAGAAAGCAAAGACTACTTGGTATTGGGTAGAAGATAACCTTTAGATCAAAGGCCACCAGCAAAATCACCATAAATCCACATCTCTTCCTACAAACCCATATGCCCAAACTCAAGGCTTTTTGTACTTCTTCTGCCATGAGCCAGACCCCATTGAATTGTTGTTAAGATTTTCCAACTGGGAACCAATGTGACTAAATCACTACATTGGTCCTATTACATTTTATTTTAGTATAACCAATAATCAATGTTTTTACCTTTGAGTAACTTGGCTTGAAATGGTTTTGCTTTATCTAAAGGTACATCATCAGCTTTATTAGAAACACTCACTAAGGCACCATTATTAACTAGATCCTAATTAACAGAAAAAATAAGTAAAATATCATTTAAATCATATAAATAAATATAATGCAATAAACTTGATCAATAAATATTTGTTTAAACAGGTCGAAAATCTACCCAGTTTAGTTTCTGAGTTGTCAATTTCTTGCAACATTCCCAACTAGATGTGACAATGTATACCCCTATGTATCAGTATAAAATTCTAAGATAAAGTACTAACCTCTGCTATTTGATCATAACCCCAGAAACAGGAATAATGTAATGGTGTATTACCATGTTCATTTACAGCATTAACATTAGCTTTATTATGTAATAACTGAAAAATACAAAACAGTTCATAAAGTAAAAGCAATCTTTGCTTCAACTTTTTTTTTCAATATAATTCCAGACATAATCATCTTCATTTTGACACCAACACTGCATACTTTGTTTATTGTAAAGGTATTAGAATACAGCTCCATGTTATATTGTATATATTGGCAATAAAAAACCTAGTTTAACTATCTTCTGGCATCTGCCATATTTGTTATCATTTACTGGTCCAGAAAGTCTTAACCACATGAAATTCAGAATTGAGTGTCTTTTTAGGGGAAAAACTGTGCCTGGGTAAAACAGACTATTTCTTGTATAGAAGAAATACTGAACAGATTCAAAATAATAGTCTTGTCTGTACTTAATTAATTCAATGTCATTTAGTAATTGAACTGGAATAAACAGGTCACAATTGTATGGAATACAATTACTGAGTGACATTTCCACTAGGCTTCTCCGGTCATTATCAAGAAATGATGAAATATATAACATATAAAAAACAACACTTGGTTAATGCTGGCAAACCAGAGACACCCTTCTAACCTAACTTAATTAAAGAAATGTAATTATGAAAGTGATCAAGGTTGATACATGTAAGGCTAATACTATTATTACCAGATATGTATATTGTCTATACTAGTTTCAAAATCAATTACTGTACATTCTAAATCTTATGTTTACACTAGAACCTTGTCTTAAAAGATTATATCTCGACACAAAGCGCAGCATACCACAACTTAAAATTTGAAAGGGAAGCAGGTAGGACAATATTTTTGGGGGAAGAAAGTATAAAATACAATAAAATCACACAAACAATTCTATTAGCGATTCTAAAGTGTTTTGATTAAAATATCTTGCATAAAAAATGTAATAAATATATTACCATTAATACAACATCTCTATGACCATGTGCTGCTGCTAAATGTAGTGGTGTATCGTCTCCCATATTGGTAGCATTAATTCTAGCTCCTCTCTGTATCAACATATCAACTATATTAGCTCTTCCTTCTCGAGATGCCCAATGTAATAAACTAAATCTGTGGTCATCTCTACAAAACATTTGAAATGGTTAAGAGCAGCATTAATAATTTTTCGAACAATATCGAATCTTTCCTTGCTTAATCCACACAAAAAGGTACTTAAATTTAAATTATAGAAGTATAAAAACATTTCATGAAGAAAACAAACCAAAATATCAATAATAGATCATATCACATCTTAAAAATAGACCCAACAAAACATATAGGGGTGGCGCAGATGCTAGCCCAGTCTTATTTTACATCAGAGGATGTTGAATATTGCAAAATTTTCAATTCAAATCAAAATCATATCTTTGTAAATACTGAATGGAATTGAACCATTTATTGCCTGATATTCCTTTAAACATCAAGAGATGAAACTTTCACAATACATGTATTGTAGTTTAAGGGTGAATCAAACCCCTTAAAATGATAATCTGTGGCTTTAAGTTTGCATATTGCATAAATAAAAAATTCAGCCAGTACTACAGATTTATGACAGTGAAATGGAAAACTGTCTTGTTTTCATTTAGTTAGTAAACAGCTTTTGATGAACATTTGTTGACCTGGTGCATATTTGTATTATTAGTATCAGTTCTTTGTTTTACTGATTCTAAATATACATTGCATTATTATTCATAGGGTAGTTATTTTTACTTGATTAAAAGGTGTTATTAATTATAATACACCAGTACATGGTACATGTAATTTAGGTATATACCCAAGTACATATTAGCTACTCCAAAGCAAGTCACCTACTTTATATTATGTTATTGTGAGCTGCCCCCTACTTTAACTGATAATGAATTGCTCTGCTGATACATGTATAAGGAGTGGAAATATTCAACTTTGCAGGACACGCCAAATTATTTTTTTGACATTAAAAATAATTAATATAGTTGATTTTAATTTATAATACATTAATACCTCAATGTGATCAATATTTCAATATTAAAATTTATTTGTTTAGATCATGACTGTCCTGTTAACCAAATAACACCAGATTTATTCACCAAAAATTCAAAACTTGTTGTTTAAATGAAAGAGGATGTTTTCATTCCATAGACCTATACAAGCTTTGGTCCATTCTGTAAATTATTTGCTTTGCAATGGCATATTAAAGCTATGAATGACTCTACCAGGCATTGCCATAAAAGGATTGCATCTGACACTGAGGTCAGAGGTCATAGTTTATTTTCAGCATCAAACTGTGGGCTTGCTCTGTCCAATCCCTAAAAGACCCTTGTAAGTTAGCAAGTATATTCTGGATAGAAATGTTACAAATAAAGGAAAGGATACGATGCCAACAAATTCTTATAATATTTTTCTTTATCTTGATTAAAAAGTGTATGTAATGATGAATGGGAGAGGTTTTAAGATTCATAGCAAGAACTTTGTGAGGGGGTCATTTCAGAATACCACTTAGTGCACACGTCGACAGCTGTCAATATAATGAGGAGTTTGCTCTTTGATAAAAAAAAGTTAATAGTATTTTCTCTTTAATACAAATTGGAGACTGAATAAACACCTGTGAGTGTTTGTGATGTGATAGGAAATCGAGAAATAAAGTCCTGACAGATAAGAGACTCACCCCTGATTCAGATCATTTTCTGTGTTGTCTAACCACACTCGAACGTGAAAGGCATTTCCTTCCTTCACTTGAGTAAATATGTCATCCATTGTGAATTAGTTCTTCAGGTTAACACACTCAAAATCAAATAAAGTTCAACTTTATTCCATAATGGAAACAAAACTTCCACAAAATTCTGCTAGGAACGAGGACGTATTTGGCGATTCGATTCCTGATAGTTCAGCCGACGGTAATTTGTCACCTTATCCCCGCCTCAAATATTTACGACACACCAGCACCAGTAGCGTTGTTTAGTGCCCCAATTCCCTGACCCGTATCCCTCTGTAAAAGTAGACTGTTTAAATCCTTACATTTGACATACAAAAAAAATAGAACCGCAAAATAGTTGACAAGTAAATAAAATAAATAAGGCCAATTGATGAAACCGGAAACGAAATGTCACGTGGTACCAGTAAGAATGACGGATTGGTAAATAGCCGTGGATTGCTCTTCGCCTACTTGCTAGGTCGATTGCCATCTCGATGCGATGCACTTTTTTTCATGACATTCTTTTTCGTGCGTGGCTTTTTCTTTTTTGTTTAAAAGAAAAGCATCGTTATTTACATAGGTTTGAAAAAAATCTACAATATAATATATCCACTTTGAATAGTCCGTATATATGCCCCTACCAGGGCAAATGATTATTTTTTTTTTCTATTATAAGATGCAATATTATGGTAATAAGTCAATATGACTGTAAGTCATTTTAGAATTGTGTATTACCCTAGAATTCACTAAATGTAACATTTGCCAGAAAACAGGGAATGTACAAACTAGGTTCCCGGGCAGTGGATATGAAAATAGTTTTTGGGTGTTTTTTTTTATACAAACATAAGTTTGTTTGTATAACAAACATACTTACTATAGACTTTGATTGTCTTTTAAACTATTTGTTACATACGAAATTGTAACACTATATAGAAAAATAATTTGGAAGACACCAACGTCTCTGTGGATTGAAGGGTGGGGGTTTCATTTCAATTAGCTATTACATTGAAAAGAGAGGCCAGACGCTATATGTGTTTTCGGTGAATAGGCCTATATGTTTGTGCTCTTGGGGGGGGGGGGGCAACAGACACAAGAACTCTAGTCCTAGGAGATTGGACAATTCTTTTTTTCCACCTGAATTAACTAGTACTCGCCGGCTGTAGTAGCCCACCAGTATGCAAAGAATCCTAATTAATCCCAGAGAACGTATTCCAAAACACAGAATTTTAAGTTCTGTTGTCAAATTACAAAAGTTAAAACAAAAATAAAAATTACCGTTATTAAAGTATATATATAAAATAATATATTTGTATTTGTCCGTTGAGTCGAAAAACATCGCATTTTAACACTTAATTGCTCGGTTTACGCAAATATACACATTAAACCCATATAAACAAGAAACTACAATTTCAGTATAACCGAAACATGGTTTAAAAACAGACATGTAAAATGTTACAAGGGGAGATTCTTTAAATTGAATAATATAGTAAATCAATTAATTAAGCCACTGGCTGATAGGGGTGTGTGCCTTGATTTGTTTCATGGTTCGAATATGGATCTTAATGCTTTTAGTAATGAAAATTATTAAAAGAATTTATAATTCGGCGACCATTACTGACACCGTGTATATTGCATACCGTACAATCACACAGAACTGATCCGATTATCTTCTTGATTGACACTCAAAATCTGCTTATTATGAAAACATTAGCCGTGTCTTGATTTTTAACAATTGAATTAGTTGGAATAATACACTTATATGTATTACATATATAAACAATCTTTGATGTACACAAAGCGAAAGTAATAGCTCGCGCGTGCTTATCGTACGAATTAATACTCGAAGCCAAAGATTAATAAGGATTAATAACTTACGCACCTTCCTCGATCTATAACACCCGTTATTCCAGATCAGTAAATATATATAAACGCACGTTTGATTATTAGATCGCAGTATAGTTTTCATCAGTCATTCAACCAAAATGTTTCTATTATATATCTATACAATTCTTGTTCTTGGAATAAGTTTCTGCCAATCAGGTAAAGTGATATTTTTTTAGACTACACGTAGTAAATGGAATGAAATGAAACGGGGATTAACGTCCTACTTTTCGGCACTGATATATTATGAATGTGCTATGAGGGAAGTTTGGCCCGGATAGCGGCACTACGGCCGGCTCTTATATGGAATTCCAAATGTGTAAGCGGGGCCTCTGTTTTTTCGTTCCACCCGAACGACTAGACACTGTCCTTGTCAGCCCCACCCCACGTCCTGCACCATAGACAAGGGGGAAACCGCGATGGAAAATTCCGGCCAGGACCAAGAAGAACCGAGTTATTAGAAATACATGTAATATACAACCAAGTACGAACTATCCAAAGCATTAGACAAAGTTGGAAGTCTTAAAAAATGGTATCCGCAAAATAGTGTAATCAGCAAAAAAAAAATGGACTATTTACCATGTATACAATGTACATGATGAACAGTGGTTATAACAGCTATAGATACGGCGAAAACAGCATCTCTTTAAACCAGAATCATATTATCTTGAACGGCATAATTTGGACAACAAAATATATCAATTTAGCTATAATCTTAATTTTATTCCCGAAGCAATGGTAACGAGCCATTTACAGATAACATCATTGGTTCAGGTATATATTACCATTCAGCATTCTTAAAATAACCCAAGAGCGATACTAATTACTTTATATCATGTTGTATATTATATTTGTAGGATTTATAAAATGTGGTAACGATGTTAAAGTTATAGTTACAACAGATATACAGAACCTTACCACACCTCGATATCCACATAATTATCCAAGGTATATCTATACAGTTACAGGTTAAGTTGGAAGACGCGTTATGTGCAGTCTTCGTCTGTTGGAAAAACGTCGTTTTAACGTGATTTGACTAACTGCAGTAGCACCATCATCGAAGTTGTTTAAAAAAATTCGAGCCAAATGCTGAATACTTAGTTTTTTCAGAATTTCATGACAGAAAAATCAATTATTATGATCACTAAATAATACAATTATATAGATAATTTGTAACTTTATAATTATTTATTTTTCCCAATCTGATTAAAACACAGATCCTATTTTGTTTCGTTTTTTATAGTTCAAAATTTCGTTTTACTTGTCTTTACTTCGCTAGGCTCTGGAAGAGTTGTTATCATTGACGAATTCGGGATGATGTGAGGGAATAGCCAATGAAACGGTATTTTACGGCGAGCTTTTGGCGTGAGCTGCACGGAACTGTGGGTAATCCACTAGAAACATAATACTGATTGGTTAAAAGCCGCTCATATGACCTCTAACGTCACCCAACAAAACAACTGGTCAGATCTTCATGTAGTGTAGGCCATCGAAAGTATAAAAAAAACGAAACGAAATATAGATCTGTATTTTAATCAGATTGTATTTTTCCAGACCAGTGTCATGTTCTTGGAAGTTGACGTCAAAAAATCCTAATTCATGTATTATTTTCCGGGTCGTGGAATTTTCTGTGACTAAGTCGATATTTTGTGTTTTTGACAGCTTTAAAATCAAAGACGGTAAGAATGAAAATAGTTAAATTATATTTTCAGCGGTGTGAGAATGATTTTCACCGCGACCAAGACTGCATGGCCTATTTTGAACATGTGTTAGAATTGACAGTCGTTTTCACCACCCAAAATAGTACGTGACTACTAAGTTTTCTACTAATATTTACTTTGTGTGATAAATTTTCAATGGACGTTGGCAACTGATATTTTAATGTTTATTCCAAAAATCTTATGAAAATAAGCAACATTGTGTTTAAATTCGTAAGTTCGGCGACCTTCGTCAATGGGTTTATGCAAATTTTGCGCCACCCCTTGGACAGCACGAAAGTCAGAACTGCATTATTCGTGAAAATCAATGACTGTCTGTCGTCCGTTGCAATCATTGTATCTCATTCTAATTAAATCCTTGCCCAATATCACCCCACCCCCACCCCTCGTCTTTCCGATACTTTCCTTTTGCTCCAGATTGTTGACCAATGAAACTTCAAGGTTGGGTGTGATTTGAACATCAAATCTATAGGCATGAAAGACAGCAGAGCTGTGGTGAGCCAGAATACATTTTAAACCAAACGGGCCTTTCCCCTGTTGGCTTCCGTCGCTCAATCTCCAGCACCTCCATTCGCATTCACAATTTTTAAATTCTTTACCTTTAAAACGTCATCAACCTCAGCCCATCCGCTTTTAATTTTTTTCTAAACTATATTTCCATAGTTATATGTTTACAGGACCGTCTCGAATATCACCAAATATATTTACATGGTGTGGTGATAAACAGAGAGGAACAGTTTTTGAAACAACACAAGATCAAGCCGTTGTTTATTTCTCAGCCGCTGACAGAGGACAACTAAACCATGGATTTCATATTCAATTTTGGGCCGTAGAAACCCGTATGTTATTTCGTTTTTGTATTCTGTATTTATTATTAGAAGATACCGGAAATAAGCCTATAAGCGATCTAAACTTAGGCAGGGAAACGCTTTCTTTTTGTTAAATTGGGTTCAAATCTGCTAATTTTATTCTCTGGTTAAACATAGTTACCTCCCCTGTATCACTGTAGCTGATTCACCCGGGCACATGGTTCATTTGACGCTCCGTCTGTATTGCAAGCCATCTAATTATTTTGCGACGATATTTTGCTGGTCTCTAAACGACCCCAATAGTAATTAACATTTTAGTGGGTTATTATCATATATATAAATTAAATTCGGTTACATCACGGCACAAAACGGTAGTCAATATAGCAATTTATGATTTAAGGTGCCAACCACTAATAATATTTAAAATTTTATAGAGAGAGAGAGCCGCGGTGGTTCAGAATTCGTGGGATTACTAAACAGGACATCCCAGGTTCGAACCCCTTGTAGGCCGAGAAAGTACCTCGGAAATTCCAGTGTGGTTTTCCATTGTCAGTAGTGCATGCAAGGGCCTGGCTAAGCGTTTAGTCTGTCGGATGGGGCGAAAAAAGTCGAGGTCCCGCGTATGCGTTTGTGTGCACGTAAAAGAATCATTGTCAATTGGAATTCGAACTAAGAGCAAGTAGTCGTGCCGCTGTCCAGCCAAAATGGCCCCATAGCACGCAGCATTGTGTATGCCCGCCTTCATATTCCCGGTTGGACGTTAAACCCCATTTCATTTGAATTTTAGATCAGGTTTTTTTTTTCAGACAAACTGATAGAACGAGATGCAGAGTTCAGTATCGGCAACTATACACTTATTGTAGTGTTTGTTTTGATCTCAACATGTTTGTTTGTGTTTATAGTGTGTCTAATGATTTCTCGATGTTTGTATCATCGTAGACGTAATAACAAAGTTTCCTCTTACCCGATAAAACGGACAGAAACCAAACCAAATGTGTTCAAAGCTAATGTAAATAAAGTTGAGACCAGGACCACTGCACGGAGCATTTTGGAGAACAACACATCAATATTTTACATTTCATTCTCTGACTTTGGTCAAGACACCGACGAATTTGTATAAGACTCAGAACCTCCATGTATGTGTGTATATTACGTATATAGGCTAGTTCTTTGATCATACACATACACATACATATATTTTGTTATCTTCCGAACAGAGAAAATCAGTTTATACAGAAAATGTGAAATCCAATGCTACCGAATAGCTGGACGTTTACAGGAAAAGGAAAGGAATACAGTGTCTCGTCAATACAATGTATTACACTTCGATCATTTTTTAAAAGACTAAATGCCGTTATTTGTTCTAAAATCACGTGTGAAGTGATGACGTGCGAAAATCGTATTTTGCTCAGACGTCACTGCATTCTGGACACAGAGATCCATCTGCTTCATTCTTCGAGAATAGATCTGTTTTCAAGCGGAGCTAACTGTAGACAGACAGCTTAAGTTTGGTATGACATCACCGTTTTCATTGAATTCCAGTGGTCCTTTTTTACATTCACACCAACTTGTATCCCGGTGGACATCGTTTTTTGCGTCCTGTCCGACCGACTAGACAATACTTTACCCCTGAGATGTGGGGAACAAGGCTTAAAATCCCTAGATTCTTCTCGGCCGACGCCGGGATTCAAAGTTGGAACTAGTCGAGAGTCCGGGGCCGCTACCGTTGGCACGCGGTACCGCCATAGAAGGTATACCAATGAAATTGATGTGCTGAAGTTTTTGTTAATTTACATGAATATGAATCTAAATACATTATCTTGAATAAACTGTGCCAACTACAATATGTATCGGCTTTATTGGGGGAGTGACTAAGTGTTTTTCACCGATGAAATCATTTCGAAGGTGAGGGCCTAGTCCCGGTGGTTCGAGAAATGAAACGATATGAATGTCTTCTCGTTGATACGATATTTATCGATCTTGAGACGATCTCGAGACTTATATGCCAGCATAGGCTGGAATTTTACCCTTATCAGACGCCTTCCCTCTTCTAACAATTGTGAAATTATAGTTTCCAAAGAACCTTTTTACGTGCAATGCCCACTAAATACACGGATCCCTGGGTTTTATATACATCCAAACGACTTGATAGCCACGCAGGGGTTATGTTACCACCGAAAAAGATGCAATAATGTTTAACGTCCTATATTGCTCCAACGGGGCATAACAGTGTGCTACAAATGAAATGAAATGAAATGGGGCTTAACATTCTACTGTTCTGCCGCGGCTGGGCTAATGAAGAGTGCTATGAGGGAAGTTTTTCACGACAGCGGCGCTAAGGCCGATTCTGTTCCAACGGGGCATATTAGGGTATATTCGCTAGGCCGCTACAAATGAAGTTGGGTTTTACATCCTACTGTTCTGCTTAATTCAAATTATAATCAAAGTTATATCTGTAGCCCAATTGTAATTCAAAGGTTAGGTATTTTACACCATCCGATTTCCCGCCACTTTTCATCTATAAAGCTATGCCAGATGCCCTTATGTAGGGTCAGGTTTGACAACCCAATTTGTTTAGGTGGTAACGGTAATAATTTCTTCTTATATGCAAAACGCTAAAAATTTATGGATTTCTAATCTAGGCCTAAATTTTGCAGGACTGGGGATGAAAATGAAGACGCCTAAATAGAGAACAGAAACTCCCGTGTGTCATTATAGTTAGGCCTATATATGGTTGTCGGGCGTCTTTTTTGAGACATGTATCCCAATCATCACCATTCTCCAATGCAGTCTCGTATCCAGCACCTTTCAAGTGTTAAAAAAAATGGAGACTACTCTAGCTGCTCTGGAGAAGGCCGAAACACATTCGAGAATTCGGCTAGTATTCGTTTGTTGATTTCAACGTCCTGTGTAGACCTACATGTTGACCTGTGCGTTAAATAACCCTTGACAGTTGTTGTCCAGTCAAAATTTTGTACATAACTGACTGTATGGCGTATGTCCGTATTGGCCCGGTTGGTACTGAAAAGTAGGACGTTAAACCCCACTTCATTCATCCATTAAGTCAGGACTGTTTTAACTGTACCCAGAAAGATATATACAGGGAAGTTAAATCTTCAAATTACAAATTAACTTGTTCTCATTTGATAGGGCTTTTCGTCCACTTTTTTGAGATCTCTAAATGGTATATCTATACCTGGAATATGTTATAATTATAAAATGAAATATTTATTATTTTCAAAAGGAAAATAGAATGTAGTTTTAACCCGATATGAATATTAATTTCTTCAGGAAGTATTTTGTGATTTACTGTCAAAAAATCGGCAATCTACATGAATGAAAAAAGCCTTCAAGAAAAATGGAGGTTGTTGCTGTTCTTGTTGTTTAACCTCTGCTTCCACTGAAAGTGATATCACACATCCGCAGACAAGTTGTCACATTTTCATTTTTATTATGTTAACGCACGCGCAGGGGTCTTTCCTGTTGGAGTAAACCGAAGGAGCTGGAGGAGCAGGAAAAAAACCAGTATGTTGTGAAGGGTGCCCCTATCTCCAAGCCGCATACGATCACACCACGGATCAAACCCACAACGGCAAGTCAGAGGTGGCAAGTCAGAGGATGAAGTGTGACACTAGTAGACCACTAGCCCATCCCAACCCCTATTATAATGGAAGTGTTTGCTCAATTCACTTATACTCCCACTAGAATCCATTTACTCTGGTAATAAAGTAAGTGAACAATGCAATACTTTGGAAACTAACAAATGATTTAGGTGTTCAACGAACAAGGCTTACAAGGGCCAAAAGTTTGCTTGACAACTGTAATTCTGCCAACTCTTGGTGGCATAGTAAAAGTGTACAAAAGCGCAGAAGGCTCATTCCAAATTCCAAATTCCAAATGCGAAGTTCCAAATCGGAACTTACCAATCGGATCAGGTTTTGCTTTTGACTAATCAGATAGAGTATAATAACAATATTCCAGTTCCGGTTTGCTTCGGCAGATGTGAACAGTTTAAAAGTTCCACAGATATTGAACATATAGGTCAAATCTGCCACATCGGCGACACTTATCTTCTCTGCAGCAGCCATGATGATTGTAATGTCACGTGATTATGTCGAATTTGGAATTTGGCATTTGGAATTTCGAATTTGGAATCTAGTAATTTGGAACGGGTGTTTATCTGGCCCAGGCATCAGATAGGTAAACTAGCACTAATTAGTTGTGTAAAATTACAATTTATTTAAATTCTAATTTGTTTAATTGAGGGGGGCTGCCAGTTTTCTATTTTATTGGTAAGACATGAATTTGGAATTTTGCATTTGGAATTTGGAATAAACCTTCTGGGCTTTCGGAAAAAATGTGCAAAAAGTCACACTGTGAACCCTGCAGATATAAAACTATTTCAAGATGGGTTTTCTACTGCTATTGCGAGGAGAAGAAATCTATTATGCAGCTCAAAGAACGTATATAGGCATAAAAATCAAGATAATGTACATATATATATTCATATTATATTTTATTTTAAAATTTGAATTATCATTTTTTACAATATACAAAATTACTATATTATTCTTACATGTAAAAACTTAAATATTCACAATTTAATTGGACTGGTGAAATAATTACAAAAAATATACAAAATAATGAAACAATATTTTTAATTTTCAAGCTGTAGAGTGAACAAAACAAGTTGAAAAATAAAAAAAGAATTAAATACACAAATACAGCTGTAGAGTGAACAAAACAAGTTGAAAAATAAAAAAAGAATTAAATACACAAATACAGATCTTAACTTAAAACATTGCATAGCTTGTCTTTAAAAGGCAAATACTAACTACACAATTTAAAATAAAAACACAAAATAGATATATGTACAATATCAGTTGTTTTTTTTAAAATTCAAAATCAAATACACATCTAAAGCTTTTCCCCCCATTTAATTGAAACTAAGAAAAGTGTGGGATATTTATGTTATATTTTAATTAATTTAAGCACTTAGTGTTATTTACTTTTTGTTTATTAGGTATTTGTGAAAAGACTTACGTAACTTCGAACATTGATAAACTTTTCATAGGTTATAAAAATACATTATTTGGCAAGAGCATGATATATCTGGAAATCTCTAATTTAGAGATAAAAAAAAGAAGAATGAAATATGTATATATATATATAAAGGATGATATGCATGTATAAAATATTGCATGATGAACCTCAGCAGTTAAAATTCAAAATGTCAGAGCATTTGATTTGAAAGGTGTAAATAATTTATTTATCATACATCAACTAAAGTCATTCCATACAGACACACACATTTACAGAAACTGTCTCTAACCATGATTTCTATTTAAAAACCAGAGTGTTTTAGACACTGGATGCCACTTCTCAATAATTTTTGGACTTTCAATTCTTAATAAATTAGTGAATCTATTGCATTATTTTGTATTTAGCCAATTCTTTAATTAATATTTTTTAAGATGAACAAATGTTTACATCATAATTAAATAATATGCAGTAGTCTCAATCCAGCTAGAGTCTATGAAAAAAGATATTCATGGCTTGTGAAGATGATATTAGAACACTCTGGTTCTTTGACCTTATGATCAAATTTCAATGAAAACTGATGATTTAAAGTATTCTAAAATATTATAAAAAGTACCGGTAAACAGTTCAGGAATATCAAAACTTTTTTTAAGTACAGAAAAACACTTTTTGGTTATAAATACATAAAACATTAAAGAATGTCACACATCAAGTACAAATTTGAAGTACACGATAAATATTTCTTTTTATTCTACAATGAAGTTTGCATTGTCAGTTTTTATTTAAATATTTTAAATTTTTAACAGTTTTCACACGTATTCTTCATGATCTGTTGTAATTCCACCTTCAAGAGGCTGTGTCTCTGTATCTGGCAGTAAAGCAATGTCCTTAAACACACCCACTAATTTATCAAAATTCGGCCCCCAATTTAATAACGAGTCTATATTGAATGCTCCATTAGGTCCTTTTTGGGGAAGAAAATGTTCCTCGGATGACATGAGCGTGCTCGTAAATGAATCACAGTTAGAATGCATGCCGTCGGAATTACTTCGGTTCTGCACAGGAATGTCATCAGTTTCATTATCCACTTCTGTCAACTTAGAAAATATCATTGTTTCTGGATCAAAGTCATTTCTTGTTCGATGATCGTTTTCATATTCGAATTCCGAACATGTGAATGAATCATTAGCACCGCTATCGCTCGAACTAGAATCTGGAGGTTCAAGTAAAATGCTACCGTCCCCATGTATGAGTTCAACTGGCTTCATTTTAAGTTTTCGTTTACCTTCGCTAGAAGAAGACATGGCTTCTTGTAAACTAGCAGGACTCGGTGGGCCTGGTCGAGCATTTAGTCTATTAATCTCTTCAACAGTTAATCCCTTCACATGTTTGGGTTTACCATTACGCAGGGGTTTGCTGAGATTGTTTCTTGGAACTGAAGAGTTTGTGCTGTGGCTATGATGGCTACCTAGTGAACTACGACTGCTATTATGTTGTGGATTTTGACGAATATTTAATTGAGTTATCGGACTATTTCTGTGATGAGGTCCATGAATATACACTGCTTGAGCTGAGCTCGGGCGATTTGCGCCATTGTTTAATTTGTGTGGATTTGGCCGTGAAGGCATTGATAACGCTGAACCAGTGACTGATACAGGTGATTGTCTTAAATGAGCACTGTTTTGGAAATTATGAATATTGGGACTTTCTCGTGAAAGTGCGGAGGGAGGTCGTCCAGACACTGTTAATGGACTCTCCCGAGGTCTATGAGAATTATGGGGACGCATGTGGGGATGCTGTCGATAACGAGGTCCCTCCCCACTTCTGTATTGTTTATAATGCTGCACTACATCAATGTCTGATGGCGCTATACTACTGGCATTTTCTAAATCATAATGTTCTGGCATTTCGTCGTCTGCCAATTGTATTTGTTCTAATTCTCCATTTTCTATAATCACTGTTCCATCATCTATCATTAATGGACGCGAGCCTGGACGACCAACATAATTTGAACCAATGAGATCAGGCCTAGAAGAAAGAGCCGAATTTTTGTGGTAGTTTAGCTCTTCCGTTAATTGATTTTGAAGCAATTCCTCATTTCTTGTTGCATAAATTGGCATTCCTCGTAACGTCGAATCAGTGGTGTCTCTTCCTAGAGCTCCATTTGTTTTGTTCGTCTTGGCGTCATTGCCTTTGCATGGGAACATACTTCTGCGTCGACGGAATAATATGAACACTATCAAAATCGCAATAATAAGAATCACAAAGAAAACAATCACTACAATAATTCCAGTGTCAAGTCCACCAGGGCCACCAGCCAACTGTCGGCACACAAAAGCTTCTCCACGAATATCACAAACATTTCCAGCACCACACGGATTATCTAGACACAAAGCCTTACATCCTGTCTCCACGCTTCCGTTTATAGTAATAGCGTACTTATCTGTTTTTCCATCAAATGGTAGCTTTTGTTTGTCAACACGGAACTCTGATATACAACCATCCAAACCTGAAAATCATTGAAAAAAGGTTAAAATCATGTATTGAAATCAGTAGCATTATATTTTTACTTTTGTAATGACTGCATGGATATTCAAAACAAGTTAAATCGGTTTCTCAGGTCAGAAATAAAGCTACATCTTTTTAACCCGTGTCAATCTATGCCTGATGATCCAAAGGAATGATTCTTCAATCTCCCAACAGCACTGAAGATATATTTAAGGCACATTACCAGTGATTGTAAAAAAAATTGAGCTACAAGAATAAAGTGTGTTGCTGAATTTTTAGAAAAATTTAATATGGTTATTAACTTACCAACAACTCTTTGTCCAGACGGAGGAACTACCCTTTCACCACTCAATGCCATCTCCTTCACATCCATTGATGAAAAGATAAAACCAGCTCCAAAATCTTTAGGTTCTGATCTTTGTTCATCAACACTTAAAACAAATACATTATCAATCGATGTAATGGTGATGTTGTGCCATTTGCCATCTGTTAATACAGCATCCATATCTAAAGGATCATTCACAGCTTTTGGTGGTGTCAGTACAAAACGTAATGTTCCCTTTTCAAGCTAAAAATATTTAAAAAATACAAAAAATTAGTTTACATCACAGAAATTGGGCTTTTAGTTTTTAACCAAATTTTTTACAAAAAAATTAGATTTTTACAAACAGTTTAAGACATTTTCATTATTGAGTTTAAGGTACTATGGTTTTTAAATGGAAATATTCATGACAAGATAGGCACCAATGTCTTGTTTTGTATAAATATACAGTTTTAGATAATTCAGCCAGAGTTGCAATTTTACTTCATGAAAATTATTATTGTAATTTCTGGAGATTACCCAAACCACTTACCCATAAAACACATTTGGTATCAACAGTTGTGGAATAGAATATGGCTCCATTTTCTTCAACTGTTCGAAGTCTGATGAATACCTCTGACGTCTTGGTCGCCCGTTTTTTACGTCCTGATGAATCAGCCAATAGTTGATCTCTACGATATGTTTCACGTAGTTTAAAGGTGACTTTGGCATCAGATGCAAAACCAAACGGTTCCCATTCTGTTAAAATAAAAGAACAAAATTATTTAAGATTAATCAACAATTAGAGATAATACCTTTATAAAATTACTGGTAACCATTGCCGGTGTTCAAAAATAAAACACATTGAATCAATAGAATATATTTATCCTGTGATTGTGGTAAAATATTGAAAATAAGCATCTTAGTTCCTATTTTTAAAAGGCAATGTTTGCACTGAAAATTTTTTTAAATCATACCTTGTTCACAAGTTTTTCCCATGTAACTGTCAGAACACTGACACCGAGCAGATGCCCATTCATCGATACAGCTTCCGCCATTACCACAATTAGTCGTAGTACAGGGACTATCAAATGATCTTCTGGGACAAAAGGCAGAAATTCCTTGATGTTTCGATGCCAGCTCTGTACTGAGAACATTCAGTCCGTTGACGTTAAAACTGTGCATACAGCCAATAAAATCGTGGGATAAGATGTCTCTTCCATTACTTAAGATATTTTCAATTTTACTCACACCACCAATACTCAATAATAACCCTTGTACAAAATGGTTCCTGAAGAATAAAAAAAGAATATTTTACTTTCTATATCAAATTTTCAATTTGCTTCAATAAAAATCTGAAATGAACATAAACAATAATATTATTAGACATTACTATAAACTACTGTCTAAGACAAACTGTTTTGGTATTCAAATTTGCGAGGTTATTCAAAAAATGAAGTAATTAGTCATTGAAATCCTTTAAACATAGTAACCATATCTGTTGGAACTTGCAAATTGTAATGAATGACTACAATATTTGGACAAAGTTAAAATTTTGTTTCTCAAATGAATATGTATGCATTTTGATGTAATTCTTTTAACCGTTGCAGTAGTTAAATAAAATATATCGATTTGTTTAGAATCGTCAAAGGTTGTAATTGGACAAATTCAAAACATAGGTTGACAGGTAACACAACATACGACCACAGCCAGATGTCATGAGCTACGACAACATTAAAATCTTGAGATTTATTTTCTCCAATACCCAAATATTTGACTGTCAGTTTTATGTAACAGCTGTCGAATGTACAAATACTTCAATAATATTATTATGTCTATCAGTCAGTTTAGTGGTAATAAACCTTTGAAGTAATATACCAGTAGTCAATGGACCAAGGCATGCATCAATCATAAATTAAAATTAAATTTTTGTGGGATGAATAGGTCTACTTTTAAAAATTTGAATTACAAATATGTGAATATAATATCAATCATTAATTTAGATAAGTACTTTAACAGCCATAGTATCATACATTTATTAATTTTTAAACAATATTTTAATTTCCTGATCAGCACCAATTTTTTAAAATTCTTCACAGGAGTTATTTCCCTTTAATTAATATGGCAATATCTTGAATGAATTTATTTATAACAACATTTGTCATGAATAATAAATAGAACCTCCCTACAAGGTGTGAATCATAGTATTAAGTTTCATAACTATTATAATCGATATTTGTCATAGCATTGTTCGATTTAAGTAGCCTACATTGGCTTTATTTTTATAGCTGCTAGACATACAAATTTACAACAAGAAAGCGGTGCTATCAAATTTTGCACTAAGATCGGCTAAAAGTTGATTTTGATCCAGCAAAACCCTCCCCAAGAGAAATAATTAAGCAGAATCAAGAATATCATGGGCCTTTTTTTGCTCAAGATTTTAAATTGGCTTTCTTAAACACAATCAGATTAAAACATAGATCCTATTTTGTTTTGTTAAATAACCCGCGTTCTTCTGTATCTATCTTGCCAAAATATCAACAATGAGCTGGAAAATATTGTTAAATACGATGTTGACATTGACTTTTTAATTTATGTATAAAGGAAAGAACATCCTATTACAAACAGTGTATTATCTATCTGATATTCTTCAACAATAATTATAGATATTTATCTATATTCAAATAAATACATATACAGCAGTCAACAAACTGTCTGACCCCGAGATAGGCTATAACTACCTGTCCTGTATCCTAATTAAACCTAATACAGATATCTGTGTTATTGTAGTCAAGCTTTTGTTTAAAATAAGCCTACATATCTACAGGTGATAATTATTACTTGAAACAGCTGAAGTAATAAATGAGAATATTTATAAGTTATATATAATAAAATTAAATGTTTGTAGATCAGTGACAGAATCTATAATACAATAATTTAAATAAAATGGAAGTCATTAATACAATAATTTAAATAAAATGGAAGTCATTAATACACTAATAAAATATTGCGCACTCTTATTATAAAAGTTTGTATTATTCTGTCAACATACTAAATTTATAAATTTTTTAATTAAACATACATTATGCAAGAGCTAAATCTGACAATTGCAGGTCTTTCTTTAGGCCTGAAATGTTTTCTAAATTATTATTTAGACATTAATTAACTTGTCCAGGCCATAATAAACTCTCGATGGCATCAGATTTCTCTGATATTAAATAGATTAGAACAGTTCAGCGATATTTTGATTTAAGCTAAAAATGGAGAAGCAAAAAGTACGGTTGTTGAAAATATTGCACACGCCTTGTCAAACCTTCAAAGGCTAATATCTTTGCTCGCAATAGAGTAATTTGAATGAAATTTTCAAATTATTCATTTTGCATTATCTTTTTTTGAACTATTATAGCAAGAATGACTAGCTCTTTATCTAAATCTTACATAATGTATCTTTAAGTTTTTTCATAATTACAAATTTTTTATTTACTGAAAAAAGTTTAACAGAGAAGACCAAATATAAAAGACCAAATACAAAAGACCAATTTTATATTATCAAAGCACTTTCATGTTGAAAAAGAAAAAAAAAAACACTCTAAACAAAGCAATTTTACTTTAGATCTTCAATTAAAGAAATTTCAAAACACAATTATACACTATAACGTAAATGTAGGCTTATTTATAATTACAAATTCATTTATGATATGAATAACATAGTTTTACTTTGGGAAATTATATGAACAACTACTGTAATCAAACTGTGTATACTTCAAAATGTTCCAGTCGGCTAATTTACATATTGTTCTCTCTCTGATGTTCACAAACTTCAAAAGTATACCTTTTTATAATATTTTTTGAAAAGAGTAAACAAAGCAACCTACGTCGTATGAAATGTGTTGTAATTTCATTAAAGTTTATTCATAGCAAATAATAATTGTGATTTTATTTTCTTAGTAAGGTGTTTTTCAAACAATTTTCTGCTTCACAAATTCAGCCATGTTGAAGCTGAGAAAACCTGTATTTACAATGTTCAATTAGATGTTTATTGTCTGTGACAGTTAAATGGCTTCCATCTTTAAAGTAATCATGTTCTTGAATTACCTATAATTCATTCCTTTAGGTGACAAAAAGCCTCCCAAATTTTGTCTGTCATGTCTGATACCACGCTTGACCTAGGGAATATCGTACCTACCACTGGTATATTTAAGCCAAATTACACTTTGTAACATTTTGTATTTTAGGGTATGTTTAAATGATTAGTATGTGTGTGTGTAAAATGAATACCAAGGACCTAAGATCCCAAAACAAAGATCTAATTTAATTGCTTATATACATGTATCAGTCTACCCAAACATGTCTACATAACACATTAAAAAAAATAAAGGAAATTCCTTTCTATGTTTGCATAGCTCATTGTCAAATAAACACTGCAATAAGATTCTGTTTTTCAATTTGAATTTTTTTTTATGTATTTCAATGTCAGACAATTGTCATCATGTGAGAATATGAATAAATTGAAGATCAGTGTTTAACAGAGCAATAAATAATGTGTCTTCTTTTTCTAATCGTTATTCTAAATCTGTGATGAACAATAGATCCATACAGACAAGAAAATCAATCCAAAACACTTCATGTTAGGTATGAAGCATAATGAAAAGAGTGTTGCACAGTTCAGAATATGTTTTCCCTTTCTAGAAAGAAATGAAGTTTAATGGCAAATCAGTATTGGAACATAAAAATATGGGGATGTTTATGAGACAGAGCAGATATTAAGGGACTAGTGTTTCCTTGAATTAGAAGAGACAATGTTAAACCTGGTTTCATTTCATATATAAAGAAATATATGTTGACAAGTGTTAATTGAGATTTCTCTTTCTATTAACAATGAATATGATTTACATATTTTGTCTATGGATATGGTATGTGATGTAGTAAGGAAAACCTTATAACCCACAACATAATATCACATGTTTCTACCTGCCTAAATGGTTATATGATACTTTACATCCTACAATATACAATACAAATATTTTATATAGAGAGAAAATGGGGTTAACATCCACTTGACATTAATTTTGTCAAAACCACTAGCTGTTTATCCCGCGTTGTAAAGGTAGAGCCTTTAAACTAAAAGAAGTATAACCCCAAAAAGTGGTAGTGTAATACCTCTAGTTAGGCCTATGTCACTTCTCAGCTTGAGCTGCCCTTATACTCCCAATTTCAATCCCACCACAACCCTAGTGTAGCTGTCGACCCTGAACAAACAACACTACCAAATATATCATGTATTCAACATCTATTATTTTAAACTTATGCTGTATTCATATCGGGATTAGTGGCAGAAGTTATACTCAGATTCTATTCTATATTGTGTATTTGAACATCGATTCAGTAATTCACGTTACTTGAACAACGATTCCTTAAATCACTTTAGACAGAGTACCGTTTCTAGCGAGATATGCGACACAATATTTTAACACCATAGTTTGTCTAACGCAAAATCATGTGCCATTTTGAAGCCATACCAAATAGACTATTTCTAATCCTATCAGTGTAACACAAATGTTGATTTGAACCAATTTCATTTGGGTAATATGCTTCGGATAATATCTATGTTACTTATTCATTTTTGTAATAAAAGGTGGATAAAAGGTTCCCAATTACTGCTTGTAACGGTCTGCAGCAGGAGAAAGCAGACTGAACACCCCACTTATTATTAGTTTTACACATAAGAACATAGAGTATCACTTAATCCTTCCAGTTCAATTTCATCAGGTGCCACATAGTGAAGGCAATTAACATATCTTTACTACGTTATGTCAACATACATGATATGTGTAGAACAGAGTTACCCAACTTGGATCCTATTAAATATAAGTAACTCTGATCCCTATACACTCAGTTGCCCTGTTGTATATGTCCCTTTTTTTAAAAACAAAACTACACACTTCTTGGCACAGTGTGTCTTAACTTTGCAAAACATCTAAATATCAGATTAAAGGAGTTAAATCGCTTTGATTTATTCTTGAATTGCATTGATCTGATGTGTTATTTCAACTAATGATTAATACATACAATTAAATTTTCATTTTAAATATAAGTGGATGTCAGTTTGTTTAGTAACTATAGTTTTATTTTTGGTTTCAACTGACGACAGTGGAATACAAAATTTGTCTAGTAACTTTAGTTTTTTTGGGGGGGTTTCAATTGACGACAGTGGAACACATAATAAGTAAAATCTAAACATTGGTTCTTTTTGTGAGTGCAAGACTTTAAACGTTCTGCAGACAAATACTCATATCACACAGCAAATCCAAGGTGTTTTTTTTTATTCAAATTAAAGAGTTCTAGCCATTTTAGACAGAATTCCATTTCTTATTTTCAAATTTGATGTATATTTTGTGGCAGCAGGTGTTCTCAGGGATGCATATATAAAACTATGTCCATCTTTTTTTTTGACTTTATGAATGAAATAAGTTTCTAAAAATATCTTCTTAAGAATGAAATAAATCTTATTATGAACTCTCATGTTTTTGTTGACATTGACATCTTCATACTCAAATAAAAAAAGAATAAATTTCATCAAAATCTGACAGTGAATTAATATACATACATTATTCTTTATTGCTCCTAGAAAAATTCTTACTTCCCCATTAAAGAGGCGTTATCGCAATCAACAAGATAATAAATTTGAATATCATATTTAAATCAACCTTTGACTTGTTAACTAGTGATCAAAAATCCAAGCACTGACCTACTTAGAGTAACGAATGTTTCAAAAACATTTTTTTAATTCCTTGAAAACTACTAAAAGAATTTGTGCGACTTATGCATCCCAGCAACAGCTTGGTGTCTCAAATTTTGCATACAATCCAATTTGATCATGACCGATTAATTGTATATCAAATCATCAACCTCCAAATCATCATTTCGGAAATATTTAATATGAACAGAATAGAATTCAAAGAAATTGAAATGACATGTATATTGGCTCTAGCCTATGCAGATTGCTGTTTTCTCGATCTACAGTCCGATACACTAGAGGCATTTATTCTGTTCAAAATAAGACATACAGACATGACCACTGACCAAAGAAATTGATAAAGCTGTAAATACTGAAGTCTTGAAGTTGTTAGAAAAATTCTTTAATTTCATTTTAAACTATAGTACTAATCATAATACTTCACTATATGGGTATACAGATATTAACCACAGTATGTAACAAAATGGTGATAAAGGGATTAAAAGGGCGTTAAAATTTATAGACCATACACAAATTATTATGAAGTGGACATTATTTATTTATTGTCTTTATTATCCACTGATTGTAACATAATAAATGAACATTGTGAGGACAGATACAATGGGGACCCCTTAATATATGTTTAATTTCTGGTTGATATTTTGCAGACAATTGAACTTCAGACCTTGTATGCCATTCTGGAAGTATTATGAAAATGGTGACTGATTTTTATTAACAAACCTAAAAAAATGTGTCTTATAAATAAAAAATTTAATAACTTTTTTCGCAATGTTATGGAAGACTGAAAGCGGCCATAACTAATATGAACCTGAAAACACATTCTCAGTTAATCTGGTTTAATACAAATCAATACTTTTACGTTCTATATACAACTTTTATATTCCTGTAAATCTAACACAAACTATTACATATACTGAATACATACATTATTAATTTTAAGTAGTAACCGTATGATGTAGGATCAGGTCTGACAATATGTTTTAATTATGAGCTGGACAATTCTAAATCCGATTTATCTCATTAAACTAATCTATCAATGATCATTAAGAGTATGAAGACAGGCAAAGAGACTGGTCTAGTCTTGGATAATTGATCGGATTTTAATTCCCGACCTCCTGGGATTTCTACTACAATATCATTGACAATATATAAGACTGATTTCAGTCCGATAAAGCTTGCCTTCAACATGATATTGGAACAATATTATTCAGCTATAAATGAAATGTACCAAAGCTAAAAGCAGAGGCATCGTCATTTAAGGGAAAGGCAGTTAGAGAATTTTCGAAAGAGATAATCTGAATAAATACACCAGTGGCTATAAGCCTAGGAATGGCTGTGGTGTTTTTACAAGTACCAAAATCATATTCAGACAAGTCATCATGTTTTGAAGATTGTATTCTATCTTTATTAAAAGGAACAAAAATCCATATCGGAAAGATAATGGTTATCTATTAATAAAATATCCATAACTTACCCAAAATTGAGAGCTTTAGAATCATAGCAGGAAGGATTCTGTCCAACACACTGGTTACAGGATGTGGCTCCCTCATTACAGACCACAACTTTCAATATGGCCACCTGAAGTATTCAAATTCATATTTGATTAACAAATTCGTCAGGAATTTATTATAAAGTCATCCTGTCACAAGCATCAGGAATAAAAACAAATGTTATGTTCCATTTGCAATTATAAACAAATTAAATGAAATTATGAGTTCTGCCAGATTGTCATCAAATATCAATTTTGTTATTAAACTGATTGAAATAATATGGATTAATTTCATCAAATATTTGGTTGAAATTCGAGAATAACAGCGTTTTTATTGTGAGTGACTAATAAAAACCTCAATTAATACGCTTTCGACAAACAGTATTCAATGAACCCCCTCAAAACTTGTATAAAATACAGGCCATTTTTAAACTAAGTCAAGTTGATTTAGACTTTGTTTTTCTGCAAAGTTTTTATCAATGAGGGCAATTAGTATTCGGCAACAAATCCTCTCCACGCAATGCAAGTGGTTTTCAATGAAGAGAGAATTCTAAATGAAGGTAATTCACTTTGACAATAAAAGAACGATAATAGACGAATACCCCTTGTTTTCAACTTTATTGACACAATCTAACTAGGATCCAGTCTTGTAGTTCTTAAAGGTGCACATCGCTCGAGATTATTTAACCTGCCCTTTTTTTCCCCACCAAAATATTTGAAATTTTTATGCTTTAAATTAAATCTGCATGAGTCACATGTTAATTTGAAAAACACTGGGAAATATTTTAAAACGAACTGTATAAACTTGCAAATAATGTTAAGTTTTATGGACAAATTGTTTAAATCAAACAATCATTGTTTTGCCCAATTATCACCGCATTTAGATTTTAATGGTGAGGATGGGAAAAGTTGACGTCAGGACTAACACATGACAATTCTTTATTTCTATTATTTCGATTCAACACAGGAATGTTTCAATTTAGCAGTGAAGGTATGTCATTGAGTCAAGTATGTCATTCCCCGCTTGTACATGACAAGGAGTAGTTTCGTCTGTCCAACTTTGTGGGTTTTCTCCGGGTCCTTTGGTTCCTCCCACTGCTAAAGACCCCTACATGCAAGCGTATTATTGAAATAAAATTAAACCATATGTTAGTCCTGAAATGACCTAGTTTATGTCAAGTGGATGTGAAACACTATCTCCCTCTCTTCCACAAGTTAAGGAAGGTGACCGTTTCTGTTAATGAATCAACTAATCGGCCAGTAGGACAGCTAGGACAGAGTGAGTGATCCTCCATGGGTAGCTCTTTTTGGCCTTGGCCTTCTGCATTGCAAAAAAGATACTGGACACATTTTATTTTTCCACGAAAAAACCACTGCTTTCTGTCGGAAAGGATGTTTGATGTGTATATTGTGTTCTGTTTTTCAGGAGATGGTAAATTCAAGGGACGCCCCAGATGGAACTATTTCTAGCTACTTCACTGTAATCCCACATTAGTAGTTGTATTACCCTTCAAATTAAATTCTAAAAGCATGTCTGATAATATTTGCGTACAGGAGTGTAAGCTTGTAGATGTTATTGTGTTGGTATTGACTTGACATATAGAGCAGTGCACCTGTTACCTTCACAATTTATATGTTTTACACCCAGTAGCCCTAGACCTAATAGCTTCTATGTTGTTTTCAAGAAAAAGAAAGCAAATCCTTCTTAAATATGTACAAAAACTGAACCGTTTAGGAGATGACTAGTCCCATTATTTCTTAGTTATTAGAACATCAGTATTGAAAATTCAAGCTCTGATCTAGTTACTGCAAAGTATATCGCATGAGTAGTACAGCTGCTTTAAGTATAAATTTAATACGTTTATTTTCCCACTTTAATTTGGAATTCATGTTTCATAAAATGATCAATGCTTGAACAGCTATAAATGGGATAACCCCATACTCTAATTGTGTCTTTCAGCTTACGGTTTACTAGAAGCACACAAGACTACAGTAAGTGGCCTAAAGAAACTTTTACTCAACAAATGGGGATACCTACACGAATCTTAAATATGCATGTTTTTTTTTTCTCAAATTCTGCCTTATACCTACCTGGCTGTGATAAAATGACACTAAAGTGTTGTAAGGTCAACAATGTTTTTTATTTACAATCCACAAGTCAACTGTTGTATCGTGGTTCAGTAAATATGTCTAACAATCTTAATACGCATAAAACAATAACCTGCATGTATCATTATTGTGTTTCTAAGTATCAAAACTATAAATTCTTTTGTTTTTAACAACTCAAGATAGTAGTTTCTGTTAAGTAGATAAACCCCCATGTTTCCTGGTTTCAAAGTTAAACAAGACTGGGATATTTTTTCTTTCTAAATTTCTATGTTATCCTTGTGTTCCCAGGTAAAGACAGCTATTTGAATAAATCGTGGCGAGGATTGGCCCTAGGAAACTAATCATTGAACTAAATTATTCTCTTCAACAGACTTTGCTTATCTTAAGAAATAAAAAGTTAAATTAAAAATAGATTCAAGTTCAAAAGAGGTTGTAGCTAGACAGACAGATATTTCTAAGAAAAAGGCATCAGATATTAAAGCAAGTGTTCAAGTCTACTTACGTCTCTACTAGTTTGTACATCTAGTCTGTACCATTTACCATTTGATACTTTGGTGTTGACTTGCAGCCGAGTTGGGTTCAATGTTCCTAATTTAATTGAGAAACGGACAAATCCTTCTATCACCTCAACTGCCAGAAACCCAACATCTGTCTGATCCACAATGACAGGGTTAAACAATATTAACGATTTTTCTTGAACCGTAGAAAAATAAACATGCATATCAACAGATGAATAATCCTGGATTGGTGTAAATTCTAAATAAGATCCTTCGGCAAAGCCAACACTAGATTGATTACATTTGTTACCAAAATATCCAAAGACACAATCACAGATAAAACCGTTGTCAAGGTTCCTGCAAGTACCACCATTTTGGCATGGCATGCTAGCACAATAGTAACTGGATTCACACAGGTTACCATGAAAACCAGACACACATTTACATTTAAATGAACCTTCCAAATTGACACAAGTGCCGCCATTTTGACATGGATCGTTTTTGCATTCATTCTTGTCTAGCTGACAGCTGGGACCATCCCAGCCATTTGTACAATGACACTGTTCCTTTCCATTGATAGTCTGGCAGCTTCCACCATTGTAGCAATAAGTATCACCACATGGTCCCATCGGAATCTCACAGAAATCACCAGTGTAAGATGGTGGGCATTCACAGAATGTCTTAAAGTCTGGAACAAGCGACGTCAGAATAAGATGATCTGAATCTTGAATTTGGTAATTTTCTCCCATCAGGATGTTGTATTTGCAAGTACCACCGTTTTTACACATTTCATCATAACATGGACTGTAGGAGGTCTCCTTAATCACTGCACTCGTTGATGTTTCAATGTTGTTCAGATTATTTTTCAGGAGGGTGTCCAAATTTTCCCTTGAAAGATGGCCACCAGTATTATCCATAACTGCTACATAAACCAATAAATCTGTATCCAAGCTTTGTATGCTGAACACAAGAACTGATTTGTCACTGCCAAGAAGATTCCTCATCGAATTCATAAATTTGGAATAAATATTTGTAAGAAAGTCTTTTACATTTATTTTTGATAGTCGAATGGCAACAGAGTCTTCTAACGTAGAGTTAGTAAATTTAGAAACCTGAACAGTGACATCATAGGTGACTTGCCCATTTAAGCCATCAGAACCTGAAACTGTTATTCGATAAGTTTTTGCTTGTGGATTACTGGATGCATGTAAGTCACACTTGGAAGGGATGGTGAAGCCACTACCACTCTGTATGGTGCAAGAATAATCACCGATCAGATCGTCATCAAGAGGACGAACATCAGCTATTTTACCTGATGATGGGGTCTTGTCCAAAACATTAAATAGAATTGTTAAGGGTCGTTTCTCCGGTGGACTGTCATTTACGTCTGCTACTGAAATGGTGAAGGATAAGGTTGATGTTCTTCTAGGTTGTCCATTATCTGTGACTTGAACTGGGACGACATAATGATCAACACTTTCCCGATCGATGATGGATCGTGTCTGGACTAGACCATTCTGTTGAATGTCAAAAGCTGAATTTGAAGGACTGGACAAGGCTTGGTATCGGTATGGTCCTTGGTTAGGTGCTAAGTCTGGGTCAGTTGTGTGTTGTGATAAACTGACAACTCTAGTACCATCAATATTTGTTTCAGTAAAATTAACCATCAATGTAAAAGGATCAAATATTGGACCATTATCATTTACATCTTGGAGTTCAATTCTCACTTGAGCAGTACCTGAAAATATACATACCATAGTAAGTTTTCTTTAACAGATAATAAATTTTGAAGACTGTTATAAGTGTTGTATCTCTCATGTTAAGAACTGCCATACTGAGATCATATCTATAATGAACAGATTTAACCACTGGAAAAGAATTTAAACATTCCTTTTTTTTGCAGAATGTTTATGATTTGTTTGTGTTCTTTAACCAATTAAGAAAAGAACACATTATCAGCACGTCCCACACATGAATAAAGAAAAAAAAAACTAACCTGTTTGCGGTGGTCGCCCCGAGTCAACAGCACCAACTGTTATATTATAAACTGATGTAGTCTCTCTATCTAGAACACCCTGACCAGTAGTCTTGATCAAACCCGATACACGATCTATCCAGAACCATCCACCACTGTTTCCTCCAAGAATTGTGTATGTAAATTGACGATTTTCAGGTTGAATATCATAATCAGTTGCATTCACTTTAATAATATTGGTGTCTGCTGCAGAATTTTCTGGAACCAATCCAGTGTAAACATCTTGAGAGAAGACTGGCGGGTCATTGGCATCTTCAATATCTATACGTACTTGACATTGATCTGTATCATCACCAACAACACTTCCACGATTTTTAGCCAGAACATCTAAGATGATCTCAGGTGATGATTCATAATCAGGTCTTCCATTGACAAAGATGATGCCCGTTTTTGAATTAATTCCAAACCCTCTCATGTTACTAGAGCCAATGAGGTAATAGTAAACTACTTTATCAGCACCTGCATCTTCGTCTGATGCAAGCACGTATCCAAGACTAGTGTTAACTGGTGCGGATTCACTCACATTAAATGAATACTGTTTCTGAACAAATTTAGGTTTGAACTCATTGACACTGGTGACATAGATGAAAACTTGGATGACTGATTTTAAAGTTGAAGAAGAACTTCCAGGGTTAAAGGCTGCTACATATATGGTGTAAGTTGTCTTGCTCTCATAATCCACTGATCCTTGTAAAGATATCATGCCAGTGTTTGCATTAATATCGAACATTGATCTGTCCTGACTGTTGTCTGTTATGGAATACTGAATAACAGCATTGGGAGGAGTATCAACATCAGTAGCTTTAACTTGGAATATTTCCGTTCCACGAGGAGAATTTTCAGGAACTTTCCCGCTAAGAATGTTTTCAGAAAAATAAGGTGGGTTGTCATTAACATCCTGGATACGTACTGTAAAAATCCTTGAGGTTTCCTTGTACAGAAGTCCCATATCTCGAGCCGTGATGTTCAGGCTGTGAACAAAACTTTTCTCATAATCAAGCTTCTTTGCAGTGTTGATAACTCCTGATGATTTGCCAATAGTGAAAAGCTCCTCAGGATCTCCACCATTGATCATGTATTGTACTTGTCCATTTAGTCCATCATCATTGTCAGTAGCTCTCACAGTTCCAACTCTCTGGCCAACAGTGACATCCTCTCTGAGTGCTGCTTCAAAGACTCCATTAACGAATGTAGGAGCATCATTATTAACATCAGTAACTTGTAGCAGAACAGTTGTGGATACTGACTGGGTGGGCTGACCTTTATCACGAGCTTCAACAAAAAGAGCAAAATCTCTGTTTCTTTGACCATTTACAGATGCAGCAACTGATAACTCGCCGGTTTCTCTATTGATATCAAAATAAGATGTTCCATTCCCCCCAACTAGAACATAAAATATTTCTGCATTGATTCCAAAGTCTTTAACGTCCTTAGCAACAACTCTGATGATGGGATCACCAATTCTGGCATTTTCAGGAACAGCTGAGGTGTAGCTCTTTTCTTCAAAGACAGGAGCATAATTATTTGCATCTATGATGTTAATGATGATTTGAGCTTCAGAAGACATGGCTGGAGTGCCAAAATCTGTTACTACGACATCAAGTAAATGGTGATTGGCTGATGATGGTCCATCTTCTCCATGGATAAATGTCATCGTGTTAAGAGCAGATACAGTTCCTGTTTCAGCATCCAGGTCAAAAAAAGTTGATGGTCTTTTCAACGAAAAGAAGAATTGATTATTAGGTTTGGAGATATCTCGATCTGAGGCTAACAGCTTTCCTACGGGAAAATTAGGTGGCTTTTGTTCATGGAGATCAAATCTCATTGTGCTTTGGGCAATAATTGGTGCATTATCGTTTACATCTAGAATCCTCACACTGACATAAGTTTTTACACTGAAAGATTCATCGACAGCTTGAACAATTAGAGAATAGGTATCTTTTTCTTCAGCATCCAATTTTGACCTAATTGTTAAATTTCCACTCACTCTATCAATAGCAAATTTGTTGGTTGTATTCAAAAGTTCGTAATTAGCGACAGCATTCTCGTTAATATCTTTATCTGTGGAAGTTATTTGTATTATTATACTGTTAACGCTCATGTCTTCTGGTACTGAAACTTGGAATTGGTTCGTAAATTTAGGTCGATTATCATTTATATCAAGAACGGTGACTTTCACAGTAGCAGTTGATGTTCTCTTGTTAGGTGAACCCTGAAAAAAAAATGTAACTTTATTAAATACAAAGCAATCTCCCAATGATCTAAACAAAATATTGTAATTTATTTAAGATATGGAGAAGAGCATACCATCTAGTCAACACTCACTTCTTTGACAATGCAAATTTTGTGCTTTAGTTATTTCTTTTATCTATGGTGTGGTGTGCAATGCAAATGAGGAAAAGTTTTCGGGGACAAAAATCTTTTCCATAGACTCTTTTTTTTTAAATTCTAACTTTCATGGAACTTTGACAAACACTGGCAAAAAAGGGCATACAGGAGCTTGGGGTCTACCTTAACAGCTAATGACAGATTCTGGCAATACCAATGTCTATTAGAAACTGAGCATTGAAATTCTCTCTCCCCTAAGTGATAAAAGCTTCAACCAAAACATCAACTTACCATATCTGAAGCCTCAATAACCAAATGGAACAAATCAATGCTTTCTCTGTCAACAATATTATTAGTGGTAATTATGCCTCGATTGCTATCAATAACAAAAGTGTTATTCTTGTTTCCACCCGTCAAAGCAAAAACCACATGACCATTGGATGCAGAATCATCATCAGATGCCTCAACTCTTACCAGAGTCGTGCCTTTTCCAACATTTTCACTTATATGTTCGTCATAGAAACTCTGCTTGAATCTTGGAGTGTTGTCATTTATATCTTGGATTCCAATTGGCAGCTGTCTGTAAGATGAGACGGAGGGTGTACCACCATCTCTAGCCTCAATCCATAGATTAATGGTTTCAGCTATTTCATAATCCAATTTTCCAGCAACAGTCACACTTCCATTTTTCATATCAATGGCAAATCCCTGTCCAACATTGCCACCTGCAATATGATATGTAACAGAACCAGTTCTTGAAGATGTTGCTATGACTGTGGTGAGAAAGAATCCAACAATGGTATTTTCTGGTAATTGCAGGTTGTTAGGGAAGGGACTAAAAGCAGGTTTCACAGCATTGTTTACTCTCTGTATTCTTACTGCTACAGATACTATCTGGCTCCTTGTGTTCTCACCCTGAAAAATATGAAAATACTCCATGATCAATTTCACAATTCGAGAATATTATACAATACAATTTTAGATGTAGTATATCTAAATTACACCCCAATTGGCCTTCATAGTTGAATCTGGTGGCAGCATCACAGTTTACAGATATATCTTAAGATGCAATAAGAATTAGAAGAGTGGACAAAACCAGCGTAAACTTTAATCAATCTGTAAATATCTAACACAGTCCCATTTCATTTAACTCAAGACTTGATAATCAGATGCTGAAATTATTTCTTGCTAAATTACATGTATAATGAATACAATGAGCAGTGTGCTATACCTGATCTGTAGCCCGGACACTGAAGATGTAAGTTATGGCGTTGCCTGAAAGTCTTTGAGCCGCTGTAATAACACCTGTATTTGTGTTAATATTAAACATGCTGGCATCTTGTCCTTCTAGTCTGTATGTCACCTTACCATTATTACCAATATCTCTGTCCAATGCTGTTACACCCAATACAAATTCTCCTGAAAAGAATATCATGCATATCATATTCTAGCAATGACTAGTTATTAATGACCCTAGCTCGCTAGTCTGGAGGTTGCAGGTTCGATCCCTGAAAATTATCGGGATTTTCCAACGTGGTTTCTCCTTATTAGTGGTGCAGGATGGAGGGCCTGGCAAGGACAGCTGTCTAGTTGTTTGGATGGGACGAAAAAACAAGGTCCTGTGTCTACATTGCACATAAAAGATACCTTGGCAGTTGGAATTCGATATAAGAGTAAGTCATAGTGCTGCTGCCAAGGCAAAATTTCCTTCATAGCACACTGTATGGCGTATGCCCGTCTCCATTAGCCCAGTTGGAGCAGAACTGTAGGACGTTAAACCCCATTTCATTTTGCCTATTGGTACCTAACTGTAGGGCGACTGTAAAATAGCCTGTTTTATAGTTATCTAATTTCATGACATCACAACCAGGATAAAAAAAGGAATACTTCTTTAAAACTTCTACACCTTATAAAAATTGGTGCCAATGCAGTGTAATTAATATGTCCAATAAATTGAGTTAACATACATACCTGCTTCAGTGGCATCTAATATCATCTGTGTATAATTACGATGTTCAAACTGTGGCTCGTTATCGTTGTCGTCGTCAACATATATTATTACTTGACTGGCTACCGTCAGTGGGGGAATTCCCTGATCAGAAGCAATCACTGTTAAATAATACATATCTTCTACCTCTCGATCCAATCTCTCTAATGTAATAATACGTCCAGAATCAGGCAGAATGGTAAATTTGCCGTCGGCAGAGTCTTCAAGGCTGTAACTATAAAGATAGACATGGATTTAAATCAAAGCATTCTGAAGTCACATATTATATGTCTGATAAAATAGAAACTGTCTCAAAATACTATTAATACACATTCAAATTCTACTGAGCTTTTAGAATGACATCAAATGTATAACTTTATTACTGGAATCAGGTAGACTATAATAAATTTATAATCCCTGCTGGAATTCAAGGGCAAAATCATAATTCAAAATCTTTCATGATATCATTGCAATCAGATGAGACCTTGTAAGCACCATACTCCATGAAAATAAGACATTTGATGCTATGTGTCAAATAGCTATGTGCATTCCACCATGTTAAGTCTTTAATAACTATGAAATTCACTGCATTCAGCATATCAATGAGCATTCTGCTGTAGTTAAACTATTAGTTAGACCAACAGCCAAGAAATAAAGTCATCACTGACACTCTGGCATTGCACTTAGCCATACTTTAAGATTCTCTTAATTAACGGAAATTAATGAGAGCATTTATATATGGCAATCGGCAATATTATTACAGATGGCAAAAATTCAAGTAAATGATTAGGTGAGGCGATGTAAATAAACAGGGCTTGCGGAAGTCAATAAAAATTCATATCTTTTCGTGATTTATAACGCTTGAGTGTCCTGAGGATTATTTTCAATTGATTTATTGTTATGCACTTGATAAAGTTAATTTAACTGATCCAAAATCTTGTCAAACATGGTTTTAATTTAGTCATTTTATTTATATAAATATTAAGGCATATTTAAGTGTAGATAATCTAAGAAGTAAATGAAATATGTGCTTTAAATTGTGAATTCATACTATTTCATATGTTTGGAACATACTTCAGAATTCATGCTTTTTTTTTACAACTTAAATCAGAAAAATAATTTAGCTTACACAATCTGAGCATTGACGCCCTCATCTTCATCTGTACATCGTACTGTTAAAACTTCTGTATTGGGAGGTAGGTTTTCTGTCACATGACCTGTATAAGGACCGTTACTCTCAAATACTGGTGCATGATCATTTGCATCTTTAACAAAAACAGTTACAGTGCCCGATCCTGTCAAACGTGGATGACCTGAAGAAAAATAAAATAAATGTTGGAAACAGGACAATTTTTGTATTTTAATTGACAAGAAGGTGATTTTCTTATCATATTCTGGAGTATAACCATTGCGATTTGTCACCTAAAAATATATCGACATCAATACCCCGGGTTGGTATGACTTTCATCAAGATGGGTTTACATTTGATTTTTCTAAAAATACACAATACAGAAAGTGATACAACGGTGACATTTCAGATTGAATCCATAAAATCAGGCCAGAAATAAAGCTCTGTTACTAATCATTGTATCCCCCAGGTAAGTATTGTATATACTGGCATCGTGAGGTCAAGGGTCACCAGAGTATATCAAGCTATATACCATCTTTATTGTATCCATATGGTGGATCAGGTATCCATGTTCTCATGTGTGAAGTTTATTTATCTATCAACTGAACTATAAACAAGCTGCAATAGACCCCTGCTTAACACCTTAACTAGTTGAACATTTTAATAAGCTTCTGTTCTACTGATAGACACAATATGGTCAACCTTAGCATGGATGCCATCTTTCATTATCAGATTTTAATGGGAAATTAATTAGCTTTAAATATGGCTAGATTGACCTGTCATACAAATTAGCATATATAAAGTCTGCTGAATCATTATAGCTTGCTAAATTATATCTCCAAAGTTCCAAATATTGCAGTTCAGTTCACAATGGAACAGTTGTTACTGGTCCTCAATATTTAATATAAAGTTATCATACATGTAACCTGGATTTAATCTCATTTACTGAATGAAAGATGAACAACCTAAAGGTTTCTCTCCTTCCCCTGATGCCAAGAATCATCATTTCTAAATATCACTTGTAGGGCACTGGTTAGGCGCCTAATGGTTAATGGTGGTGTATCAAGATCATATGCTGTTAATCTGGCTTTAATCTCATTAACTTATTTAATGAGGTTCAAGAAAGTACTCCATGAAATCTTCCCCTGCCCCCTGATGTCAAAAATTCTCATTTCTAAATACCAGTGATAAGCTATAAAGCCAATGATTCTAATACTAACAGTTCGTAATATTCAAACCATGTTCAAACAATGTCTCTCATACATGGTACATGACTATTACAAGAACGGAAATATTTTTATGGCTTATTTCCAAGATCAAAGCTTTTAAAGAGTGAATACTTTTAGTCTGTTGTCCATCTACTAAATATCAGTTCTATTTAAGCTGGTGTATATTAGAACTTCCAAGTGTCAAGTGGCAATAAAAAAAACTTTATATTGTTCAGAAGTATAGCCTAGTGGTTCCAAGTTATGTAAATGCATACTACACACAGAAAGGAAAGCATATAATGATATAGATTTTCATACACTTAAGGTTTCATTGCCAACGTGGCCTACATATTAAATATTTTAAAATGTTGATGCTGAACAAATGGCTTTTGTATACCATCATTTATGGTCTTGTAACTAACTATATATATATTTGTATTCCTATAACTATGTATGTTTCCGGCACAGTTTATTATTAATGTTTGCACAAAATATATATGGTTTTTAATGCATTAAAGTTTCTTTTATTTCATGTTATAAAAAAGTTCTAAAATTTTCATAATGATAATAGTCGGCTACACCATGATACTGCCTGTTCAAGTTATTCAACTTTTTATTATTCAATCATCAAAACAGCGAGCACCATACTGATGTTTAAACTTTCTAAAACATCTGGTAACACTTACAACAAAGGAAATTATTCTCACTTGTTGCTGGTCGGTTTTGCTCAAATTTTCCAATTGATCCAGCATTCTGAGTATTGGTTAGAATTGACCAAGCTAAGGTCCCATTATATTATTATGTGTTATAAAGAATTCAGCTGCAAAAAAACCTCAACGATTGACAAGGCATCTAACCATAGTCAGGTCAGTTAGCAAGAGATCACATGGTTTCAGAAAAAAAAACATGTGAAAGCTTGCATGCAGTTTCCATGTTAAACTAATGTCTAGTGTACAAGTGTAGGTTCGTGGTTTAAGTGTAAATGTTTACAGCTTGTGTTTTCATCACTTGACTTCTGGCTATCATCAGACAGCTAAACACTTTCTCTTCTAGACCTTCAACTACTCTAGCAGATGTCAATCTACAGATATATACCGTTATACCTACTATCAATTCATTCACACTGGCTCTAACTACACCATAGAATGTACACATTCGTGCCTTAACTATTCTTATAACAGTTCACAGTGGGGGGTTTATTTCATTCTTGCAAAACAAAATTTTGGAATTACAGCTCAAAACAAATCTATATTTTTTGTGAAGTTCGTATTATCATAAACATATACTATTGGCTTGTTTTATCATTTCTAAAAATATATATAAATCCAAAATTAGTTTTAATCAAAATACTAAGATATGGTAAAAATTTCTTTGGCAAGACGCTGTAGCCTATAAAAGTTGTTTTGTAATAGAGTCTTTATTTTGCTACATGCCAAGGTTAAGCCAGTTCTGATGATTACTAGCAAAAAAAAACCTGAACTAAAATATCTCACTATGTGTGACATTCTAAAAGGATAGTAGCGGGTATTAAGTAATTATCTTGGCATCATGATTTGAACTCAGACATGTTTTTTGGTATACCCATGCTTCTTAATGGAGTTTTTTAGAACTTCATTTGCTGAAAATATTCCTGATTTTGAACACAGATTACAGAGGTCGGTTACTTTAATGATCTTTTTGATCATTTTGACACGTGATGCATTGAGTGGTATGTCCAATTAAAGAAATAACAAAACGTCTTTTCCTTTGATCTTTTTAGGGTCAATGATCAACTGTATGAAAAGTTCACTTTATACCACTTAAGAAAACTATTGGTTGTTTTTAATCTTAGAAATGTGTATCCCTTGACTAAGCATTGTGCATTCATAGGTGATTATTACTGTTGAGAGCCCAATTTCTTTAAAGTGAGCAATTTTATAGTTTTGGAAACCAAATGACATTAAAAGTGCAATCCTATGACTCAACAGTTCTAAAACATGACAGGAATTTATGATCTACGACAATGAATTCCAAATGTTCCTGATATTAATCTAGTTATTTCATATTAGCCATGCCAATATTCCTTATCTCCTGTCAGCTCGAATTTTTACATACAACTTTACTTACATTCACATGGAGATGAAAATGAAATAAAGATGTACCACATGCAAAGGCTAGGATCCGCAGCCACCCCAGGGAATGTGTGGAGGACTTTCGGTGATTAGTGTGTGGTCGGCATATGTTATTGTTGATTTGACATTTCCTAAATTTTATTGTTTATTCTTGATAAACAAAAATACCTGTTCATCAAAACTCTTGACACTAAACTAAACATGTCATATATTCATAAACTTTCATATTATGTACATTTCATAACTTGAAAAAACACTTCTAAAAATTCTGTGTTCAGATTTCAGAATGTAGTTACCCTATTTATTTTCAACATTTATAAATTAAGCGGTGTTATACCCTCCCCCCTACACCACATACTTCCAAGCTATTTAAGATTTCATATATCAGCAACTTAGCTATTAAAGTTTCTTGATGTTCGACATACATGCACATGCAGATCTTTGGTGCTAAATTTTGAAGAAAAAACCTTTTCCAATTATATTTACTTTTTTTTTTTACAATATTTTATATTGGGTGGACAGGTGGTGTGAATTGAGAAATAATATGAACAATTGTTTTATCAGTGCTATTTCTTCACCACAGTTCATGGATTCAGAGTCTTAGATAAAATATTTACTGAAAGCATGTCCTGCCGATATTTATAAAATAGCATCAAACAAAACAACTCATTATTAATTTAGTTTTATATCCAGTCTCCAAATATATACCGGTATTTTATGTCCCGTATGAGTGATAATTCCTCCATCAATAAAATTTAACAAACAACATTTGGCACAAACCTTTTTTTATATCAGAATCCCATTAGATTCAAATTCATGAATTCCATAGCTGGGAACATTAAAATGAAAATGAAGGAATATTTTTTTATTCTCATTCCTTGCATCATTTTGTAAAAGCTATGACGTTGTTTCAGTAGTCAACAAAGGAAGCAGGATACCAAGAAAATGTAACACATGTTCTAGAATAGTGTAAAACATTGCTGAACAAGTGCAACAAATCTTTAATGTAACTCAATACCAGACATATCATCTCATTAAAAACACAATAACAAGTTTTATTTGCATCAATCGAGAGATTTTGGCAACATGAAGATTTTGTCATGTGTTTATAGGTCTCGGGTGTTAGAGAATACAGCATTCTTGTTGCTAAGTTAAGGAAGACATATTGTTTTATCTAGAATCTGCTTCCATAAAAACTGGCATATCAAAAACATCTTGTGAACATTACACTCTTGCCATTTGGTCATGTGATATCATGCTAAGCTTTCCACTCTTTTTAATCTTGGCTTGGGTAAAATTCTTCACAATAAATACCATATGATGAGATATGATTATAACATTAGCTTATTGGAAACAGGAAGCTTATTAATAGGAATATTACATGAGCATGAATGTGTAGGTTGTCGATGCCATACCAAGCAAAGAAATAAAATAATTTCCAATATTTTCTACAAAATCATATCTGATTACTGACCCAAAATAGCTAAAATAGTTTTTGATTATGTTCAATTCAAGATTGGGCTGAGTAAAGATGAGGCAAGAAATATCAAATTTCACAAATAAAGTTGCCTAGAAATTAGACAAATGCGGACAATCATTTTGTCAGAATTCAATCAACTGTTAACTTAAACATCAATTAACAAAAGACAACAAATTACATGTAGTTAGAAATCTTCAAAATTAGTTAAGGTTAAACAAGTTACCCCTTCACTAACCCAACAAATCATTAATACTGAATCGATACATAGCTGGGACCCAAGGAGTCGAGGTGAAAGTGCCATTTTGTTATATACTGTTTTAAGATTTCACTTCATTCTACTACTTGTAACCAATGTACAACTTTTGAGGTAAATTAGCCATAAATT